CGGGCCTGGGGGGGTGGGGTCGGAGGCCTGGACTCCCGGGTCCGGGGGAGGAGGCGCTGGGGGCCCCCCTGGGGGTCTGCAGGTTGGGCTCCGCACTTGTGGCGCCCATAGCAAAGCCGGTGCATCTGGAAGGTTCTCACGCACCTGCTCTCTTTCCCTACGCGCTCTCCTATCAGGCCGGCCGCCTGCCAGCGGGGAAGGACATGCGGTTGCCTGCGTTCCTGCGAGCGCCGGTGATTCTCTCTGGCACCTTAGCTGCTTAGGTTTCTCCTCCGGGCGTTGCTCCTTCCACCGCCCGCCATCCTCCTGCAGGCCACGCCGTGATTTCTGGATGATACGCGCATGTTGTCCACAGCATCCCCAGGCCGGTGGGATAGGGTCCTCTTTTCTTTCATTCTGCCGCCTGCTATCAGCTTAGTCCAGGAACGACACAAATCAGTCTTGATACAGTGAAATCCTAAACTTAAAATTTGTGTACACGGGCCTCCCTGGTGGCGCAAGGGGTTAAGCACCACACTATGAAGCAATTCGCAGCCTCTGCAGCACGAGTTTGATTACCAGCCGTCCAGGGAGCTACCCACATGGCGCAGCAGACCTCTCCTGCCTCGCCTACTGCTCCCCTCAGCAGCGTATTTCAGTCAATCTGCCTGTTCTGTTCCCCGCTCTGTCCCTGGTGAGTCCTCTCACCTCCCCCGCATCTCTGGCCTGTGCCCCAGCTCTTGCATGCATGCATAAATAAATAAATCTTTAAAAAAAAATTTGTGGACGGGGACTTATGGCTAGGAAAAGGCCTCCACACCCCTGTTCCAAAAATATTTCCCTGTTTTCTTGCTGTTGCCCTGAGTGTTTCTCTTTTGGTGTCTGCTGGAAATGTCTTCATGGTCTGAATCTCTCTCCCCTCCCCACCGCCCTACCTCCTTCTTTCTTCCCATTTCGGGTCTCTGTTAACCAGCAGTGGGATTCCCTGCCAGGCAGGAACGGAAAGTGACAATGGATTTTTTTTTTTTTAACAATATTTGCTTCCCCCCACCCCCTCAGGTTGAGTCCCCATAGAACTTCCTTCCCCAAGGCACCCGCACCATCACCACAGTCCCCTGTGGGCTCCTCCCTCCCTCCCTCTGATCCCTCTCCCTCCTCCTCCCCTGCAGGATGTCTCTGGTTTCTAATTGTCTAGCGACACTGGGTTTTTAAGAAGGTAGGATCTCAAATCGCCCTCCCAGCTAAGAAAGGATGACCGAGGGCTGGGTGGAGAAAAAAGAAGTTCAAAGTATTGGTTGAAAAGTAGGTCAGGGACAAGGAATGTGGACTTGGCTAAAGTCTCAGGGACCCCAGGGGGACGCTTATGGGCTCTAGGGTGTCCCCCTAAAATTCATAAGTTGACATCCTAACCCCTAGCACCTCAGAATGTGACCTTATTGGGAAATTGGATTTTGACAGACACAATTAGTCAGAGGGACCCTCAAGTCCAGTAAAACCAGGGTCCCCATAGCAGGGGGGAACTTGGACGCAGAAACAGACCCTTGTAAAGGGAAGGGGGTGTGAGGACCATAGGGAGAACAGGGCCCTCTGGCAGCCAGGGAGAGAGGCCTGGAAGGGATTCTCATTCCCAGGCCCCAGGAGGAACCCAGCCAACCTCCCCTTGACCCTGGACCTCTGACCTCCAGACTGGGAGGGGCTGCCCCTCAGAAAAGACTCCCAGACTGTGGCCATGGTGGCACCAGGAAACAAATACAGAACCCATAAACGCGCTCACGGGGGCCCCTTCACAGATGAGGAGACTGAGGCACAGAGCCGGGGCTTGCCAGAGGCCTGAAAGCAGGCATGTGAGAGGGGCTGACGGGCTCCCCATGGAGGCCTCCTTGGGGCAGGGAGGGATCTTTTGGTGTCCACGGTGTTCCGGGGCGTCCACCACAGGGGGCGCCTTGTGCAGTCCTGGGAGGGCCTGCTGCGTCCTGCCACCAGGTGGCGCCAGGAGCCTTTGTCTTGGGTCTGAGGGAGGAGGGTTTGGGGACAGGACTCAGAATTCTGGAACTCTGCCTGAGGAAGGGGTGGGTCTGGCCATGCAGGGAGGGGAGGCTGGGTGCTCTGTGCTGACAGTGCTCACAGCATCCCTTTGGGGTGGCCACTGCTTCGTCATCTGCCAGAGCAGGGGCTGGGACCCTGAGAGGGGTGGCCTCTAGGTGAGGGTCACCGGTGAGGGATCTCCAGACAGCACCTTAGCTGTGAGCTGCCGCACCGCCCTGGAGAGACAGACCTGCATGATCTCAAGCAGCCCCCTCCCCGCCGGGGCTCCCCACACCCTGTCTTTCCCCCTGTCCCCTCCCCGCCCCTGCCTTCGACCCAGCTCAGCCTCTGCCTCACTGTCCCCAGGTGCCCCCATCCTTGGGGTGTACGGGGAGGCGCCAAGGGTCTCCTATTTACCAGCTGGCAAGGAACCGCTCAGTGTCCTGGATGCCTCAGGACCCAGGAGACTCCTGGGTGAGACAAAGGACTGTTCCTCCCGGGCCCCGTGTGTGCAGCGTCCGGCTGGCCCCCCCATCCATTGGGGGTGGCTTGGGCACCCCCTGGACTCGGTCCTGGTCCAACCTCAGGCTTAGGAGCGCCGCTGGCCGGCCTGCCTGGCCTTGGCCGGAGACAGAGACAGATACCATCTTTATTGGCCTGGACCACAGACAGGGACCCGCTGTGCTCGCTGGCTGGGACGGTAAACAGCTCTGGTGCTGTGACAGCGGGGCCTGCTGTGCAAACATCCTTGACAGGGCGTCCGGGGATGGGCGCTCCTGCGTTTGCTGAGAAGCTGCCCCGATGGGCCGACACCGTGAGAAGTGCCTCCACCTGGCCAGCCCAGCTTTCTCCCCAGTTCTCATGGCCATAGTGGGCTCCGCTTCTGTCTCCTTCACTGTATTTGTTTTTTTTTTTTTTTTCTGGCTTGTCACCAGTGGGGGCTTGGGGATGTCATCAGTCCTGAACAGGGCTGGGGGGCCACGTCAGCTCTCTGGTCTCCTAAACGCCCCCTTGGGCCCTGGGGCCGCGGGCTGTGCCCCCGACCTTGCACTGCATCTTGGGACTCCGGAACCAGGCCCTGAGCCCAGACCTTTATTGGAGAGGGGGCATTGACGTCCGCATGGGGGTGCTCCTCCTGACTTGGGGGGATGGGTCAGCAGGGGTCTCCCCTGGGTCATTGGGTCACAGACTGTGGGGCCCTGGGTGCTCAGTTTTTGGAGGACGGGGTCTCGCAGTGCAGGAGAACCAGCTCTGGGGGCCCCGGGTTTTTCTATTTCTGGGTCAGGGGCACGAAGCATGTGGGTCTGTGGAATCACAAGATTTTATTAGGAAGGAACAGGGCTTGATAAGTAGATTCGGGGTTTGGGATGTAGGAATCAGGTAGCCTGAATGCTCAGGCTTCAGTTTCAGCGGGACAATTGGGGGCTGATGTTGTGACAGAGACAGTCCAACCATGGGGGATCTCACAGCCCCAGGATGCCAGCATTTAGCACCATCCCCAACAGTTAATCAAACTGTCTTACTTCATTTAGCATCATCCCCTACAGTTCCATCCATGTTGTTACAAATGGCAAGAGTTCATCCTTTTTTAAAGCTGCATAGTATTCCATCATGTATAGCGCCTACATTTTCTTACCCCACCGCTCTGTTGCAAGTTTTTTCCATACTTGGCTATCATGAATAGTGCTGTGGTGAACATACGATGTATCTGTCCCTTGGAATGAGCTGAGACCCCATCATTTCATCCAAATGAACTAAGACCCCATCTCCTTTGATCCTGGCAAACTGCACATCTCCAGCGCTGACCCAGAAATCAAAAGTCCACTCACTTGGATAGAGTCGCAATACGCTGTAGGGGTCAATCCCATGATCCTAGTTGAGGGCTTCTCATCACACACGGCTCACCCCCTTGACAGGTGGGAGTAAGCACAAGGGGAGTCATGTGACAGCCAATAACAGTGCTCCCCCCTAGAACACGGTGAATGGCCCCAGGATGGGCACGTGATCACAGCCAGCCAATCCAGCTCTACTCTGGGCCCTTTTCTAACCCAACCTGTCGGGGATGAGTTCTTTGTTCTCTAGTATACTTTTTTGTTCTCTATGACTCAGCTCTTGGAGGGTGGGAGACCCGAGGAAGTAAAAGTGAAAAGGGACAGCAGACCGGGGGAGAGCAAAAGGCTGAAGATGACAGCTGAATCCCTGGCTCCTGAGATCCTGACACCAGCCCACTCTGGGGTGGGGTCAGATGGGGGCAGGGGCAGCACACCCCCCACATTCTTCTGTCTGTCCTCAGGCCTACCCTCCACCACTCTGTGTCCTGCATTCCACGAGCCACCTTTCCCAGCCTCCTTTGCAGCTGGCTGATTAGTGTTTGATGAATGGGAGGCCCTGGGAGGTAGGAGGACCCCAGAGCATCTATTCCCCCTCCCCTGCTTGCTGCTTTGGTTGGGGTCTTGAGCAGGAGCAGCATTCCGTAGCCACCTTGGAGCACACCCCCTAGAGGCCCTGCCCTCCCACTGCTTCCAGCCTCTGGGCCCTGGGGATGCCATCTCCTCTCTCGGTCCTTCTGGCCTGGGGTGGAGCCGCTCCCCGGCCTCGCCATCCCCTGCTGGGCTTCTCAGCCCTTCGGGAAGCAGCCCTCCAGGTGCCTGTGTTTAGTCCCCTCCGCAGCACCTGCCCTGGGCACTCGTCCTCCCGGGAGGCTGACGTCCGACTGTGTGGTGCCCCAAGAGGGAAGCCAACTCGGGCGGCCACAGAGCCATAGGAGCCGCACCTGAGGCCCTGGGAGCCCCGGGCTCGCCTATCTCATGGCTCTCCTCACTTAGGCCAGCGCAGACGCTCCTCACTCCAGCTAGTTCAGGTGAGACTTCCCGACGACCCAAACCAGCAAAGAGCCAGTGAGGGGCCCTCCCCAGGTTGTCAGAGAGACTGGGAGGGGCAGAAGGGGGCAGTCCTGGGCAAAGTGAGGAATGATGTGACAGCAAACCTCACACCCTTGGAAACTGACTATTTTACTGGCATAAAGGGACAGGCAGGGGGTGGGATCTGTCTTCAGTGATGATATCCTTGATCCATTCCGTGTACAACAACACCTTGGTGTAGATGCCAGGTAGATGGCTTGTGTCACACTGTTTGGGTTCCCATGATGCAATTCCTTGAAACACACCTTCACAGATGAGAGGGCCCCCCGCTGTTACTCTGAGACACACAGAGAGAGAGCATGAGACACCAGCAAGCGGGGGGCACTGCCTACGGCGCCCCAGCTCTCACACCTGGGCTCACAGGTAACCCAGTGACTCCCCGCTATGGGGATAGAAACCGTCTCCAGAGCCCACTCGCAGGAGAAGGTGGGGGGATCCATCACAGGGGATCAGGACTCAGGCCCCGATAAGGGTGTGGGATTCAGGGTGCAGACTCTGCAGCGGCAGGGTCCAGGAAGACAAGAGGGGGAGCGGGAGGAGGAGCAGGGCCCTCCGCAGGACCCCCACCCTCAGGGCTCATGTCAGGGTCGGCTCTTCAAGAACTTTCTCTGACCCCCCAGTCAATGTGTATGAGAGGGAGGAGGGTGAGTTGTGACATGGAGGAGGGAAATCAGGTCAAAGGATGGTGGGGTGTCAAAGGAAAGGGGCACAGGGAGAGGCTGAGCAGGGGAGTGACATGGGATTCAGGGGAGACAGGACTGGCAAACTCTCAGCCCTGTGCCAGGATCAGGCCTGGAAGCTGGACGCGGGCCTGGGGAGAGGCTGGCTCACCACACAAATGGGCCTATCTTCCACGGAGCTCATGGTGCACAGCATGGAGTCTGTCACCTTGTGGGCATGAGATTGGGCACAGTTCTCGTTGGGCACCACGACGAGATCCATGTATCGCAGCGTGTTCTGGTGGTGGTCTGCGGGCCCGCGAGAAACGGGCGGCTGAACCCACCTGGTCTCGGCTGCCCTCTCCATGCCCACGTTCTAGTCCCTGGGGCTCAGACCCTGGGGCCCCGGACCTTCTTCCCACTCTCCTGGAGACCAGTCCTCCCCCAGGACACGAGGCCCCTGCCCGCACCACCTCGCCTGCGTACAGGAAGCTTCCTTCAGGTTGTCCCAGCCGGAGGTGTAGCAGGCGCTCCCAATCTCGGGCTCCAGGCTGGGCAGGCTCAGGACTTGCACGAATCTGCTGATCAAGGCCGGTCTGTCCAGGCGGAGCATCAGGAGGTCATGGCTGTTGTCTGCCCCTTGGGGGAGGTCTAACAACCATGGGAGGCTCCAGTTGAAACTGGGGTGCGGGTAGCCATCAGTGATGACGAAATACTGGGCTCTGGTTTCATCTCCATGACAGTTGGCATGTCCCAAGGATACATGGTAACTCTGGTAATCTCTGGGGAGAGAGACAAGGGGAGGAGGGATGAGCAGAGAGGAGGAGAGGAGCTGGCAGGCAGCACAAGGGAGCGCCCCAAAGACAGAAAGGGCCACGAGGAGACACAGAAAGAAGAGCAGGAAAGAGGAACCGTGGAGGAGGTGAGACCTTGACACCCAGAGTGGGGCAGCCCAAAGGCAGACCCAGAGACTCCGAGGGCAGCAGGCACTGCAGACAAGGGACAGAGGAAGGAGAGGGCGCACGGGGACCCCAGGACACAGGGCAACACACAGAGAGGGTCAGACTCAGCAGAGGCGCAAGGCGAGGGAGAGGCAGAAACTGAGGTAGGCAGGGGGCAGGGTTTGAGAGGGGAGGAGGGAGCGGGAAGGAGGGAGCACAGAGGTGGCAGCAGGAGGGGGCAGGGCTGAGCTTAGCTGGGTTGGGCTGAGGGGCTGGGTCCCTAGCAGAGGGTGAGCTGGCCCTCAGCCCCCCCAGGCCAGTGCCCTCCCTCCCACACCTCCCCTCCCCCTTCCTCCAGGCTCCCACAGCCCCAGAGACCAGGACGGGGTGGGGGGACAGAGCCACAGAAGGACATTTCCTGGGGAGATGGGGCCAGGCAGCCACGGAGGGGGCTTCAGGGTCCCCAGTCCCAGCCCTGCCCACCTGCACTGTGACCTGCACCAAGCTGTGCTCCGTCAGCCCAGCCTCCCGGAGGTGACCCAGGAAGGGCCTGGCTCTCAGCCCCCGGGAGTGGGGAGCAGAGACTCCCCTCCAAACTCCCGCCCTCAATACTTACTTGCTCATGCAGTGGGCAGCCGTGAGCACCCACTGGGGGTGCACCAGAACGCCCCCACACAGCAAGGTCTTCTCCAAGTACACTGCTGCCTGCCAGGGCTGGCCGTTTTTGTTACACTTCGAGCCCCCTAAGACCCCGGACTCTTTATAGGGTGCGGCACCTGTGATGGGGTGCTGGGTCAGGGGGTGAAAGGCAGGGGGATGGCACCAGATGAGGGAGCTGAGCTGTAAGGCTGGGGGGACATGGGTCTGAGGGCTGGGGCCTGGAGAGATGGGTGAGGGCATTGGGAATGGCCCAGAATTCCGCAGTGGTCTCTGGGATTGTGGGGGTGATGGAGATGGGAGGGGAAACTAATGCTGAGAACTAAGAACCCCTGGGACCAGGACAGGAGACGAGGCAGTGTATGGAGCAGCATGGGGCACGGGGTTAATGTTCTGGGGTTTTGGACTGGGGACCGTGGCTTCTGAGAGGAGAAGATTCTCAAAAGCAGGGATAGAGGCCCCAAAAAGCCATTCAGAGGTTTGGTGAGGATTCTGGGATTGCTGGGTTTCAGGTTAAAATGTTATGGGTTAAAATGTTATGTTAAAATATTGTTAAATTTATGTTAAAATGTGACTAATGTTAAAGTGTTATCTGAAAAGCATGCCTATCCTGGGAATCGTGCAGAGGTTAAGGAGGACATTTGGGCTGGAGAATCTGGGGGTGAAGTGGGGGACCCTAGATTGGGTGGAAGGTGGCAGCTGGCTGTGATTCTTGGGAGAATTTGGGGTTCCAGGGGAAGAGTAAATCAAGGTCTGGTGCCCAGGTGAGGGGTGGAGCGTGGGGGCTGGTGGGAGGGGAATGACTTCAGGGGAGGTGAGGGCAGCAGGGAATTGGGGTCACTCCCCCCAACTCCCTGAATCTCACCAGACCCCTCCAGGGCCAGCACCAGGCACAGGACCAGGACCCACATGGTGACACGGGTGTCCAGGGCGGGCGGCAGCTCGGAGCCGGGAGCCTCCCTGAGGAGCCTTTAAATCCCTCAGGCCCCTGGGCCCGCCCCTGCCCAGCTGGTGCCCAAGTGTGCCCAGGCCCTGCCCCTGCGGCTGAGGTGCTGGGTGGAGAGAATCAAGAGGTGGTGGGTTCACTGACCTCGGATGCCTGCACCCCAAGGGGCTGTGCCCCCTGCCCAGGGGAGCCTCAAAGGCTCAGCTCCCCCTCCCTGCACTCTGGAGCCCACGCAGCCTCCGAGCTCCCGCTGCCCAGACCTTGGCCTCCGTCCAGGGGTCAGCACTCAGTCTCCAGACAGTGTGGTCAGGGGGCTGCTGCCCCTCACCACTGCCCCTGCCTGAATGCAAGAAGGTGGACTTCGGGGCCTCCCAGGGTCCATTCCCAGCATTTTACAGAGTGGGTCTCGCTGGCCACGCAGGCGACACCGCGATTTTAACTGCAGCGCAATGGGGAGAGAGTGTTTGCAGGGCCGAGTCTCCTGTGCACACCCGCGCCTCTGGGCTCCTCACCGCTGCCCTGGGGAGGCACGCGTCCACCTCAGCGTCCGGCCCTTCCCTGGGCCCAGGGGGCATCGAGGATGCGGCCCTGCGGGCGCTGATGCCACTTTCCCAGGGCAGAGATACCCAGATACCTCATGGGGCCGTGGCCGTGGAAGCCCCCACACATCACCCGTGGGCCTTTCACCTGCGCAGAGCCAGCCCGGGTGCCCGGGGTGGGGGGGGCTTCAGGGTATTTTCCTGACAAGTCTCGTGGGGTCATTGGTCGCTGTCATGGTGGCCGCAGCGGGCAGAGGAGACTGTGCTCAGGGACTCAGGCTCTGGCTCAAGGAGTGTGGCCGTGAGGGAAGGTCCTGGGGCAGCCCTGAGAGAAGCTTCATCTCTTGGGGTCCCGGGCAGGACCCTGAAAACCAGCTCCCCAGTCTCACCCTGTGCGGGACTGAAGCACAGCCCACAATGATCCCTCCCCTCCAGGGTGTCGCTGTGCTGGTGAAGGCAGGATTGGGGGGAATGGTGCCCTGGACAAGAAAGGACGCAGGGGGACCCCTTGCTGAAGCGAGGGTCGGCCTGAGCGCCTCTCCAGTTGGGGCAAAGGTGGGGGGTGAGGGCCCGGGGTCTGAGCAGGCTCCTGAGGGAACAGGGAGGAGCACCCAGAGGGACAGCCCGGGGAGTTTGGGTGCAGGGGGAGGCGCACACAGGCAGGACCTACTCCAGCAGCAGGAGGGCGAGGCTTCCTGAGGGTCCCCGCGGGGTAAGGGGAGCTCCTGTGCTCGGGCCTCTCCCCTGGAAGCTCAGCTCCGGCTGCCCCGCCCCCAGCTCACCTGTGGGGCCCCAGCTGTGTGTCCAGAGCCTGAAAGCTCACGATGTTACTGATGTGCAGACACACGAGGACCCGCCCCGCTTCGGGGGCGCTGGCAGAGACCCCGGCGCTGCGCAGGGCACGCGGCGTTCCTGGGACACCGCAGCAGAGGTTCCCCCACACCCCCCAACACACACCCCCATCCCACCCCCTGCACACCCCCACCCCTTGCACGGGCAGGCCGGGCAGGGTGCACGCTCAGGCTCAGTGGGGGTGCTGCCCCCCGCGCCCTTTGCTCCCGAGAACACGCGAGTGTCGCCCGGGCCGCCACGACGCAGCGGGGCCACGCGGTGTTTACTGTCCCGGCCGGCGAAGGCCGTCGCTGGAAACGCCATCTGTACCGTCGCGGACACAAACAAACGCCCCTAACGGCCACGCCGCTGTGACGTGGCCAGGAGGGAGCCCTGTTAGCGTGCGTGCGCGTGCCGTGACGCGTGCGTGCACGTGCGCGGCGGGGGTCGTGCGCGCGGCCTGCATGCGCCGTCGTGCGTGCGCGCGCACGCGCCCCTGCCCTACGAGGTCCTTGAGACAGGAAATGGCCGCCGTCCGTGTCCAGGGGCTGGCAGGGGGCGTCTGGATTTATGGGAACCATCAGACATGGCCCCCCCCCACCCCGAGATCTTCTGTCCTCTCCGCCCTGGGCCGCTGGGCCACGGGGAGACGCGGGTGAGTCCGCCGGGGGCTGCGGGGCGCCCTCGCCCTCACCTGGGCGCCCATCCGGGCATCTGCGCGGGGTGCGTGGTCCCAGCCGAGGGCTCCCGGGGAGGGGGATTTGTCTGCCTCGGTTTCCCTTATTTCACCCCTTAATTGACCCATTTCGAGTGTTCGTGGAGATAGAGAAAGGGGGGTCTCTTATGGACAGACTCGCGTGCCCGCATCTCCCGGGGAGTCTGGAATATGGGTCGTGCTGGTTCTTAGCCGCCCAGCCGCGGTGAGGACGGTCCCGGCGATGCCCCGTGTCCTGCCCACGGTGTCCTCGGTGTCCTCAGCGCCCCTCGGTGTCGGTATCGCGCCCCTCCGCGGCCCTGGCCTCTTCTTCCCACCACCCTGCCGTATCCAGTCGTGAGCTGGCAGGGGTCGGTGGAGACACTCGGCCTGCAGGGCTGGCCGCGCGGGGTTTGCCCAGAAGGCATGAGGCTCGGCAGTGACCCCTGCAGACCCTGGGGCCCCTGGAGTCGCCCCGCGGTGCTAGAGGAGTGAGCGCACCCCCACCACGCAGCGGTGGAGATGTTATAGGACAGGGAGAGGGGCAGCCCAAACCCCGCAAACCTGCCTATTCTAAATGGGTTCTGCCATCCGCCGCATCAACACAAAACATAGGAGACTTTAATGGGAAGGAACTTTAATACAACTAGGAAACAATACAGGAAAGGCAAATAATCTAGTTTCTAAATGAAGCACCCAAAGTTACCCGTCCCCTCGTGGGTAAAAGTCCATCCATATGGGAATGGCGCAGAGCAAGGCCCCAAAGCCTGCCCCAAGTCTAAAGCATCTTCCAGTGGGGACCCACAGAAAAGGGTCAGAAACTACCAGACAAGCCCGGAAGGAAAAGAGCAAAATCAACATCAAGATAAAAGCTGCCATTGTCACCTCCCCACGGGTCTCACCCACATCTGTGTCACCCAGTCCACGACCAAAAGACAAGCGCAGTTTCTTCACATGTCTCTAGGCTCCATGCGCCTCCTCCAGGTCTCCTTCTGGCTCCATCCTGCTTCCTTCCTCAGTCTCTTCTGCAGCTTCTCCTCTGCCTGCTCAGCTCCACCCTCCCTTGGGTGGGGCAGGGAACCTCCCCCTTTCCTGGGGACCACCCTGTTGCAGAGACACAGGTGGGGCGGTGGGAGCGAGACGGGTGGATAGTCCTGCGGGGTGTAGAATGAACATTTCCTCGACTGGGCTTCCGCAAACAACAAAACTGGGGCACCTGCAGCGAAACAGACTCAGCAAGAAAATCGCACTGATGTGCCGTCTTCTGACTCCACTTGTCCTGGGCTGCACACATCCAAGAGAAGCCATTTCTCTTCACCTCCCAGATGAGCCACATGGGGAAAGTGAGGCGCAAGGAGGGAAAGCGCCCTGCCGCGCTTCCTTGCGGGGGCCTGAGCCAGGAGACAGACTCCCTGCTTTGTTTCTGGGCTTGGCTGAAGGAGATTAAATGGTGGAACCAACTTTCTCTTCCCCGGCTGAGGCCGTCCACGCCGCGCCGCCAGGGGGCGCTGTGCACTGGGACAGTCTGGCTGGGATTGAAATCTGATGTCTGGCACGGGGGAAGGAGTGGGGGGCTGGTGTGGGGGCCTGGACTCAGGGTCTGAGGGAGCAGCTGGGGTCTGGATTCCCAGTTCCGAGGGAGAAGGGGCTGGGGGCCTGGACTCCGGGTCTGAGGGAGGAGGGTTTGGGGACAGGACTCAGAATTCTGGAACTCTGCCTGAGGAAGGGGTGGCTCTGGCCATGCAGGGAGGGGAGGCTGACAGTGCTCACAGCATCCCTTTGGGGTGGCCACTGCTTCGTCATCTGCCAGAGCAGGGGCTGGGACCCTGAGAGGGGTGGCCTCTAGGTGAGGGTCACCGGTGAGGGATCTCCAGACAGCACCTTAGCTGTGAGCTGCCGCACCGCCCTGGAGAGACAGACCTGCATGATCTCAAGCAGCCCCCTCCCCGCCGGGGCTCCCCACACCCTGTCTTTCCCCCTGTCCCCTCTCCGCCCCTGCCCTCTACCCAGCTCAGCCTCTGCCTCACTGTCCCCAGGTGCCCCCATCCTTGGGGTGTACGGGGAGGCGCCAAGGGTCTCCTATTTACCAGCTGACAAGGAACCGCTCAGTGTCCCGGATGCCTCAGGACCCAGGAGACTCCTGGGTGAGACAAAGGACTGTTCCTCCCGGGCCCCGTGTGTGCAGCGTCCGGCTGGCCCCCCCATCCATTGGGGGTGGCCTGGGCACCCCCTGGACTCGGTCCTGGTCCAACCTCAGGCTTAGGAGCGCCGCTGGCCGGCCTGCCTGGCCTTGGCCGGAGACAGAGACAGATACCATCTTTATTGGCCTGGACCACAGACAGGGACCCGCTGTGCTCGCTGGCTGGGACGGTAAACAGCTCTGGTGCTGTGACAGCGGGGCCTGCTGTGCAAACATCCTTGACAGGGCGTCCGGGGATGGGCGCTCCTGCGTTTGCTGAGAAGCTGCCCCGATGGGCCGACACCGTGAGAAGTGCCTCCACCTGGCCAGCTTCTAGCCTTGTCCACAGGACAGTCCATCTCACCCCTGGGTTAAACCCTGTCTGCTGCCCCTGGTTCACCTCTGTCCCCACCGCCCTGGCCCATGCCCCACCTGAGCCTAGTGCCCTGCCCCCTGTCTCCCTGGGGTGTCTCTTCAAGGCCAGATCAGGAGGAAGGGTTCAAGTCCCGCAGAACGTGTACCTGGAATTAGAAATCCTGGGTTTGATTAGGAAGGAGCCCAGACTCTGGGCTTCCGAAGGCAGATGAGGCTGGAGGTGACAGTGAGGCGGGGTGTGGGTTCCCAAGTCTTAGGTCCCTGCAGAATGAGGGAGGAGGGTGAGGAGGACCCTTGGGGATGAGGAAGGAGGCCAGGAGGATCCCGAGGGATGAAGGGAGGAGAGTAAGGAAGATCCTGGGGGATGAGGGAGGAGGTGGGGTGGATCCTGGGGGATGAAAGAGGGTGGGGAAGACCCTGGGGGATGAGGGAGCAGCAGGGAGGCTCCCCTTATATGGGAATGCCTCAAGGGTCTAAGAATCCTGTTTCCTGAGGAGGTGAGGGCTGACATGGCGGTTGAGGCCCAGGTGTGAGTGGCTGGACACATCTTGGCTCTGGAAGGGCAGGTGTGGCGGCTGTGACTCTACCCTGACCGGGGGGGGGGGCATGTGAAGGTACCTCACATGGGCTTGTGCTGCAGTGTTAGGGCTTCAGTTGGGTTAGTTAGGAATGTGAGACTTAGCCACTATTCCTCCATCTTGTGTATAACCGCCATCTTGGTATTTCAAGTTTTGCTTACTCAAGACTAATTAGCCTGCAATCCAAAGAGGGTTTATGACCCCCACCCCACTCTGGTCTTATCTCTGATGGCCAGCCACAGTGGAGCCCAGTAATGGGTCTAATTGGCCATAAAATAGAACTGAGCAATGCAGGCCACTGATGGGGTCAAACTAGCCATAAAATAACTGTGTACCCACCACTATTAAGAAATGCACCTGTGTAATCAATGAATGATGCACCTATGTAACTAATGAATGGCTGCCGACATGATTTAATTTTTAGAAGTCTACTTGTATCCCTATAGAAGATCCCTGTCTCCTTTGTTCAGGGCTCCCGACCTCCACCGTCACATCGGTGCGTGTCGAGGGCCCGGTCTCGAGCCCGCAATAAACTCCTTTGTGCTCTTACAGCGGTTGTCTGTGTGTCCTTGGGGGCTGCACTGGTCGACGCTGGGCACAACAAGGAAGAGCTGGTTTGTCTTTGTTCAGGCCCCGTGTTGCTTAGCATGGGGGGAGCTGGATGTTTTAGGCAACTCTGCTTGGATGTTTTGGGCAACTCACTCTAGCTGAGGCAGCTTCCTTCAGGGATTCCAGAGATGCTCCTTGTCTGTGTAGGGAGATGGCCACTGACTGAACAGTTCTTTCTTCCCACTTCTGGGGGCCACAGTGGTCTCCGCATCTGTCTCGTCTATATCTGGTGTTTTTCTGCCTTGTCACCTGCAAAGTGGGGGGTTAGGGATGTCATCAACCCTGAACAGGGATGGGGGGCCACGTCAGCTCTCTGGTCTTCTAAACGCCCTGGGGCTCCAGGGCCACGGGCTATGCCCCCGACCTTGCCTGAGACTTCCACACACTGCATCTTGGGACTCCTGAGCCAGGCCCTGAGCCCCAGACCTTTATTGGAGAGGGGGCATTGACGTCAGCATGGGGGTGTTCTTCCTGACTTGGGGGCCAGTCAGCAGGGGTCTCCCCTGGGTCGTCGGGTCACAGACTGGGGCCCTGGGTGCTCAGTGTTTGGAGGACGGGGTCTTGCAGTGCAGGAGAACCAGCTCTGGGGGCCCTGGGTTTTTCTGTTTCTGGGTCGGGGGCACGAAGCATGTGGGTCTGTGGAACCACAAGATTTTATTAGGAAGGAACAGGGCTTGATAAGTAGATTCGGGGTTTGGGATGTAGGAATCAGGCAGCCTGAATTCCCAGGCTTCAGTTTCGGCGGGCCAGTTGGGGGCTGGCATCGTGGATGAGATGGTGCAGGAATCGGGGATCCTACAACCCTGGGGTGCCAGCATTTCAGGGCACACTGGGTCTTGGGGGCCAAAGGCCTGGCCGGGGTCCATGTAGTGGAAATGTGGGTGAGGGTCCTGCCCCAACCATCTCCCTCTTCCTGCTCGCCCTGGGCCTCTCCGCTCTGCCCTTCCGGGCCAGGTTCTGTGAGCTCCGGACCTCATCCAGTCTGGCTTCCTCCCCTGGGGTGGATCCGGGGGATCTAGTACCTGAACAGCAAAAGGTCCCGGCTCTCCTTTCCCGACTCCCTCTGGGGATGGAGGTTGTCCAGCCCCCGGCAGCAGGGGCTGGGCCTGGACAGCCTCCGGGCGCCAGCTGGGCAGGGGCGGGACCGGGGACTGAGGCTTTTAAAGGCTCCGTGGGAAGCTCCCGGCTCCTAGCTGGCTGCCCTGGACACTGGTGTCGCCATGTGGGTGCTGGTCCTGTGCCTGGCGCTGTGCCTGGAGGGGTCTGGTGAGAGAGGGCTGGGGGTGCAGGCAGGGACACAGGTCATGTCCCTCGTGCAGCCTTGGTCCCCCGGAATCCTTCCCCTCCCATCAGACAACCAGCCGCTTCCCTCCAGCTCACAGACCCCCAGAGCTGCCTTGTGGCCCCATGTCCTGATCAGGGGGGGGTCTTGCTGTCAGCATTCGTCTCCCCATCCATCACCATCACCTCGAAATCCCAGAGACCACTGCAGGATTCCGGGCTCATCCCAAACCCCCCCCAGGCCCCAGCCCAGCCCTCGGCCCCGCGTCCCTCCGGCCTTACAGCTCGGCTCCCTTTGGCCCAACTAACCACCCCTGACCCAGTACCCCACCCACAGGTGCTGCGCCCCCAGTACAGTCTCGGATCGTAGGGGGCTGGGAGTGCGAGAAGCACTCCCAACCCTGGCAGGCAGCCATTTACCATCATGGCATCCTGGAATGTGGGGGCGTCCTGGTGCACCCCCAGTGGGTGCTCACAGCTGCCCGCTGCATGAAGTCGTGAGTATTGGGGGGGGGCTGGGCGGGCGTCCTGGGAGCTGCGGCGCCGAGCGCAGGCCTGCGGGGTCCCTGTGGCGTAGGCTGGGCCGTCCTCGGCTCACCCTCGTCCCCCGTCTCCCCAGCCATTATCAGGTCTGGCTGGGCCGACACGACCTTCTGGAAGATGAACACACGGCCCAGTTTTTCCAGGTCACTCACCACTTCCCACACCCACAGTTCAACAAGACCCTCCTCGAGGTCCGCTCCCGCTCCCCGGGGGAGGACTACAGCCACGACCTCATGCTGCTGCGCCTGGAGCAGCCCGCGGACCTGAGCGGTGCCGTGCAGGTTCTGGAGCTGCCCACCCAGGAGCCGCACCTGTGGAGCGCCTGCTACGTCTCCGGCTGGGGCAGCCTCCACCCAGCCGAGAGTAGGGCGGGGCGGGCTCCGGGAGGCCGGGGAGGCCGGGGTGGCCGGGGCCTGGGGTCTCGGGGGAGATCGTGGGGCCCCGGGGTCTGAGGGAGGAGGAGGCAGCGGGGCCAGGGGCCCAGAGGCGCGGCTGGCCAAGGTCACGTGGCCACTGCCTTTTCTGCAGCAGAGAAAATCCCCAACCGTCTGCACTGCGTGGACCTCGCCCTCCTGCCCACGCAGCTGTGCCAGAGCGTCTTCATGGACAAAGTGACAGACGTCATGCTGTGTGCCGGGCGCCTGAAGGGTGGCAAGGACGCCTGCAAGGTGAGGGGCCTGCACCCTCTGCGGGAGAGGGAGGCGCCCTGAAGCAGGCCGCACTGCTGTCTGCGCTCCGCTGCCGGCTCAGGCCAGCGCCCACCCCCTGCCCCCACCGCCCGCGACCTGTCCCTCACACCCCTCTCCAGAGGGCAGCCCTGTCCGCAGCAGCACATCTCAGGGAGCCCCTAGCACATGGGCTCACTGGGCGGGGGACAGACCGAACCTGTGAGCACAGCAGGGATGGTGGGAGGACAGGCAAGGCCTGGGAGTGGGTTAGGGGGGTGCCTGGGAGAAGGCTGAGGGGCACAGCGGGCAAGGGCAGAGGCAGGCGGGGCTCTATGTGGGGGGGGCAGGTAGAAAGGGGTCCGGTCTGGGGCCCCAGCAGATCCCGCTCCTCCTCTAGGAGACCCAGGGCCTGTGGGCCTTCTGAGCAGAAGCAGGACAGGGCCCGACCCTGAGCCCAGGCGCCTCTGGTCTGCGCGGGGTCAGAGTGCAGGGTGGGATGAGGAGCGGCCCTGGGGAGCGAGGGCAGTGCTTACAGGTGGGGTGACAGGTACCAGCAACGGCAGACATTGCTGGTACCTGGCTGGGTGCCCCCGGATTTGCTCGCTGAGGGAAGGGGGCAGAGGGACAGAGAAGACTCAAAGGTGATCCTGAGTTTGGACTGAGGGTGCACAAACACACACACACAGACACACATGAAGGGCCCCCCCCCCCCACCAAGCTCCACTGGGGGCCCAGAGTCTTCTGCCTTGACTTCCCGACAACATTCTCCCAGAAGCCTGGGTCAGGCTCCCTGCACCTGCACCGCCGCAGCCTCCCTCCAGGACCCTCACCTCCCAGGAGCGCACCCCTGCCCTGGGGTCACTATCGAGTCCTGCCCTCCCCGCTCCTGGCTCTGCAGGCCCAGGGGTTACTGATCAGAGCAGACTTCCTGGAGGGGACATCTGAGCTGAGCTTGGGGCTGGGGGTTCCCCCAGGTGGATCCTGCTCCTGATCCCCAGACTGAAGTCTGTTCCCCTTGCTCAGGGCTCAGACCCTGACCCCCATTGGGGCTCCCCGCCTTCCGGGAGTGGGGCTGCCCCCAGCCTTTCCCCAGAGCTGAGCCTGGTCTAGGAGCACAGGTGTGCAAGGGCATCCCTGGGCGAAGATTGAGACTGACCCCTTCATTCTCTGTCTCCCCCCCTTCCCTAGGGTGACTCAGGGAGTCCCCTGGTATGTGGGGGTGTGCTTCACGGTATCATGTCCTGGGGCGGCACCCCGTGTGGCAGGGAACAAGTGCCCTCCGTGTACAGCAAGTTACTGCCTCATCTCCAGTGGATCCAGAGCACCATTGCTAACTACTCCTGAACCCCATGCCCCCCGACCCTAATTGCCATATCCCTGCACTCCTAACCCCTCTTCCACCGTGGATGCCCACATCTCCCACCCCAGACTCCATGTTCTCCCGCCCCTGACCCCATGACCCTGAGCCTCTCCTCGCCCCTACTCTGAATGGCCACGCCCCCCACCCCAGAACCCCATGCCCGCCGTCCCCTGCTTGCCCTGCCCTCCCCCACATCCTGCCCCCCAGTAAACTGGCAAACACGTCGAGGGTGCGTCCTCTGGTCTGTAGACCTGAAGCAGCTGGGAATGGCGGCCAAGCCCTGCGCCCTGAGGCGGACCCGACAGGAGCCCAGTGCAGGAGACCCCAGCCTGCTGCAGGGTGGGCTGGCGCATGCGCTGTGGCTACCAAGCGGTGCTGGGGGAGGGGGCAGCTGGGTGTTAAGTTCTTTCTGCTCCTCCTGAGGGGGAGGGGAGGAGGGACAGGGGTCCACTGTGCAACAGGGACCCGATTTCTCCCTCTCCCCAGGGGAAATGGTCTCGCAGGTTGGGGGGAAGGAAGACTGGGGGGTAGGACCTTAAAGGACCTTCTGCAGTGACGGGGCCCCTCCTCGTGGGTGGGTGGGTGTGTCTAAGTAGGAGCAGGGGAGCCCGTGCCTACACCTTTGGGACCCTCCTGTGAACATCAAGCAGCACTTAACACCCAAAGGGAAAGTGTGCAGGAAGCCCCTGTGGGGCTGGGCCCATGGGCACCCCAAACCCAGCTGTGGCCAGACAGAGTGACCCGGTGAGCTGCCAGTATCCACCTTGCACCCACTCCAGAGAGGGCGGTGCCCACATGAGAGGCATGAGCCCTCCATTCTCGATGCTCCTGCCCACTTTCACGCTCTGGGGTCTGCTGCCCTTGTGGGGCTGAGCCCGACTCAGCTCCAGGTTCAAGAGCTCCTGACCAGAGAAGCTTCAGTTAAAAAAACTCCCAGGACAGGAGCTCCCCACCTGTCCCGGCTTCTCCACCCTGGAGCCCCAGTGCTCCCCCGGCCCCCACCCCCAGGGCAGGGCAGTGCAGCCGAGGGACCCTGTGTGGCGACTCTGCTTTGCCCTAGGGACCAGACCCCTCCTTTGTCCTCACTTGTGTCCACTCAGGCCCTTCCCTCCTGTGGGGCACTGCAGGTCTAGGGTTGGGGGGCTCAGACCCTGCCAGGAGGGACCCAGGTTTCTGGACTCTCAGCTGCTGGAACGTGAGAATTACAGGCCACCAGAATTGGATGGGAATGAGGAAAATTATATTTGAAAGGGGGTGAGCTGGGAGGGGAGCCTCAGGGACTGGCCACCATGGTTGCCTTGATCCACGGCAGGTACTCCACCACCTTGGCGTAGACGCCGGGCGCAGGGAATTTGTCATGTTGGTGGGGTCCCATGATCCGAGTCCCTGGAACTCACCCTGCAGAAGGATGGGCCCTGCTTCAAGTCAATCTAAGATGCACAGAGCCAAAGGGGAGGTCGGAAGTGGGGGCCCAGCCTGCAGCACCCCAGCTCTCACACCTGGGCTCACAGTGACTCCCTTTATAGAGAGAGAGAAAACCATCCCCACTTGCAGGAGAAAGTCAGGGGATCCATCACGGGGTCAGAACTCAGGTCCCTGCTAAGAGGGTGGGATTCAAGGTGCAGACTCTGGGGGGGCAGGGCCCAGGAGGACAGAGGGGGAGCAGCAGAAGGAGCAGGGCCCTCCTCAGGACCCACACCCTCAGGGCTCATGTCAGGGTCAGCTCTTCAAGAACTTTGACCCCCTCCAGTCAATGTGTGTGAGAGGGAGGAGGGTGGAATGTGACATGGAGGAGGGAGATCTGGTCACCTGATGGGGTGTCAAAGGTGGGGGCGCAGAGGCGGAGCTGAGTCGGGGTGCTACAAGCCAGGCAGGGGACCCCAGGCTGCTTAGCTGTCAAGCCAGGTCCAGAGCTAATCACGTCCCAGACTTGGGAGCCCAGAGGCGGGTGGGGAGGTTGGGGGACTCACCCTGCAGAAGGATGGGCCCTGCTTTAAGACCCAGCACGCAGTACATGCGCCATGGCCCTCTGGGTGCGGGTTTCTCATGCGCTTGATTGGGCAGGAGTTTGACATCCACACACCAGTCTCATCGCATATTTGTCCACAGAATGGGAGCAATCAGGAGCGGGCAACACCCACCTGGTCCTAGTACACTGCCCCTGCCAGGGCGGGAAATGCTTCCCACACTCCAATCCCCTTGGATCTGGGCCTGGACGCCTGTGGATGGGGTGCTGCATTAGGGCCTGCTTAGCTGGACCATAGGGAGCTGAGCTGTAAGGCTGGGGCACATGTGGCCCAGGGCTGGGGCCTGGGGAGAAGGGTGAGGGGTCTGGGAAGGACCCACAATTCGTAGAGGTCTCTGGGATGGTGGTGATGGTGACGCATGGGCAGGCAAATGCTGAGGGCCCAAATCCCCTGAACCCCATTCTCACCACTGGATAGAAGAAAAAAGGCAGCACTGGAGCAGCATGGGTTGGGGGGTGATCTGGGCTCTAGAATAGTGGATGGGGCTTGTGACATCTGAGCGGGAAAGAGATTCTAGAAAGCACGGGGACACCGGAGGACGTGGGCAAACCTGGGTGAGGGTTGGGGGCTAAGGAGACCTCAGGATGAGCACATGTCAGCTTTCAAACCTGAAAAACAACAGTGTTGGGAAACCAGATTTAGAGGCACAGCAGTGTCTGGGCTGAGGAATATGGGGGTGATGTAGGGGAGCCTAGATTATGCAGGAAGGAGGCAGCTGGTGGACAGACTGAAAATTTTGGGTTCCAGGTCAGAGAAAAAACAGGGTCAGGTGGTCAGGTGAGGGATGGAGTGCAGGGGCTGGTAGAAGAGGAATGACTTCAGGGAAGGTGAGGGCAGTAGGTAATCGGGGTCCGCTCCCCCCAACCCCCTCAATCTCACCAGACCCCTCAGGGCCAAAACCAGGCACAGGAACAGGACCCTAATGGTGACTCGGGTGTCCAGGGCGGGTGGCAGCTCAAGGCTGGAGCCTCCCTGAGGAGACTTTAAATCTCTCAGCCCCCTGAGCCCGCCCCTGCCCAGCTGGCGCCCAAGTGTGCCCAGGCCCTGCCCCTGCTGTTGTGTGTGTGTGTGTGTGGGGGGGCCCTCCCACCACAGCTGTATAGGGCGGAGAGTGGGCACCTGTTCCTGGGGCCTGGTGGAGCTGGAAGCTTCCTGGGGCCTGCAGCTGCTGGGGCCTTGCCCTTGGCACAGAGGCTGGAGGGAAGGTGGGTGGTGGGTGGAGAGAAGCAGGAGGTGGTGGGTTCACTGACCAGGACACCCAGCCCAGATGCCTGCACCCCAAGTGGCTGTGCCCCCTAACACAGGGGAGCCTCAAAGGGTCCTGGGTCACCCAGGGAGCAAAACTGGTCTAATGAAGTCAACTGGAGGCTCCTAATTGCGGTGGCCACAGCGGGTGGAGGAGGCTGTGCTCTGGCTCAAGGAGTGTGGCCGTGAGGGAAGGTCCTGGGGCAGCCCTGAGAGAAGCTTCATCTCTTGGGGTCCCGGGCTGGGCCCTGAAAACCAGCTCCCCAGTCTCACCCTGTGCCAGAATGAATCACAGCCCACAATGAACCCTCCCCTCCAGGGTGTCGCTGTGCTGGTGATGGCGGGATGGGGTGAATGGTGCCCTGGACAAGAAAGGAGGACGCATGGGGAGCCCCTGCTGAAGGAAGTGATGAGCTTCCCTCTAGCTGTGAGGTTACTGGGGGGTGAGGGCCCCGGGTCTGTGCAGGCTCCTGAGGGAACAGGGAGGAGCACCCAGAGGGAGAGCCCGGGGAGTTTGGGTGCAGGGGGAGGCGCACACAGGCAGGACCTACTCCAGCAGCAGGAGGGCGAGGCTTCCTGAGGGTCCCCGCGGGGTAAGGGGAGCTCCTGTGCTCGGGCCTCTCCCCTGGAAGCTCAGCTCCGGCTGCCCCGCCCCCACTCACCTGTGGGGCCCCAGCTGTGTGTCCAGAGCCTGAAAGCTCACGATGTTACTGATGTGCAGACACACAAGGACCGCCCCGCTTCGGGGGCGCTGGCAGAGACCCCGGCGCTGTGCAGGGCACGCGGCGTTCCTGGGACACAGCATTGAGCTGGGGCTCCAGGGTCCCCTCCCCTCCGCATGGATGGGGCAGGCAGGGCAGGGTCCTCGCCCAGGCACTTGGGCCCCGCCCAGGATGGGGGGCAGGCTCCCCAGTGAGGGGTTTGCCCCCCGGCCTCCTTTGCTCCCGAGAACACGCGTGTGTCGCCCGGGCCGCCACGACGCAGCGGGGACACGCTGTGTTTACTGTCCCGGCCGGCGAAGGCCGTCGCTGGAAACACCATCTGTACCGTCGCGGACACAAACAAACGTCCCTGACGGGCAGGCCAGGGCGACGTGGGTCGGGAAGGAGCCATGTTAAGCGTGCGTGCGCGCGCACGCGCCCTGAGGCATGCGTGTGCTGTGAGAGCGTGTGTGCACATGCGCGTCGTGGGTCGGTGCGCGTGCGCGCGAGTGTGCGTGCGTGCGTGCGTCATGGGGCGCGCGCCTGCCCGAGACCCTGCGTTATGACGTATTCTGTGTTTGAGGAGAAAGCGGCACCGTCCCTGTCGGGGGTATCGGTGGAGGAAGCCTGGATTTGGGGGGCACCTTCAGGCATAGGGACCCCCGCCCCTTAGTCGTCTGTCCACTCCACGCTCGGAGATGGTCGTCCAGGGCTGCTGGGCCACGGGGCGACCCGGCTGAGTCCGCCGGTGGCTGCGGGGCGCCCTCGCCCTCACCTGGGCGCACACCCCGGGCAGCTGCCCAGTGTGGCCCCCTCCGCCTCGCGGGGTGCATGGAAATGCGCGGGGGCCGGTGAATCCCTGAACCCCGAGGCCGAGGCCGGGCGCCAGGAGCTCAGACCCGCAGATCCTGCTGCTGCCCAGGAAAGCGGTGAAAGTGGGGCTCCGCCCTCGGAGAGGAGCCGCCTGGGAGCCCAGGGCCTGTGCGGGGAGCTGCGCCGCGTGGAGTCCTGCAGGTCAGAGCGAGAGGGCGCTGGCCGGGGAGGAGGAGGTGTGGCCGGTACGGGGTGGGCTGGACGTCCCCGGTCACCCACATGTTCACCTCCATGCGTCCCCAAAGGATGCAGCAGGGTCACAAAACAGAATCACTTTGTGGTAGAAATTCAGGCCTTTTACCCGGCAGAGGAAGAACAAGCGGCACTTCCAAAGTGGGGAGGTCAGGAGCTTTATTCCGCATACATGAGGGCCCACACCTGGGTAGCCCCGTGAGGTCTGAGCCCCGGTTTAAGGACAAAGGGTTCCTTTTATAAATACCATCTTACATGGATAGCGTCGGTTCTCAGCAGGCACAGGCATTTGCTGCAAAGTCCCCAGACAAGGAGGGGAGGACGGCAGAGTGGGAACGAGGCAGACATCTGGAGATGGCCCTGGAGAGACAGACCAGCTTCAACTGGCCCCCGGACCCTTTGGAAATGCAGCTTTGTTTAGATAGGAGCTGAGGCCCTGGCCAGAAATCTTTATTTATTTTTTGTGGGACCCTCGCCGGGGAGGGAACCAGCGCTGTAGAGGCTGCAGGCAGCCTCGCAGCCCAGCGCTCAACTGCTGCGCCACCAGAGGAGGCCCTGGCCAGGAATCTTTAAAAGGGAAAGCTGTTAAGTCAGCAAACTTGTCCCCATTGCGGTGCTCATTGCACCCGGACTGGAAGTTCTGTTGGAGTCTTTATTATGTTCATTTGCTCAAAAATATGTTTTCTCATCAACTTAATTTCCAGAGACTGCCCGAGACACTGGCAGTGCCATCCCAGGCCTCTTCCACTCAAACCCCAAGGCCCCCGGTGCTTCCACTCACTGCCCAGAACCTCTTCCAGTGTCACCCTTATTCACATCCAGATCCCCTCACAGACTGTCTCCAAATCATCTGTTAACCTCCCAGAGCGCAGCTGCCTGCCTGCACGCGCACGCGCGCACACACACACACACACACACACACACACACAACCTAAATGTGCTAAAACCAGCCTTCCTAATACACCTGATCGCCTTCACTTAAAAACAGATGTTTCTCCATTTCCTTTTGCACCATAAGGGGAGTCCGTCCCTCTGGCTGTTCCAGCTCCTGTTTCAGCGTCTTCCAACGGGGCCTGCTTTGTTAGTTTTTTAAATTATGGCGCGTTGATTTACGAGCTGTGTGATTCAGGGCCGTACCTTTGCGCCACCTCAAGTGAAGGTACCACACCACACCCCCTCCTCGAATCCTTTACCCCAGGGGCTCCCTCGCCTCTATGTGTCCACCCCGTTCCCTCTCAAAGCCCCCTGCCCCCACCGCAGGACTTCAGGTCTGCAGTCCTGTTTCTAGGGTGTGTGTTGGTTTATTTTTGTCAGTTCCTTTGTTTCTTCCTATTCAAAATAAGAGTGAATTCCCACAGTATTTGTCATTCTCCTTCGGATTTGTTTCATGTACCGCCCTCCCCTGCTGCTCCGTCCATGTTCTCGCAAGCGGCAAGAGTTTGTCTTTGTAGTAGCTGCATCGTATTCCACCTTCTATATCGCACCCCAAGTGAACAAGGGCCACAGAGAAGGGAGAAAGAGCCCAGGAAAGAGGAGCCATAGAGGAGGCGAGACCTTGACACCCAGAGTGGGGCACCGAAGGACAGACCCAGACACAGAGCCCCCAAGAGCAGCAGAAACAGCAGATGAGGGACACGTCGGACCCCAGGACATGGAGCGACACTCAGAAAGGATCAGACTCAGCAGAGGCAGCAAAGAGAGGAAGAGGGAGACTCTGAGGCAGAGCAGGGGCTGTGAGAGGGGAGGAGGGAGCACAGAGGGGGCAGCAGGAAGGGGCAGGGCTGAGGGGGTGTGTGTAGCACCCCGGCCTGTGCATGACTCTGTGGGGACACCTTGTGTTTATTGCCCTGGCCAGTAAACCTCGAGCCAGGAAACGTCTTTCCTGTCTTGGACGCAAACAAAGGGTCCCATGGAGACACTGAAGTGACCTCAGTCAGGAGGGAAAATTGTTAAGCATGTGCACGTGTGCGTGTATGTATTGCATTTGTGCATGCGTGCGTGTGTATGTAGTTGGGGTACGTGTGTCATGGAAGTGTGGGCATGCGTGTGCACGTGCCTTCCTCCAGGAACCCCACCTCCTGGAGCACACCTCTGGGGGGGGCACTTTATAGTCCTGCCCTCCCCCCTCTTCCGCCCTTTTGGCTAGGCGGGCCCTTAGGGGGTACAGATGAGAGCAGACTCCTGGAGGGGACATCTGAGCAGAGCTTGGGGCTGGGTTCCCCAGGTGGCTCCTGCTCCTCAGACTGAAGTCTGTGCCCCTTGCTCGGGATTCAGTCCCTGGCCCCTGTTGGGGTCCCCCACCTTCTGAGAGTGGGGCTGTCCCCAGCCTTTCCCCAGAGCTGAGCCTCCTCAAGGAGCACAGGTATGCAAGGGGTTCCCAGGTAGAGATTGAGACTGACCCCGTCTCTGTCTCCTTCTCTTCCTATAGGGTGACTTAAGGAGTCCTCTGACATGTGGGGGTGTGCTTCATGGCAGGGTCCTGGGGGCCGCGCCCAGCGTGCCCTCCCCCCTCAACAGCAAGCTGACGCCACCTGTCCAGTGGCCCCTGCACACCCCACGACGAGTGTGGCGTCGTCCGGGCTGCTGAAAGTATGGCCCCCCACGCTGAGCCCAGGGGTGCGGAGCCACGTCTTGCCGTAGCCAGGGACAGAACCGCGAGTCAGCGCGGGTGAGCAAGAGCGCGCGGCTGGTTCCCGGGGAGACGCTTGGCCGAGTCCTGCGGGGGCTGGGGGCTGCGGGGCTCTCGAGCGGTGAGATCTGGCTGTTTTCCTTAACCAAAGGGTCTGGGTCAGGAGATGGCTTTGTGGGGTCAGATGCCGGCAGCGCCGTGAGGGCGGGGCAGGCACCCTAGCCTGGGGCGGGCTGGACCAGCCCATGCACAGCTGCCCTCCACAGTGCTGGGGGTGGGGGCAGCGGGGTGCCGAGTTCCTGCCGCTCCACGGAGGCGGAGGGGAGGAGGGGCAGCCGTCCGCTGTCGCAGGAGCCCTGCTCCTCAGCAGCACCGAAGCCATAACGGAACCAGAGTCGGGGCAGCTGTGGGATGCAGGATGCCCCCAAGAGCAGATCCCTGCCTCTTTATTGAAAGAGACGGGGTGGGGGGGGGCGGGCGGGGGCGCTGTCAGACCGAACCCTGGATTTTGGGCTTGCGGGAGGGTGACTCCCACCCGTGACTCTCAGCTTATCCACACGGCGTCCACTGATTAGGCCTGGGGCCGCAGGCATGTCAGTGTCGCCCCACAGGACCCTATTTCTTCCTCTCGCCAGGTCAGGGGCGGGTGTGCAGACACAGGTCGCCTGGACTCTTCAGGGCCACAGCGGGGAGGAGGGCACGGGCTCCCCGAGCTGTGGGGAGTCAGAGGAGGGTGTTCCCTCCCACCCCGGACCACAGGGCCTGAGCAGGACCAGGAAGTGCCTGAGACACGCGCAGCCCAGAGCGAGCTGACCTGGGGGTCCTCCTGGTGGCCTGACCTGGAGGAGGTGTGGGCAGTGGGAGAGGAGGAGACCCCGCGTCTGGGGGAGTCTGGCTGCTGCCTGTCCTTGCTGTCAGGAAATAGGGTATCTGGTTGAAAGTTCAGTGTGAGGAGTGGTTCCGGCCCCCTGAGCACCCCTTCCTGCTCGGGACCTCAGGAACAGGCGGGGCAGAAGGAGGCTGTCTTTGTAGTAAGGAGAGGGTAGGGTGACCCCATTTCTTGGGGTCTCTTGACTTGAGAACCTTCGGTTAGAAAAATTGCCAGGACAGGAGCGCCCCACCCTTCTTCGGGCTTCCCATCACAGGAGGACCTGGGCCCCACCCACCCCGGAGCCCAGCTGCTCCTGCCCCCACCCCCAGGACCTCTGCTTTACCCCAGGGACCAGACCCTCCCTTTGTCCTCACTTGTGTCCACCCAGGCCCTTCCCTCCTGCTGGGCACCGCAGAGCAAAAGTGGGGGTGGCCCAGCTCATGAGGAAAGACGACCGGAGCTCCCAGAAGCTCAGTGTCTGTAGCAGGTCACCAGCCCTGGATGTGAACGAGCCATCTTATATTTGAAAGGGGTGATCTGGGAGGGGAGCCTCAGGGATAGGTCGCAATGGTCTTCTTGATCCAGGGCACGTAATCCAGCACCTTGGTGTAGATGCCGGGTACAATGAATGCGTCACATAGGTCGGGGTCCCATGATGCGATTCCTTGTAACTCGCCGTCACAGATCAGAGGGCCCCCATCGTCATTCTGTGACACACAGGATTGAGAGAGAGCTGGCAAGTGGGGGCCCTGTGTGCAGCACCCCAGCTCTCGCACCTGGGCTCACAGTGACTCCCGTTGTGGGGAGACAGAAAACCGTCTCCAGAGCCCACTCGAGGAGAAGGTGGGGGGATCCATCAGGAGGTCAGGACTCAGATCCCCACTAAGGGAGTGGGATTCAGGGTGCAGACTCTGTTGGGGGCCAGGGTCCAGGAGGATAGAGGGAAGAGCAGGGCCCTTCGCAGCACCCCCACCCTCAGGGCTCATGTCAGGGTCGGCTCTTCAAGAACTTTCTCTGAAACCTCCCCCCCCCCCCCAGTCAATGTGTGTGAGAGGGAGGAGGGAGATCTGGTCACACCTGATGGGGTGAGTCGGGGTGCAACAAGCCAGGCAGGGGACCCCAGGCTGCTTAGCTGTCAAGCCAGGACTAGAGCTAATCACTGACAAACTAGGGAGCAGGGCGGGGGGCGTGGTTGTGTGGGGCAGGGTGGGGAGGGGTGGGTAAGGGTGGGGCTGGGGGCCGGGTGGGGCCTGCGGGCTGGGTTAGCTCACCAGGCAGGTGGACCAGTGGTCTTCAGGCTGCCCCGCACACAGCATGTGCTCTGTCACCTTCTGGTCGTGTTCCACAGCACATGCAGCGTTGGACAGGATATTGATTGGCGCGCACTGGAGGATGGCCCTGTAGATGTCTAGAGATCACGCAGGGTCAGGAGGGGGCAGAAACCCCTGAGCCCCACCACAGTCCCCGCATCGTAGGCCCCTGAGTCCCGCTCGTGAACACACGGCCCGTGCGTACACTTAGTAGAAAGGATGCTGCCCCAGCCGGAGACGTAGCAGGTGCTGCCCACTCGGGGCTCCCGGGTGGGCAGGGGTATTACATTCACGCTCTCAGTGATCTCGGCGGGCGGAAATATCTGCATCAGCATGATGTCGTGGCTGAAGTCATGTCCCGGGGAGCGCATGCGGACATGCTGGAGGCTCATGTTGAATTGCGGGTGTGGGAAGCGCCTATCGGTATAGGAATGCTGGCGGGATCTTACGGATGCAAGCCCCATCTGCAGGCCCAGCTTAGCGCCATAGAAGTCTCTGGGGAGGGAGGGGGAAGGAGGGGTGAGCAGTGCGGAGGGCCCAGGCAGCACCTGGAGTGTCCCAAAGAGAAAAAGGCCGAAGGAGATGTAGAAAGCCCCGGGAAAGAAGTGCCCTTGACACCCAGACTGGGGCAGCCCAAGGGCAGCCTCAGAGACGCTGACCCCAAGGGCAGCAGACACCGCAGATGAGGGACCAGAGGGAGGAGAGAGCACGGGGACCCCAGCAATCGGAGGACACACAGAGGGTCAGACTCAGCAGAGGCAGCAAGGAGCGGGAGAGGGAGAAACTGAGGCAGGCAGCGGGGCAGGGTGTGGGGGGAGGAGGGGCACAGAGGGGGCAGCACGAGGGTCAGGGCAGAGCTAGGCAGGGCTGGGCTGAGGGGCTGGCTCCCCAGCAAAGGGTGGGCTGGCCCCCCACCCCAGGCCACTGCCCTCCCCCCCACACCTCCTCCCCTCCCCCTTCCTCTAGGCGCCCACAGCCCCAGAGGGCCCCCTGAAGAGGTGCTGGTCCTAGGGGAGGGGCTGGGATGGGAGGCACCCTCACACACTTGGTGGGGGTCTTCTTGCTTCCTGGGTCCAATCCCACTCCCCCTGGGTGGTGCCGAGTGGTGATGGGAGAGGGGTGAGCCCCAAGAGACGGGGGGGATGTGGAGGTGACCAGAGTGACAGTGATGGCAGCGAGGGACAGAGACTGGGTGACAGACACCAGAGACATGACAGAGGGAGGTGGGAACACATCCGCCTGCACAGACACAGCCCCCCAGAGACCAGGGACCAGGACGGGTGGTGGGGGCAGAGGGCGACAGGACATTCCCGGGGAGATGGGGCCGGTAGCCATGGAGGGTACTTCAGGGTGCCCAGTCCCAGCCCTGCCCCCTGCATCGTGACCTGCACCAGTCTGTGCTCCGTCAGCCCAGCCTCCCGGAGGTGACCCAGGAAGGGCCTGGCACTTAGCACCCCCGGGGGGGGCGGGGAACAGACTGCCCTCCAGCCCCCCGCCCTCAATACTTACTTGCCCATGCAGTGGGCAGCGGTGAGCACCCAATAGGGGTGCACCAGGACAGCCCCACATTGGATAAGCTCACGTAAATCCAGGGCGACCTGCCAGGGTTCAGAATACAGCCCACACTCTGAAAACCCTCTGACCGACGACTGGTTGTGGGGCTCTGTGCCTGTGGATGGGGTGCTGCGTTAGGGGCTGCTTAGCTGGACCACAGGGAGCTGAGCTGTAAGGCTGGGGCCCGGGGAGATGGGCGAGGAGTCTGGGAAGGACCCACAATTCCGTAGAGGTCTCTGGGATGGTCAGGGTGATGGTGACGCATGGGCAGGCAAATGCTGAGGGCCCATATCCCTGAACCCCATTCTCACCACTGGATAGAAGAAAAAAGGCAGCGCTGGAGCAGCATGGGTTGGGGGGTGATCTGGGCTCTGGAATGGTGGATGGGGCCTGTGACATCTGAGCGGGCAAGAGACTAGAAAGCACGGGGAGACCCCAGGATGTGGGCAAACCTGGGTGAGGACTGGGGCCTAAGGAGACCTCAGGATGAGCACATGTCAGCTTTCCATCCTGAAAAACTACAGTTTTGGGCAGTTTAGAGGCACAGCAGAGTGTTTGGGCTGAGGAATGTGGGGGTGATGTCGGGGACCCTAGATTATGCAGGAAGGAGGCAGCTGGTGGACAGACTGGGAAAATATGGGGTTCCAGGCCAGAGAAAAGCAGGGTCAGGTGGTCAGGAGAAAAATGGGAGTGTGGGGGTGGGTGGGAGAGGAATGACTTCAGGGAAGGTGAGGGCAGCACGAAGTTGGGGTCCGCTCCCCCGACCCCCTCCATCTCACCAGACCCCTCCAGGGCCAAAACCAGGCACAGGACCAGGACCCACATGGTGACTCAGGTGTCCAGGGCGGGCGGCAGCTCGGAGCCCGGAGCCTCCCTGAGGAGCCTTTAAATCCCTCAGCTCCCTGGGCCCGCCCCTGCCTAGCTGGCACCCAAGTGTGCCCAGGCCCTGCCCTTGCTGTTGGGTGGGGGGGGGGCCCTCCCACCGAGCTGTGGAGGGCGGAGAGCGGGCACCTGTTCCTGGGGCCTGGTGGAGCTGGAAGCTCCCCGGGGCCTGCGGCTGCTGGGGCCTTGCCCTTGGCACAGAGGCTGGAGGGAAGGTGGGCGGTGGGTGGAGAGAAGCAGGAGGTGGGGGGCTCACTGACCAGGCGTAAGGAAAGAGAACGTGAATGTCCTTTTGCCGGGGACATTGGAAGACGTGCGACCGCTCTTTGACCCCTAGCCCGGGAGCCTGGCCAGCGCCCCAGTGGGGGGCCAAAGCCGGGGGCGGGTTATGTACCTGTTCGCGATGTCCAAGACATCGTGCGCAGGAACGTGACCAGCCCACACGAAGCCCTGAGCTTGGACACCGGCCACATCCGGCTTTGGGAGAGGTAAAACACAGAGGCCGCCGAGCGCTGCCGCCGCCGCTCGCAGCCGCGGGGCTTGGAGGCGTCTCCCGGGCCGTCCTCCGGAGGGCTCGCTGCCGCCTCCGCGATGTGATTTCCGAGGAAGCGGTGCTGCGTGTGTGCGTGTGCATCAGTCTGATTGGGTTCGGGGCATTGATGTCGTCGTGATAGTGCACCGCCTGTGCTGCTCGCGGTACATCTTCCCTCTTCCCGTGTGGTGTGGACATTGAATCCCCCGCAGTCGGGCCTCCCTTAAACACCTGCGCACAGGGCTGGCGCCTGGCTTCGGTGGCCAGTTACACCAGGACACCCGGCCCCGATGCCTGCACCCCAAGAGGCTGTGCCCCCTCACACAGGGGAGACTCAAAGGGTCCTGGGTCACCCAGGGAGCAAAACTGGTCCAGTGAAGTCGACTGGAGGCTCCTAATTGCGGCGGCCGCAGCGGGCGGAGGAGGCTGTGCTCAGGGCTGCAGGCTCTGGTTCAGGAGTTTGGCGGTGAGGGAAGGTCCTGAGGCAGCCCTGAGAGAACCTTCATCTCTTGGGGTCCCGGCTGGGCCCTGAAAAGCAGCTCCCCAGACTCACTTTGTGCGGAACTGAATCCAGCGCACAATGATCCCTCCCCTCCAGGGTGTCGCTGTGCTGGTGAAGGCGGGATGGGGCAGAAATATCACCCTGGAAAGGGGGACCCATGGGGAGCCCTTACTGACGGGAGTGATGACCTGAGTGCCCGGTTAGCTGGAGGGTGAGTGGGAGGTGAAGTTCCGGGGTCTGTGCAGGCGCCTGAGGGAACAGGGAGGAGCACCCAGAGGGAGAGCCCGGGGAGCTGGGGTGCAAGGGGAGGCGCACACAGGCAGGACCTTCTCCAGCAGCAGGAGTGGGGGCGATCCGATGGTCCCTGCAGGGCAAGGGGAGCTCCCGTGCTCTGGCCTCTCCCCTGGAAGTTCAGCTCCGGCTGCCCCGCCCCCAGCTTATCTGTGGGGCTTCATCTATGTGTTACTGATGTTACTGATGTGCAAACACACAAGGACCGCCCCGCTTCGGGGGCGCTGGCAGAGACCCCGGCTCTGTGCATAGCACAAGGCGTTCCTGGAGCACAGCACTGAGCTTGGGCTCCAGGGTCCCTTCCCCCCCACCCCTTGGTCTTCTGTCCTCCCCTCATGTGTAGGTGGTCACCCAGGTCCTTTGGCCTCGGGGCCACCCAAGTGAGTCCACAGAGGCTGGAGGGTGCTCTCGCCCTCACCTGGGCGCACACCCCGGGCGGCTGCCCAGTGTGTCCGTCGTACTCCCCCCCCCCCCCCCGCAGGGCGCATGGGAATTCGCGGGTGCCGGTGAATCGTTGAACCCGGAGGCCGGGCGCCGGGAGCTCAGAACCGCAGATCCTGCTGGTGCTGGTGAAAGCGGGATTCCGCTGACAGGGAATAGCCACTCCCGGGCTGCTCAGGTGCGGGCCTCCTGGTGCTGGTCGCCTCCGCTGTCACCCTGGGAGCCCAGGGCCTGTGCGGGGAGCTGCGCCGCGTGGAGTCCTGCAGGTCAGAGCAAGAGGGCACTGGCTGAGGTGGAGGAGGTGTGGCTGGTACGGGGTGGGCTGGATGTCCCCGGTCACCCACATGTTCCCCTCCATGCGTCCCCAAAGGATGCAGCGGAGATGACCCCTGAGTCACATCCAGGGGCACAAAATAGAATCACTTCAGTTCCGAGACCTTCCCCCACCCAGGATTGTTACAGGGCAACCCCGCTACAGAACGCGTTGCCCGACTGTGGGTCCTCACCCGCGTGCTGAAGTGGGACTTGAACTGCAGGCGCACACAAGGTTGACAGAAGGTTTATTCACAAGGGCAGGGAAATGAGAAAATCAACAACTCAGGGAGAAAAGGAGGGAGATACATTCTTACACGTGTCCTACCCGTTCCGCCTGGAATCCCACATGACCCGCCGACCAAGCGCTCCCTGGCCACGAGAGCGCGACACCCACTCCCGCGGCTGGTCATCTTCACAAACAGAGAAAATGGCCGCTTCACTCCGCCCTCAGGGCCTTGCAACCTCCCTTTGGGGATCATGGGATTTGTAGTTCCCGGTGTCTTGATGGAGTGGGGGTGGAGTCCACAGCGCCTGTGTGGAGTGTGTGCAGGACATCCTTTCCCCCTAACACTATCACCCCAGGCCGTTCCGCTCACACCCCAAGGCCCCCTGGGGCTCCCACCCACTGGCCAGAACCTCTTCCAGTGTCACCCCTATTCACATCCAGATCCCCTCACAGACTGTCTCCAAATCATCTGTTAACCCCCTAGAGTGCCACTGCCTGCGCGCGCGTGCGCGCGCGCGCACACACATACACACACACACACACACACACACACACACACACACCTCCCCTCCCCCCCATGGAAAATGCCTAAATGCTCTCAAACCAGCCTTCCTAATCCTCTAATTGCCTTCACTTAAAAACAGATGTTTCTCCATTTCCTTTTGCACCACAAGGGGAGTCCGTCCCTCTGGCTGTTCCAGCTCCTGTTTCAGCGTCTTCCAACGGGGCCTGCTTTGTTAGTTTTTTAAATTATGGCGCGTTGATTTACGAGCTGTGTGATTCAGGGCCGTACCTTCGCGCCACCTCAAGTGAAGGTACCACACCACACCCCCTCCTCGAATCCTTTACCCCAGGGGCTCCCTCGCCTCTATGTGTCCACCCCGTTCCCTCTCAAAGCCCCCTGCCCCCACCGCAGGACTTCAGGTCTGCAGTCCTGTTTCTAGGGTGTGTGTTGGTTTATTTTTGTCAGTTCCTTTGTTTCTTCCTATTCAAAATAAGAGTGAATTCATCAGTTTGGAGAATCAGATTTAGGGGCTTAGCAGAACATTTGAGCTGGTGTATTTTGGGGTGATTGGGGGACAATTAAATTAGGCAGGAAAGAGGCAGCTGGTTGACACACTGGGAAAATTCAAGATTCAAGGCCAGAGGTCAGGTGGCCAGGTGAGGAGTGGAGCATGGAAGAGGGGTAACTTAGGAGGAGTTGAGGGTACAGGGCATCAGGGCCCCTACCCGGCCCATCCAATCTCACCAGACTCCTCCAGGGCCAGCCCCAGGCACGGGACCAGGACCCACATGGTCACATCAGTATCCAGGGCAGGTGGCAGCCCGAAGCCGGGAGCCTCCCTGAGGAACCTTTAAATCCCTCAGCCCCCTGGGCCCAGCTGGTGCCCAGGTGTGCCCCAGGCCCTGCCCCTGCAGCTGAGGTATGGGTGGAGGGAAGCAGGAAGTGGTGGGCTCACTGACCACCATACCTGTTCTCAGATGCCTGCACCCCAAAGGGCTGTGCCCCCTGCCCAAGGGAGTCTCAAAGGCCAGCAGGGCCGGCTCGGCTCCCTGTCCCTGCACCCTGGAGCCGCGCAGCCTCTGAGCTCCCGAGCCTCCGAGCTCCTGCTGCCCCGACCAGGCCTTGGCCTCAGACCCTCGTGTGCACTCAGTCTCAGGTCGGGACTCCACATCCATTTACCTCTCTGGGCTAATCATAACTGTGGGCACTGAATCCGGCCCCACACAGTACAGACTTGGCCAGCGTCTGGGCCTTGAAAGCTCTGCGGTCTGGTCCCTCTCTGACCGGGAGGGGCTTCCGCTCGGTCAGGCACAGGTTGTGGGAGGGACAGTCAGCTCCTCCCCCTGGTTTCCTGATCTAATGCCAGTGGTGGCAGGCGCTGGCGCAGACACCAGGCTTGGGGTCGTGTCACAGGCAGTCCCCCTAGACACCATGCCCTGGAGGTCCGCACTGACTGGGGGTCCTCTGAGTCACCCTGTGGGGAGAGGGAAGCTTGAGAGAAGCTTCTGGATCCTGTGCCCCCACCTTCCCCCTTATCACTCACTGTTCACAACCTCAATCAAACTTATCCAAGTCCTCCCGCTCCAGACCCACCTCCATCCCACACAGCCCAACTTGACCCAAATCTGGCCCCCAGCCCCGCTCAGCCCAACTCAGCACACCTCAGCCAGCCATGTCAACCACCCCTGGCCACCACAGCAAGAGACCCCATGTGACTGGTCAGCATCACCCTCAGCCCTCCCTGACTCCCATTGCCTTGTCTTGCGCCAGAACGGCCCTCCTCCCCCCAACTCAACCAAGGACTTCATGTCTAACACAGGCCAGTCACCTTCATAGTCAGCCCCCCGCAACCCGCATGGGACTAAGTCACAACCATCAATGAACCCCATGCCTCTGGGATGTCTGCTGTGCTGGTGAAGACGGAGTGGGGAGGGAAAGGCACCCTGGAAACTGAAGGGGGACCCATGGGGAGCCCCTGTGAAGGGGAGAGACGGCCTGAGAGCCCCTCTAGCTGTGGGGAAGGTGGGCGGTAGTGAGAGGCCAGTGTCTGAGAGGTTGGGAGGCCCCTGGTCTGTGTCTGAGGGAGGAGCACCCATTCCTGTTCCCTGAGAGGGAGAGTCCCAGGGAGTTGGGGTGCAGGGGGAGCCGCACACAGGATCTTCTCTAGCAGCAGGAGGGTGAGACTTCCTGAGGGTCCCCACGGGGCAAAGGGAGCTCCTGTGTGCTCAGGCCTCTCCCCTGGAAGCTCAGCTCCTGCTGCGCCACCCCCAGCTCATCTGTGGGGCCTCAGCTGTGTGTCCAGAGCCTGAAAGCTCAAGATGTTACTGATGTGCAGACACACAAGGACCCGCCCCGCTTCAGAGGTGCTGGCAGAGACCCTGGTTCTATGCAGGGCATGCGGCGTTCCTGGGGCATGGACACAAATGTTCCTGATGAGACACCAACCTGACGTGGGTCAGGAGGGAGGGATGTTTTTCATTTTTAATGTTTTTTTTTTAAAGATTGATGTATTTATAAAAAAGCTGGGGTACAGTCCACATGCGTGGGAGGGTGAGAAGATTCACCAGAGACAGAGCGGGGAACAGAACAGGCAGACTGACAAAATACACTGCTGAGGGGAGCTTCGGGGAGACAGGAGAGGTCTGCTGCACCATGTGGGTAGTTCCCTGGCCTGGGATCAAACTTGCGCTGCAGTGGCTGTGGACAGCTTCGTAGTGCTGAGACTTAGCCCATGCGCCACCAGGAGGCCCTGATTCCTGAGTCTCTTGGACAGCATTTACTTGGGGTTTCAATTTCCAGGGTTCAAGTTCTGGGAGCTAGCTGGTCTCGATGGTTTTCTGTATCCAGTCGGTGAACTTGCAGAGGTTGGTGTAGACACTCGGCACGTAGGGCTGGCCACACGGGGCGTGTCCAAAAGACACAAGGCCCTGCAGTGACCCCTTGCAGATCATGGGGCCCCCGGAGTCGCCCTGTGGTGCAGAGAGGAGTGAGTGCACCCCCATCACACAGCAGTGGAAACAAAAGTGGGATCATGGGAGCAAGATAAAGGGGGGCAGGGGCGGACACATCCCTTCGAAGTTCCATCCCAGACCCCCGTTTTCCCTAATTCTGCTCCATTTTGTCCTGACAGCAGCCTCGGGTAGGGTGCTCTGTGGGTGTTGCTCCTGCTGCTCCCCACTGTGACTTTCTCTCATTCCCATAGTTTCTGCTGCCTCCATTTCTTTGTATTTTCGTTCCCCCCACCCCCCTCTGTTTGACTTTCACCTCTGGGAGTCTCCCTGGGTCTCCCTCCCTAACCCTCCCTTCTGGTTCCCCGTGTGTCTCCATTTTGCCTTCTCTGCGGGGCTGCTTTCTGTCCTCGCGTCAGCCCTCCTGGGGCACCCTCCCTCCCGGGGCACCCTCCCTCCCGGGGCACCCTCCCTCCCGGGCACCCTCCCACCCTCCCTGGGCACCCTCCCTCCCGGGGCACCCTCCCTCCCGGGCACCCTCCCTCCCGGGCACCTTCCCTCCCGGGCACCCTCCCTCCCGGGGCACCCTCCCTCCCGGGGCACCCTCCCTCCCGGGGCACCCTCCCTCCCGGGCACCCTCCCTCCCGGGCACCCTCCCTCCCGGGGCACCCTCCCTCGGAGGGCACCCTCCCTCCCGGGCACCCTCCCTCCCGGGGCACCCTCTCGCCCGCTTCTCGCCGCGTGTCCCGTGTGCTCCGCCCCCGCCCGCGCTCCCGGCCCCGCTCACGTAGCAGGCGTCCCCGCGGCCGGGTCCTCCGCCGGCGCAGACCATGCTGGGGTGGAACACGGGCGCGTAGAGGGCGCCGCAGAGCCGCGCCGACGCCACCGAGACGTTCACGCACTGCAGCGCGGCGGGCTGAGCGCCTGCGGCGGGCGCGCGGGGTCAGGCCGGGCGGGGCAGAGGCGCGAGGCCCGCCGCCCCGCCCGGGGCCTCACCGTTCAGCAGCCGGCCCCAGCCGGAGACGAGGCAGGACTCCCCGGGGGTCGGGCACCGGGAGGCGACGCTGATGGCCCGGATGGTGTCAGACGGGGACACCGGCTCCTCGAGCTTGACGAGCATGAGGTCGTTGGCCAGGAGCGGCCGGTTGTACTCCGGGTGCTGCAGGCAGAGGCTGGCCGCGACCACCCGGCTGCCCGGCCCCTCGAGGGCCCCCAGGCTCTGCAGGCCCAGGCCAACGGCGAGGGAGCTGAGGGGCGCGGGGCTAGGTCACTTTTGTGGCAACTACAGTCGGCCCTTGAAACCCGGGGCTTAGGGGCGCCGACCCCTGAGCAGTCGAACATGTGCATGGAATTTAGAGTTGACCAGCCGCGGGCCCAGCACCTCCGCGTGCTGACCGGGGGGGCGGGGGGTGCGGAGCACGCGGACGGGGGAGAACCTTCCCCAACGCCGGCACCGCCCCGTGCCCCGCGTCGGCCCGCGTGTGTCCGCCCTCGCCCTGCGCCGCCCCGGCCCCTCGCTGCCCGGCCCGGGCCGCGCGCCCTCGCGGGCCCCCGGGGCAGGGATCCGCCGTCCGGCCGCAGCGCCGAGCTGGGACGTGGCTCTCGTGCCCCCGCGGCTGCTTCCCTGGGGGTCCCGGGGGTCTGCCGAGGCCGGGCCGCCCCCCGCCCCGGGCCGCGCACTCACGCCTGGAGACAGTGCGCCGCCGACAGCACCCAGCGCGGGTGCACCAGGACGCCGCCGCAGCGGAGCTCGCCGTCCGCGAGCAGGGCCGCCTGCCAGGGCTGCGCGTGCGGGCTGCAGTCCTCGCCGCTCGTGACGCGGCCGCCGCCCCCCGCGGCGCGGGGCCCTGGGGGGAGTGGCGGCTGCGGTCGGAACCCCGGGTTTGTGGGCGGTGCTTCGCGGGGGCGTGCTCGGGGCTTCTGGGGTGTGGCCACAGCTTTGTGGGCGGGGTCAGGGTGCAAGGGGGCGGGGGGGGCCGGGGCGGGGGAATTGGTGCACGTGGGCGTGACCCGCGCTTTAGGGGTCGGGGCTGGCGGCCAGCTCGGGCGCTCCTGGGGGAGGTGGCGCGGGGTGGGGGCGAGTCTTAAGGGGTGGGGTTGGAAGTGAGGGGGGGCCGGGCCTCCTGCGGGTGGGGTCTCGGGTTTCTGCTCTGTGTGACCGCTCTCACACAGCCTCTTTCTCTCACACCGCGCGCCCCAAGACAGGCGCGGGCCCTGCGGGGTCCCAGCACCCTCACACCGGGTGGCGAGGCCAGGGCGGCACAGCCGGTGGCTCCAGGGGCAGTGGCGGCTCTCGGGCCCGCCTTGCCCAGCTGGCCCGGCCTCCTCCGCAGTGGCACCCCGAAAGGAACCTCGTCATACTGTGCCACGGTGCCAGGTGCAGTTCCAGCAGTGAGCCCCCCGCCCCAGAAGCAGAAGTTCCCTTTCAGGCACCCCCCGCAACCCCCCCCCCCCCCCCGCACAGCACAGCACCCCGCTTCCCGCCTCCGCACAGCACCATGCAGCTGCTGGTACTCCGAGGCGCAGCGCCTCCGCGAGCGCCCGGCCTGCACCCGCGCCACCCGCCCGGCCACGCCGTCGCGCTGGGGGCCACACTCGCAGTGCGCGGCGCCCGCGGGGCCCTGCAGCACCCGGAGCCACCCCGGGCGCCGCGTCTGTCCGGCTGAGCGCGAACCCCGCGCCCGTAGACGCAGCCAGTCGCGCGCACGCGGTACCTGTGGCGCCGAGGATGAGGCACCCCAGGAAGCAGCCCCAGGGGGCTCCCGATGTGGCCATCGTGCCAGCACCTGAGGAAGGAACCCACAGCCCACATGCGTCTCTTTCACCGTCCCTCTGTCCCTCGGGGTGCTCTCGGGCAGGTTAGGGCCTCCAGCCCTCTCCCTGCCACCCCCACACGTGTCACGGCGCCGAGACCCAGAGCTGGAGAGAGAGAAAGCCGTCGGGAGAGTACTGAGAGAGACGGGGGCGGCGAGCTGGGGGCGGAGGGGGGACGAGGCAGGCTGAGAGGGCGGCTGAGGGTCGGAGTCGCGGAGAGTCGGAGGGAGAGGGGGCTTGCTTGTGAGGAGACAGAGACAGTCGGAGTCTGGGCCGCACCGGGCGGGACTTGGCGGGAGGAGAATGGATCACGGGCACCCGCGCGCTGGGGGAGGGGCAGAGAGTGGGGCTCAGGGGGCTGCTCACCTGCTCGGGCTCCAGCGGCGCTGCTGGGTCCAGCGCTGGGCTCCTGTCTGCTGCTTCCTGCAGGGCTCCTGGGGCTTATGAACACCCAGCCCGGGCCGTCCTGCCCCCCAGCGACGCATTCCTGGAATGGGGTGCCTCTTATGTCCAGCTCAGCTCTCCCAGGCTGCGGTCTGAGGGCCCTCAGGGCGTGGGAGCTGGCGCCCCGGGAGTCCCTGGGCTCCGCCCACACTCCCGCTTCTTTCTGGGGGCTTCCTTTCTCCTCTGTCTCTCTCTGTCATTTTCTTGGTCTGGCCTTCTCGTGTTTCCCCCTTAAATCTTGCTTTTGCATCCCCCACCCTCCCTGCCCCTCACCACCCCTCCACGCAAACACTCCTGTCTCCTAGCCCAGACTGCCTCCTCCTATCTTTGGAACCTTGGGTGCCGGGATGCACCCCTGTGAACCGAGGATTCCCCATCTGTATAGTCAGAGTAATGTGCCCAAAGAGAAAACGCGGGAAAGGCGCCCAGACACCCACTCTCTGCCTGAGGGACCCCGCCGAGTAGTGGGGGCGCCGCACAGCCTTGGCCTGTGCACTGCCACCTCCCCATGAGCGGCAGACCCAGAAGGAAAAGCAGGGTTCAGGGGTTGGGCTTGTGTCCTAGAGGGCACAGATCCGGGGTCGACTCGTTGGGGTGGAGGGGTACACACGCGAGCGCGCCAGTCATTTCTACCTACTTTCCTGAACAGGTGCTATTTCCATATGGTACAAAAATAGTGTTTGTTTTTAAAGGTATAGAACGATCATCTCATTCCCCACCTTGTCCCGCCTCGCTCTCAGCCTCCTGGACAGCCACAGCTCCGTGGGACAGGAGCTAGTCTAAAGCCCTGGTGTTTGTCTTTAAGGCTCCAGGCTGGGCTCACGGTGTGGCCATCCCTGGGTGCTCAGAGCAAAATCATCCCCTGCTGTATGCGGGGGAGCTGGCGAGTGTCACGGGTCCCCGTCCCTTTCCCATAATTGCACCTCAGGGCAGTGGGCAGGGAAATTATAGGTGGGTCATGGTTCTCTCTAGGCCCCGTGCCTTCTGCTTACCCAAAATGCTACTCATTTTGTGGCGATTAGTGATTAGCTTTGCCAGGAAAAGAACATTGAAAACAGCAGGTGGGGTGGGCTGGAGAACAAGGGCCTCAAGATGGTCACAGCCGAGCTGGCCCAGCACTGCCCGACATGGCTTTCGTGATAACGTTTTATTGTGTAATAGTTCAAGCCTTCACCCAGTTTCGCTACCATGGCTCATTGTCAAAACTAGAAAACTTGGGTTGCTGCAATGCCATCAGCTGTGGTGCACACCTTATTTGAATTTCAATATTCCTTCTTCTTTGCCATCCCCTCCATCCTGTCTGTCTGTCTATCTGTCTACCTACCTACCAACTTACCTGTTTGTTATTTCTCTCTCTCCAGTCACCACAATACAGAAGCATTTCATCATCACAAAGAAATTCTCTGCTTTATCCCTTAATTATCACCCCCTTCTCCCAACCTCAAGCCCTGATAACCACTGGTTTATAACTATAATTTTTTGTTATTTTGAGAGTGTTATGTGAATGACATCACACATGTGATGGGCCTGCTATTAAGAACCATCCTGGTTGTCCTATGTAACCATTGTTCGTTCCTCTCATAAGCTTTAAAAAAGTATTTGTGTATATTTACTTGAGTGTCATCCACAAAAGCCTGAAAGGCATATCTCCTGTTAATATTCTTGTTTACAGATGGGAAAGCTGAGGGCAGAGACATGACGTCACCTGTCACCAGTCTGGGGCACCTGTCCAGGTAAGTCACAGGGCTGGGATTTGAAGTCCAGCAGCCTGACTTCAGGGAAACTAATGGGGGGAAAAGGCCAAATTTAGTACTGATGAAACTTGACAGCTTCTTTTCTTGTGATGTATTTGAAGACACCCCCCCCCACTCTATTCTAGGGGTCTCTTTAATTTTGTCTGTGCTGGAAAATTTCTGTCAATATGTTTTGTCCTTGAGAAAAGAACTTTTCGTGCCACGGTTTCCTTGTCTGTACATGGGTTCTGGGGCGAGAACTGCTTCTAAGGTTGTCATGAGGATGAAATCCTAATGCACTGAGTGTGGAACCAGAGAACAAATTCTCAGTAAATGTGACCAATGTCCATCCTATATCACCCTGTAAACAACACCAAGGCCTCCGCCGCTGAGTTGCTATAACCAAAGTGTCTGGCCCAGGTGGCTCGTGAACAGCAAGAATTTGTGTTTCTCGGTCCCGGAGGCCGGGGCCCATGTCAGGACACCCGCAGGGTGGGTCCGGCGAGGGCCCTCCTGGCTCACTGACAGGCTTTTGTTCTCAGGAGGCAGAAAGGGCCCAGGAGCTCTCTGGGGTCTCCTTATAAGGGCACCCCAAAGACCCCATCACCACATACCATAAATCTGGGGGACAGGTTTCAAAATATGAACGAGGGGAACATAGCACTCGACCTGTTGCAAAAAGAAGACACTCGTGCTGGCTGGCTTTTATGTGAGCTGATTTGTGGGGCCCAGTGTCTGACCCTGGTGGCCACACAGTGAATGGGGCGTGTGTTCAGTGGCGGGCAGAAGGCAGGGGGGCCAGTGGACTTGACCCCCTCCCTGGCTTAGGAAGGAGGGTCAGGGAGTATGGCCCTCAAACGGCCTGGACCCCTCAGCATCCCCAACTCTGCGTCCTCATCTGTTCCTACAAGTCTCGAGCCTGGCAGCTGCGAGAACTCCCGTGTGGAGGTAGGCCTGGGGCCAGAGCTCAGGTGCTGTAAGAGGGGAGTGGGGACTGAGTCCTGGACTTTCTCTGTCCCAGCCCCTAGCAGGGGGTGAGAGCACCCAGCAGAGCCTCCTGGACTTCCCCCTGGTTCTTTCTGCAACTCGCGTTGGAGATTTTAATTTTCAGAAATGCTTTCGTGAAATTTAAATGCACCCGTCAATCTAGAAGCTGGAGAGCCTGGCGGGGGCTAAACGACAGCCAGGAGGCCAGGGCCTGAGCGGAGTCGGTCTCTGACCATGGTGCTGAAACCGCTGCTTTCCTATCAGACTCACACTGCGCGTGCGCACCCCGGTGCACGCGCACAGCACCCTGCACATTCCCTCACGCCTGCACACGCGGCCCCCCACTGCCCCTCAGGCCATGTGAGCGCCCCGCAGGAGGCAGATCAGGGGCAGTGACAGCCAGACCCTCCCCCTATGGGATGACACCATTTTATGATCCTTCAAAGAGCAGGTGGCGCCCCAGTGGCGCTGCTTCTCTGCTGCCTTTTGGAGTTTTGGGGAGTTCAATTAACTTCTTCATTTTAAGATTTTTATATATTTTTGCAAAGAAGAACTGGGGTACAGGCCAGAGGTGTGGGGGTGAGAGGATTCACCAGAGACAGAGTGGGGAGCACAACAGGCAGATCTACTGGAATACACTGCTGAGGGGAGCAGCGGGGAGACAGGAGAGGTCTGCTGCACCGTGTGGGCCAGCTCCCTGGCCGGGGGCTCGAACTCCAGCTGTCGTGGTGGTAGCCGGTCTAGGGGTGTGTGATGATGTCCAGCTGGGGGTTTAAGTTCCATTCTCTCGCCTGAAGAAGAGCATCTTTTTATGTGTTACGTTTGTGTATCTTCTGTGGTAAAGTGGACCTGTGGTGAGCTTCTTCCTCTAGAAGAAAGGGTACTTGGGGTGTTCAAATGCCCTTTATCTGCTATGCAAGCAAGATGGACCTTCCCACGTGTATTAGTGTCCCAGGACAGCAGAGAATCACAAACCAGGAGGCTGAAAATTACAGACATTTATTCTCTTACATTCCAGGGGCCAGAAGTCTGAAATCGAGGGGCCCCTCTAGGACTCTGGGGGCGGGGATGCTTTCCTTCCCAGCTTCTAGTGGCTGTTAGTGGGTCCCTGGCCTGCTCAGCTGGTGTCTGTGTGACCCCAGTCTCTGCCTGCCACTTCACAGGCTCCCCATATTGCATCTTCACAGCCTCTCACCTCTTGGTATAGGAACCCCACCATCCTGGGTTAGAGGCCCACCCCTCTCCGGGATATCAGTGAAACTGTTGACACCTGTAATAACCATACCTCCAAATAAGGTCACGTTCTGAGGTGCTCATTCTGAGAACCGCAGCGTCTTCTGGGGGCGCACAGTTTAACCCACCACACTGCTGATTCAGCAGCATGCGCCCTCAGTCGCGTCCAGCTCCCTCTCGGGAAAAGCGGTAGAACACTGCACCTCTGGGTGCGAGGTGGAACTGTCACCTCGGTGCTAGAGGTAGGCGTTTGACTACCTGTGAGGTGATTACCAGGTAGGCATAAAGGAGGCGTTTGACTCATTCAGGCTCAGAGAGGTCAAGTAACTTGCCCGACGTTGCTCAGCCCAGCCGACGGCTCTCCCAGGTCCATTCTCCAAGGGGCCCCAAGGTGGCGCCATAGCGAAAGGCTGGATTCTGCAGCCTCGGGTCAAAAATCCTGTGTCCTGGGTGCGCAGGGGGCGTCTCTCCCGGAGCTGTTAGGGTAACCCCGATGCAGACCTCCCAGGCGGGAGCAACAATCGAAGCTGCTGACTAGTTCCCAGGGAGCCTGGGTGGGGTGTGTGTGTTCACACCGGGCCGGCATCGCGGGCATCTCCGGGACAGCTGCAGTGTCGCCCGCGGTCTCCGCCCCGGTCTCCGCTCGCGTCCGGTCTCGGGGGCCCGGGCCCCGCGCGGCAGCCCCTGCTGCGGGACAGAAACGGCTCTGAACCTCTCCCTGTCGGGGCCGCCGTTACCCTGGGGGCTGGGCCGGGGGCGGAAACACGGCCTGGAGGTCAGACGCTGAGGCCGGGAAGGGAGCAGGGGGCACGGAGGCGTCTGGAAGTGGGGGGAGGGTGAGACCAAGGGTCAGCAAAGGAAACCTGGGATCCAGGATTGTCCCCCCCGCCCCAGATTCTCACCCCAGGAATCTTTCCTCCCTTTTCCTCTCTGCCTCTCCTTACCTCTGTCTTTCTTACCCATCCACCCACTCTGTCTGTCTGTCTTGCAGAGCCCTTCTTCAGAACCTTTCTCAGTTTCTTAGTGGTGCTGTTTCAGTGCTTCTAAAGCGTCCCAGGTTCCCCGAGTCTCTAAATCCAAGTCTGTCTTTATTTTTTTTAAGGTTTTTTTTTTTTTTTTTTGGGACCCTCCCCGGTGGCCGGGGATCAAACTGGCACTGCAGAGGCTGCGGGCAGCCTCGGAACCCAGCACTCAACCACTGCACCACCAGGGGAGGCCCTGTCTTTATTTTTTTTAAGATTTATTTATGCATACAAGAACTTGGGGTACAGGCCAGAAATGCGGGGGTGAGAGGACTCACCAGAGACAGAGTGGGGAACAGAACAGGCAGCGGGCGAGTCAGGAGAGGTCTGCTGTGCCATGTGGGTAGCTCCCTGGCTGGGGACCCCAACTCGTGCTTCAGGGGCTGCGGACAGCTTCATAGGCTGTGTCTTAACCCCTTGCGCCACCGGGGAGGCCCTCAAGTCTGTCTTTAAATCACTTCTGGTGACTATTTTTCTAAGCTCTCAGAGTCTCTCTTCTCTCTCCCCCTCCTGCCCCTTCCCACCGTCTTCCTCCTCCCTCCCACCTCACCCCCCCCCCCCCAGCCAGCTCCACGTCCCTGTCTGCTTGTCTTGGCTCCAGCACCATCTCGGTTTTGGGCACTGACTCAGGTCTCCTGCTCCCCTGATTCACCTGCTGGCTCCATACCAGCTGCAGAGGTTGAGCCCCACTCACCCAGCCTCGCTGCCCTCAGCCCCTGAACTCCTCGAGGGCTCCCACCTGACCTGCTGTCAGAGCTAGGGGGAGGAAGCTTGCAGCGGGGAGCCTGGCGCTCAGAGCAGCTTTGTCATCAGCGCCGTCCTCACCTGCGGCTCCTCCCACCCGCAGTCAGATGCTTATCTGCCCCACGGAATGCGCGCAGGGCCAGTCCTCCACCAGCAGGGCTGGGGCCACGCCCTGACCTCGGTTTCCAGCCAGGATCAGCCACCCTGAGCGCCAGGGCCTGGGGGAGGACAAACCAGCTCTGCCAGCCTCACCCCGAGCCTCTGAAGTCCAGAGTCAATCCTGTGCATTTCAGGGGGTGCAGGTGAGTCAGCCGCAGGGGGTCGGGTTCGAATGTGGCCCTGGCCCAGCGGAATACAGTTCATGCAGCAGCCTCGGCTTGGGGGTCTCAGCTGAATTCTTACTCCCTTTAGTCTTTAGCTGCAGAGATGCGAACACAGGTTTCCTGATCCCCGCTGCTCTGGACAGAGGCTCTTCCCTTTCCTGTTGCCTCCCCCTTCTCCCTCTGCCCACCCTCCTCCCTCCCTCCCCACCTCTGCTCCCTCCCCCCTCCTCTGCTCCCTACTTCCTCTCTCACTCCCTCTTCCCACCCTCCTCTGCTCCCTACCCCTCCTCCTCCCCTCCCTCCTCCCTCTCTGCTCCTTCCCTCCCTCCCTCCTTCCCTCCCTCCCTCCTCCTCCTCCCTCCCTCCTTCCTCCTCTGCTCCCTCCTCTCTCCCTCCTCCTGCTCCTCCTCCCTCCTCCTCCCCCTCCCTCCTCCTCCCTCTTCCCTCCCTCCTCCTCCCTCCCTCCTCCCTCCCTTCTCCTCCCTCCCTCCTCCCTCCCTCCTCCCCCCCTCCTCCCTCCCTCCTCTTCCTTTCCTCCTCCCTCCCTCTCTCCTCCTCCCTCCTTCCTCTGCTCCCTCCCTCCTCTGCTGTCTCACTCTTAGGAAATGTGTAGTGTGGTTCATATGGGCATGTAATTTTAATATATGTTACTGGTTTTAGATTTTATATATGTGTAATCCATTCTCTCTCTCTCTCTCTCTGTCTCATTCTGTCCCAGTCACTTTTCAAACAGCACTTTCGCATTTTCAATTTTTGATGATGACGACAGCTAACATCTGTGTGTCCAGTATGGATCAGCTGGTGTTAATCTCTACGTTTCTGTCATGAGCACTCACTGCCCTGCCCCTGGGTTGTGTAGTCTGGCAGCCTCAGGTGGCGACTTCATGGCTGCGCAACGTGTCCTCCAGGTGATCACCCCAAAAGTCCACCATGACCGGCCTGTGCCCCCTCCCCCACTTCAGCCCCTCTGCTTCCCCTGCTCTCTGTGTCTAAGCCCCCACTGAGGGTTGTACACCCATCCCGTGCTTTGTTCATCGGCCCCACAGTGGGTAACCACACAAAGACCCAGCAGCCTCCCCAAGGGTGGACGACACGTGATGGCCGCCTCCCAGCCACCACCGATGGCACCACAAGGCTTGAACTTACATGTGTCCCCGGCGGGCTGTGGGGATTCTCAGGGATGTATAGCCAGGCATGAACGCACTGAGTCACGGGGGGTGTGTGCACTTAATTCAATGGAGCAGCTCTGGATCATTCCTTGGGGTTTGGAGACACTGGAACATTCTACTGTCAGCACTTCCCCGCAACACCTGACACCGTCATCCTAATTCTCTGCAGCCTGATTGGTGCCAAGTGTGATATCTAATCGTGGTTTTGTGGTTATGTACGTCTTTGATGACTTTGAGCACCCCTCGGAGGCACGCTAGCTGTGGGGCTCTGCACAGCCCACTCATATCCTTCGCTGCTCCCCACGAGAATGGCATTTTCAGGTTGAAGTCACGTTGCATTATGGCATTAGACGTTTGTCTTCTACCTCATTCGGAGGTGCTTCCTGCTTGTCCAGCCCGCATGTCACGAATGACTTCTCCAAGCCCATCCCCCTGCTGACGGCTCACCGTGCTCCCCTGCTGACGGCTCGCTGTGCTCCCCTGTGAGCCCAGACTCTTCGCTTTGACATAATCAAACTAAGTGGTGTCTTGTCTGGTGTTGTATGTTTTAGAAGTCTTACAAAGTCGTTCCCTGTCACAGAGATTCCAAGATCATCTCCTTAATTTTCTTCTAGTAGTTTCATAAGTGCATCTTCCATGTAGCTGTGGTCTTTGGGATGCCTGGAGTCCTCCATGTGTGATGCTGGATGAGAGTCAAGGCCTATTTCCTGGCACACTGAGCCGGTTATCCTGGAGCCGCAGACTGAGTTCCCATCTGCCCCCACCAAACTGAGGTGCTGTGATATCATATCTGACAAGTCCCCACGCACTGTAGAATGTCCTGCTCAAAGCCCACCGAGCTCTTTCTGTGCTCTCGCTTCTGGCTCCCTGACCCATTCATCTGTTCTTGCTCCACTACTCCACTATTTTTAACACGTTGATTTGTTTTGCAGTCTGTCTAATATCTAGTAGGGCAAGAAGCTTATTCTTGCACCACACAACGCTGCTCTTACTGTTTAGATCACCGTACAGGAAACAGACTGATCCTCTTTCCACCCGAAGTCAGAACTGGTTACACAGTTGGCCCCTCCTGAGTCTTCACTCACATTTCCTGTCACCCCCGGCGGCCTCCATGCTGGAAAAGGCTCAGCCACATGCGGGAAGAGAAAGTGGAGACTGCCGGAAAACCCACACCATGCCTTAGCTCAGCCCTCTGTTCCTAGAAACTCTGCCCGCCATGAGTCCTTTGGACTGGCGGGTGCGAAACCAGCCTGGACACAGCGGTCTGGAGCTCTGAATTCCAAGCCCGGGGTCGGGGTCGGAGTTGAGTCTGGTGCAGGGGCTCCAGGTTTCAAGTTTCCTATTGTGAGGACTGAACCTTTCCCCCTGCTTGCTACTGTGGCTTGTTTGCATTGGTGGTCTCTCCTTGCTAGAGATAACGAGAGACCTCCTCCTCTGAACCCTATATAACATTGTACACATTCCTGAATAAATGAGACTGGCGATGATCCTGGCTTTGTCTCCACTCCTCGCGTACCCCTGTCCCATACCAAGCCCCTGCTTCCTCCCCCGGGTACCCCGTTGATCTGCCCCGCTGGCCCGGACACCCCCACCTCCCCCCTCCTACCTCCCCCTACCTCCCCCCACTCTCCCACATCCCCCTCCTCTTGTTCAGGCCATTTGGGGAAAGGTTCTGGTTGCAACCTCAGGAAATGAATCCTGATTGGTGCAAATCAACCATGTGGTGCCCTTCCCCTGTCCTGTGATTGACTTAGAGGAGGTCACGTGACCCAACTCTGGCCAAAAGAGTGCAGAAAATTCTGCTGGGATGGACTTTGGAAAAGTCACACCCTTTTTCCCTACAGAGACTGGCTAGTTACTGACCCTGAGTTCAGGACCCCACAGAGCAAGGACCCCCGGAGGCTCGCAGCGGCCCTTATGCACACGTGTTGGTGTTAGAAGCTAGATTTTTTTTTAAAAAGATGTATTTATTTATGCATACAGGAACTGGGGTGTAGGTCAGAGGTATGAGGGGGGGGGTGAGAGGATTCACCAGAGACAGAGTGGGGAGCAGGACAGGCAGATCCACTGAAATCCATTGCTGAGGGGAGCAGCAGGGAGACAGGAGAGGTCTGCTGCACTGAACTCGTGCTGCAGTGGCTGCAGAGAGCTTCATAGGTTGCATCTTAACCTCTTGCGCCACCAGGGAGGCCCCTGAATTTTTTCTTGTTGCCAAAAGCAGGTCAACTAACAGCATGAGGTTGGAAAATAGGCTCAAGATTGCCTCTTAGCTAGGATTCTGCTCCATCTAGATGGATCAATTTTGCTGTTATGAATTGTAACTACCGGCGTCTCCGGGAATTCTGTCGGCACTATTTATTCCTGTTTGTGTGCCCCATCACGATGTGTTCTGCCTTGCGATGGGAGCGGGGCTGACTTCACGTCTGCACAGCACCCTGGGCATCAGGTCCGCCATTGCCCAGCACCAAGGACAAATGACGCATCATTGTAGGTCAGTGAGACCTCAACCTTGGCTCCCCAACCGTTGTCGAATATCCCCCAAAACTATTGTGAGGACTTGTAAATCGCTGGGCACTAGTTATTGCCTATTATTACATCATTTCTTATGCCATCCTCCCATGTTATGGGTAGTGAAATTAAGGTCCAGAAAGAGTACAGGACTTTTGAGAGGTGGCTCAGTGCTGTTTCAGTACCCCCCCAGCCCCCCCAAGCCCCCCAACCCCCTTTCCCCCGGCCCACGACCTCCCTCGGCTGCACCCCCAAGGCGGGTGCTTGTGGGGTGCGCTCGGAGTAGCACTTTGTAGCTGGTGGCGCCACCCCCTCCTTGGCCATAGCTGATTGGACCCGGAATCTGCCTGTCTGTTGGGGATGGCCAATCAGGTGGTTTCTCCTCTCTGAGCACTAAGAACGGCCAATAGCGAGTGGGTGGGGGCGGGAATGCTAGGGTAGGTCACGCCCCGTCGGGCGCCGCCGGGCGAGGAGAAGGGAGGCGCGCGCGGGCGTCGTGGGGCGTCCCGCGGCGGCCGCGGGGCTCCCGCATTCTCCGGCCTCTCCCTCCCCGCCACCCCCGTCCCCGCCGTGGCCCGTAAGCAGCGCCATCTCGTCCTCGCGGCCGGCCGGCGAGGTCTGGGAGGAGCCCCAGCTCCGCCGCCGGCGCCGCGTCCGTGGCCGCCCGACCCGGCGCGGAGCGTAACCCGCGTCCGGCGCCTTCCGGCCCCGGGGGCCCCGCCGGTCCCACGCGAAGCCCCCGCTCCGCCCCGCGTCAGCCCGCCGCCCCCAGTGCGCAGGGTGCGCCCAGTCGGCCCGGCGACCCCCGACGGCGGCGGCGGCTTCCTGCTGCCTCGGCGCCGGCGGCCGCAGGTGCGCGTGTCGGGTCCGGCGGCCGCGGCCCACCGCGCGCCTCTGGGCCAAAGCGCCCGCAGACGGGGCGAGCTCCCGGCGAGCCGCGGGACGATCCTGAGCCTTTTCTGCCTCCTGCAAGTCACCGTCTCTGCGCTCAGGGCGCCTCGCTCCTTCCTCAGACTCTGCGTGCGGGCTGGCCTCCGCCGGCCCTCGGTGAGGCCCCGCCTCCCAGGCAACCCCCCGGGCGGTCCCTCCCCCGCGGATCGCTACCTCTAACCCCTGCTGCAAAGCCTCTGCCCTCTGCAGTCACCGGCACGTAGGCGCCAGGAATTAGGACGCGCTGGTCTTGGAAGGGGCGGTGACCCTCCCACACCACGCTGGGAAGCACACCCCCCAATTCCTGCTGTCCCTCAGCCCTCTCCGTTCAGACTGCTCAGAGTTCCTTCGGGTTCCCCCATCTCTGTACTGCTTGTCTCCCCTTGCTTAGAACGCAGCTCCAGGAGGTAGGGAGTCCTATTCCCTGTGTACCCCTGTGGGTATCCCCAGCACCTGGCCTGGCTCCTGGGAGAGCACCATCAATATTGGAGAAGGAAGTAAAGGGAGCTTGAGTGAATTTCTATTTTGTGGGGATTTTTTGGGGGGGTGCTTTGCAACTGAGCAAACAGGTGGAGGGAGGAGGAGGACGAGGGGAGTGGAGAGGGCACCACCGAGTGCGCTTCTCAGACTCTTTATTTCTGGGACCATGTGTGGGCCATAGCAGCAGAAAGAAGGTGGGCCCCGGAAGAAAGCATGGGGGGGCCAAGGCGCAGCCCCACCCTGGCCATCCGTGAACTGTCTCCAGGGTCCAGTCAGAGAGGCAAGGTCAGTCCATGGTGGAGAAGGGGTTCCCTGATTCCCGGGTACCCCAGGATGCTCAGGGAAGGGGCAGGAAGATGTACCTCCTCCCTGTATTGGGGAAAGAACTGGGTCCCTGTGGGAGTGTGGGTGTGGGGGGCAGCAAAGTGGGGGAGGTGTCCAGGGGTGACTCATCAGTTGGACCTGATAGTGTCCTGGATCCACTTGTTGAACTGGCAGAGGTTGGTGTAGACACCAGGTCTGTTGGGCTTGGCGCAGGGAAAATCCCCCCAGGACACGAGGCCTTGGAGAAAGTTGTTGCAGACCACAGGACCCCCAGAGTCGCCCTGTGGTGGAGCAACCGGGCAGAGGAGCCGAGAGGTGGCAGGAGGGAGACACAGATGGAGAGGGAGCAGGACCGGACACAGGTGGAGAAGGCAGAGGGGACGAGACAGACGAGAAGGAGGCGCAGGTAGAAGGAGAGAGACACAGGGAGAATATTAGCATTTCACCCCATGACCCACCTTAGAAACCCTACTTGTCCCCGATGAAGATTGTGCCCCATGACCACCACTGACATAGGGGCTGAGTAATTCTTGGTGGTGGGGGGCTGTGGGGGCACCTGAAGATGTTTAGAAGCATCCCCGACCCTCCGGGCACACTGAGACAGCAGACGTTGGCAGCGCCAAGGTCCAGGGGCAGAACCACTGTTGGGACGCTCTTGCCTTGCCTTGTCCTTAATTCGCCATAATTCCCTGTAATTGCCTCCCTGGAACAATACTCACTGCTCTTTGCTGTCATTTCTTATTTATGTTTATGCAAAACACGAATACCTACAGACTCCTGGTAATGATTACAAGGAAGCCTGAGATCTGGCTTCTTGCACTTGGACAGTTCCAAGGCCAAAGGGCTTGGCTGCCTCCGCCTCACATTCCAGCCTCTCGAGGCGAAACTGCCTTATTCGTGTCCTTGGCGTCGCAGCCCTGCAGAGCATCTTTGGAGAAGCGCTTGGCTAACGGCTCTGAGCCCTGGCCCTTGCCGCGTGTGGCTAATAACGAGTTAATGTGCAGGCGCACGCGAGCTCCTTAAACAGGTCCCCGCAATTAGCTGCCATGATGATTCTATCTGTATCATATTATCATGGCTATTATATCTTACTTTGAGTGGCCGCACCCAGATCACAGGCTGGTGTTGAAAAGCAACTTGAGGTCTACCCCCCCCCAAAAAAAAAATTATCTTGGCTACAGAGAAACTAAATTGTTTAAAATGCTGGCATTTGAATTTGATGCTCTGTCACCGATAAAAATCCTTTCACCCACACATCTGTCCAGACGAGTGGGCTGCCTTTGTGAGTGGGGACAGACATGAAGTTGGGAGACCTGCTAAGCTGTTGTAACTGTCAGGTTTATAAAACTGGTGGTGGGGCACCTCACTGTCAGGACAGGCCAGTGCCGAGAGGAGCGAGGAGAGAGCTGGTTCACTAGATCCTTGGAGGATCCCTGAGGCATGAATACAGGAAAGGGCCTCGAGGACTCACAGTTTCATTGTAATTTCTGTCCTTCTCAATGTGTTACAGACAGAAATTCTATGCTGGCTACCAAGAAATACCAGTTGAAATTCTGATTATTGAAATCCCAATTGAATTACTGAGGATTTCCTACAGCAAAGGCTGCAGTGAAGGCCTCATCTACTAAGGAACTGAGTGCCTCTAACTGTATTAGCCTCATGAGATTCTATTTAAAAAATCATACAAGAGTTGAGAAAATTAGGAAGTTATTTTGTGACAATTTGAAGACTCGTCTGGCTAGGGTAACAAGGAAAAAAATATTTGTTGATTATTGCCTCCCACCCATATCTCCACCCCCAAGTCCTTCTGATACCCCCATCCCTGCCACGCCACCTCCCAGACCCATCCACGCTGTCCCCAAACACGTTGACTTATTTCTGTTCATTGACCGGCCCCCTGCCCCAGGACCTTTGCACCTGCTTTTCTCACCCCTTAACCTTGGCAGGGCTGGCTCTTTGTGTCTGTTCACACACTACCTACGGGAACAGGCCCTCCCTTCCCAACCACCATTTTTAATATTATCTCTGACTGTTCACGGTCATAAAGTTTTTTTTTTCTGTATAACCCTAACCACCCTCTGAAATAATTACCTGGTATATACAGTTTCTTGGTCATGGATTTCTTTTTTAAGTTTGACTTCCTTCCCTCCCCGGCCCTTCCAACAGCTTTCTAACCAAGCCTCTGCATTAAAAATTCTCTTTTCTCAAACCCTACCAAAGGGTTCTATTTTCCTTCCTCAAGACATTTGACCAGCATTTGTTGGAAAACCTTCATACTACACAGTGTAAGGGAACAGGACACTTCATTGCCAGCCACCTGAAATTTACCACAATAAGAGACTAACTGAAGTCTGGGAGGTAAAGAGCCTCTTTAGATGTGATTGTTTTGTGCAGTGCACAACCTGCACAACCATACAAAGCAGACTTGATCTCTCCTTCTAGACCTGTGCTGCCCATTACACTAGCCACTAGCCACAGGGGGCTGTTGAGCCCCTGAAACATGGTAGCCCAAACTGAGATCTGCTGTCAATGTAAAAATACATGTGCCAACTTTGAGAATCTTCTATGGGGAAAAAAAGGATGTAAAATGTCTCATTTGTATTGCTTTATATTAATCACATTTTGAAATGACACTAGGATACATGAGATGAAATATGAAAGTTCATCTCACCTGTTTCTTTTTTTTTTTTCCCTTTAAAAACATTGCTACTAGAAAATTTCATTCTGTTTCTACTAGATAACGTTGCTCCAGAATGAGGCAGGGGTCCTAGCCAGTTTGACCCTCGCAGGGGCCCCCACATGTGGCAAGGCTGCAGATTACAGAGCCAGCCCCCCTGTGTACCTGCCAGTGAGCGGAACCGCTGTCACCCTTACCTGGCAGGAGTCTCGGCCATCTTGGTCGCCAGCACAGAACATGGTGGCGTCTATCTGTCCCGGGTAGGCAGCCTTGCACCTCTCCTGGCTCAGTATGGTGATGTTCAGGCATTGCAGAACCTTCGGGAAGTTAACTGTGAACAGAGACAGAGCAGAGCTGCAGCAGATGGAGGAGAAAGACGGGGTGGCAGAGAAGCAGAGGGAAGACGGGTGGGGGACATCTGGAGGCACCCGGAGCTCACCCTTGGGGCTGCTGGTCGTGCCCCAGCCAGAGACTATGCAGCTGGTGCCCGCAGATGGGCAGCGGGAGGAGATGCTGATGGGTTTGACGGTCTGGCTCTCGTGGATTCTTCGGTTGAGTTTGATGAGCATGAGGTCATTGGAATGACCTGGGTGGGAGTAGCCGGGGTGGGGGATGGATTTGATCCCCTTGAACAGCTGCTGCCCAGATTCATAGACAGGAGACAGAGAAAGGTGGCCCAGGCGGATTCGGACAACTCTGAAGAAGATGGCACAGGTCACCATCCACCCTGAGCCCATCCCCCCATCCAGGGCCAGCTACCACCCAAACCCAGTCCGGACCCCCACACCACCAACCAACCCCGGGCCCCACACCTGCATCTTCATCCGCAACCCCAGCCCTCTCCCACACAGAAACCGCCAATGAAGGCACTGCAACCCCAAATCTAACCAACCTAACCCCAACCCATCCTCGAGTCTATCCATCCTCAGTCTCAACTGCACCCCAGCTCCATCTCTATCTCCACCCCACCCCCTCCCATCTCACCCCCAATTCTAAAGCCAACCCGAATCACACCTTCATTCCCAAGCATCCATCAGAAGCATTTCCAACCCCAGGAATCCAGCCCACCCCTAACTCTGTCCTCTCCCTGCGACGCCAACCCAGGCCCCCCACTCTGCTCTCCGCCATTCGCCCTCCTCCTGCTCGCTCACCCCCAGTCCCGCCCGCCAGCCCTCCTCCTGGGCCAGACACCCCCCCAACGCCCCCCGCCCGCCTCCGCCGACCCCACTCACGGCTTGTGGCAGTGGGCGGCCGTGAGCAGCCACTGCGGGTGCACCACCACGGCGCCGCAGTACAGCTGGCTGTTGGACAGCAGCAGCGCGCCCTGCCACGGCTGGGCGTCCCGGTCGCACTCGGTCCCGTTCACGATGCGGCTGCTGCTGTCGTCCGACCTGGTGTCCTCCCCGGCCCGAGCTCCCGGGTGCGGCCGGAGGGCCCCCGGCGGCAGGGGGGTTGTCGCAGGTCACATCGTTCGCCAGAAGGGGCTCTGGGGGAGGGGGCGGGGCTTGAGCTCGGGGCGGGGCCTGGGCTCGGGGGGGTGGGTCTTAGAGTCGGGGGCGGAAGTCTGACCACGGCCGCTTGGTTGAGGGGGCGGGGCCGGGGCTTTAGGGGCGGGGCCTGGGGCGTGGGGGGGAGCCGCTGGGGAAGCAAGGCGTAGAACTTCAGGTTCGGGAGGTGAGGCTGAGCTCTGCCTGCAGTTCTCACGCTTTCTGGGAGGGACCCGAACGCATTGGGCAAGACCGGGGAGGGTGAAACTGCACAACCTCAGAGGAGAAGCCAAGGGTCTGGGGCCAGGGGAGCCTAGGGGTGGCCAGGAGAGCTGAGCTGAGCGGGTGGGATTGGGGTCAAGAAATAGAGTCATGCCTCAGTGAATGGGGTCCGGGCTGGTGGCAGCAGAGCCTGAGAGGTGAAAAGGGTTTGGGGTCGACTTGGGTAAGCCCAGGGCCAGGTCACGCCGCAGAGGTGCATACTACGAAGAGCCCCGATTCGCGGAGGGCAAGTGAGGCAGGGCTGCAGGAGTTGCAGGCAGGATGAGCTGGAGACTGTGAGCCAGAGGGAGCGCCACAGGGGCGGGGCCTGGCTGGGAGGGGACTCAACGCAGGATGGGGTAGGTGGCTCTACATGACATCGTACTAGCCAGTGCAGTTGAGGAAAGGGGTGGAGTCAGAGCTTATGGGCGGGGCAAGAGTTGGGGGAGCAGACCCCCTCCCCACAGAGTGCTCATAGCCACTGCTCTGTAGTAGTAGGGGACAGTGGGGGAGGGCAGGACTGGTTTTCTGAATTCTGAAACACAAACATACCTCACGCATCCTCCTGCCAACACCCTCCTCCCACACGCAGGCCTGCAGACACCTCACCCCACCACCCCAGTTTCCCCCCAGTGTCTCTGTTCTTCGCATTCCTGCTGACCAGAGAAACCTCGTTAGTGCAGATTCCCAAGAAAACCGCGCACCAGACTGTCACAGACAAGCACACATGCAGTCGCAAGGAGACACTGGCAACCCAGGCGCTCCCCAGGGGCACCGGTGTGGGCGACTTCCCACGATCTCCCGCAGCCACGCAGGGCGCGGGGACGCACGCCCCAAAGACAGCGATGCAGGACCCACCGCTGCCACACACACTGTCTCAGAGTCACAGCCCGCCCCACACCCGCGGTCCCCTGGGACGGGGCCCTGAACCCACACACACAGCCCATCCCACTCCCGCCCCACCCACACCAGGCCACAGGGACCCCAGAGCCCCAAGCTGCTCCACGGTCACTGGGTGGGCACTGGGTGAGCAAGTGCTGTCATCCCACACAATGCGGTGACGGGGCTGGGGGTGGGGGGGGGGCAGGGCAGGAGCCCAGAGGCCCTTGGTCAAGAGAAAAGCCAAATGGCCCCATGCACGGGCGCAGGCAGGTTTAGCCCACAGTGGCCACACGCCACCCCCACGAGGTGCGCGCACCGCCCACACCATCAAACTCGGCCCCTTGAGATGGGAGCAGGGACTGCCCACATGTGCACAGATACAAGCAGATTCCCAGTCACCCCATCTTGGACCCCAGGTTTCCAGTCACACAGGGTCCCTGGGATGGGCGCTCCAGTCACACTGTCAACCACGCCGCTGGCACGCACAAACAGGGGCTCCATTACCTGTGCCCCCCAGAATCAGGGCTGTGATCAGGGCACTGACCAGCCACTTCCCAGGAGGTCCTGCTATAGCCATGGCCACTGCACCTGGTGAGGAGGGAATGGGGATCCAGTGACTCCGGGAACCCCTCCTACCTCCCCTCTCTACCGGGTTTCCCAGACCCGGAGAAGGAACACCAGGGGCGCTAAATTGGGCCCCAGGAGCTGCAGGCTTGAAGCGGCTGACATCCAGCATACTTCTCCTCCAGTGGGGGGGAGAGGGAGGGGGGAGAGAGAAAAGAGAGAGATGGGTTGTAGCTGAGACCAGAGCTAAACCCTGAGGCCTCTGTCCCTCCCCAGCCCCCTCCCCAGGCCTCACCTGCCTCGTCCCCGGATAGGGGTGGGGAGCCCTCCCAGCTCCGTGCACTCCTCAGGCCTGCTGTCCTGCCCTGCCGCCTGACTCTGGGCACTGAGCCGGAGTTATAACCACCCACCCACTATCCCCAGGGCGAATTCCCAGGTAGTGAGGCGTCCTGCCAGGCCTCCGCAGTCACTCCTCCTGCCTCCCCCCACCTCCACCCCCAGAGCACCCCCCACCCAGTCTGGAGGGCCACTCCCTGGCCTGGGATTGGGGAGGGGTCTCTGCTTTCTGGCTGGCAAGCCCTGCATGCAAGGATTTTCTGGCTTCTCTGAGCCTCTCACTCTTTGCCTCTCACCACCCCGCCTCCTAAACATCTTTCCATCTTGGCCTCTGCGTTTTCAAGTCCTTTTGTCTGTGTCTGACACCCCACCTCCTCCATGGCTTGCTGTGACTTGGTATTTATGCCTCTGTCTGTGTGTCTTTGCATCTAAGACTTTTCGTCCCTCTGTCTCCCGTGCCCTGCATTTTGGGCTGGGAAAGCTCGGGTCACTCCACTAAGTGCCAGCCTCTCAACCCTTCTCCTGCCCCTCACCTGGGGCCCCGGCCTGGTTGAAAGGGGCAGGGATCCAGTCTGGGGGACCTTGAAGCCGCCTCAGCCTGCTGGACCAGCGGGGCGTGGGTGAGTTGGGCAGGGCTGCCTGTGGATGGGGAAAGCGCCTACTAGGCCAAGCTGGGGCGGTTGGCTCCTGCCTTTTTGCAAATGGGGCCCTGGGTGGGGAGCCCAGAAAGTGTTTTTGCCCCTGAGTGCCAGGTCATCTGAGACTGCCTCCCAGACCACTTCCCCATCCTGGCCCTTTGTCTGATGCTGCCCTCAACTGGCTCCACGTCTCCTCCCCACAAAGATGTGAGCCCCTGGTTCAACGCCTGTTTACCCCTGGCGACCCAGATCCATCCGTGAACAAAACTAAGGGCCAGATGCCTGGAAGCGCCATTGGCACGTTTCCGTGGCCCAGACCCTACAGGTAGGAGCAGTCCTCAGGAGGAGCAATCTTATTTTGGTGATTGCAATGAGCACAGTGTGCATGACAGTGGCCGAACCCCACCGGTGAGTTTGCAAACCTGAACTTGAGGCATGTGTTTCTGTTCTGCACAGGGCTTTGTAACAGCGCTGGGTCCCATTTACAAACTGAGTTAATCCAATGTCTTCAAACGTTGCAAACCACATTCCTAAAGCCAATCCATTCAATCTGGATGCTCGATTCAGGGCGCCCTTCCAGTGGTCAGGAGAACCTTCCAGAGCATATCGCTAAATGTCTATGCCTGTGTACATCACATTAGCCAGTAGGCTCGACGAGGGGATCTTTTGCATACCCCCGAGCCAGTGGTAACAGACAGAGTCACCTATCAGTGATGCGTGTCTAGTTGAAACCACGAGGCCACCCCGAAAAAAGGGAACAGTCTCTGACGCACAAGCTCCTGACGTACCACACGTGCAGGGTTGGTTCTGCTTCCAAAAATATTACTCATGGGAAGAGTCGGGCCTTTAAACCTTGGTGAGAGCAACAGTAGAGCCTCCCTGTGCCTCAGTTTCCCGACCTGAGAAATGGGAGCCACAGCTATGAGGATTAGTTTCGAGACACAGCCTCTAGAACAGAACCTGGCATGGGAACTGTCTGCCGTCAGCAGTGGCTGTTACCCATTCGAAAGACAGTTCCTCCTCAACTAACCCGACTTGGGTTTGGGGGGGGACATTCATAGACTGGGCTCAGGGTGACCCCCTTGAGTGTCATGGCCCTATTTATGGCTCAAAACAGGGTTGGTCAAGGTGGCCACGGGCCATTTGCATGAACTAATACTTCCATATATGCATAGACATCGACCACTCCCTCCTATCACGCCCCTTGGTAAGATTTGCTTCCTTGAGGCATGTAAATGTGGTTTTTCTCCAATTCTAGAGACCTTTGGAACTGAGGAATCCTGCTTTTTTCATCACCCTTTCACTGCCACATCATAAAATGACACATGGTTGACTTTGAGTATCTCCCAGGACATGGTCACTCTGTGTGAGGCCTTCCAACTTCACTCTGCTCTGTGCTGGGCAAAAAGGTGCCATCAATGTTAGTGAAACAAGTGGATAATGTCTGGAGGGGGGTGATGGGATTGGCTTATGGTGTTAAATCTCTCCAGCTGTCTGGTGGAGAGTAGACAATGGGGTGCGAAGGCAGAAGCCAGGAGTCCAGTGAAGTGGCCACAGCCGAGCCAGGTAGTCATCTTCGATTCTCCTGTTCCGACACATTCCTCCACTTACACCTCTGGCCCTGTGTTGTTCCCTCTTTTCCCTTTCCTCTGGGGAGCCACTACCTGTCCCACTCTCCACCATTTTTGTCTTGCTCAGAGAGGATGCAGGGGTGTGAGGAGAAGGCCTGTGAGGACAGGGCAGGCCTGGGCTACAGGCATAGAGGTGTGGAATCACACATGGTGGAAGTGGTGGGGAGAACCCAAAAAAACATACAGAAGCCTGGGTCCTCACCCCACTCCTAAGCTCACCTCATTTCTTCAGGAGCCTCCAGTGTCTCCTCCTCCCTACGCACTCTTCTCCTCTCCAGTGGGTCCCAACAGAGATCCTTCTGACTCTCAGATCTGCCCCTGTCCTTCCTCTTCTCGTGGCCCTCAGGACCAAGGTCAAGTTCCAGCTGGATCTCAGCCCCAGCTCCATCTTCCATCGACCTACATTCCCAGCCACGTCACCTGCTTCTGCCTCCAGCCCCAGCCTCCCCCATCCTGGATGATATATCATCTCTGGGGTGCACCAGGTGTTCTCACACCCTCAGGTTGTCCCCAGGAAAATGCCACCCACCCACCCTTCTCCTTGTGGTGAGCTCATTGTCAGCCTCCCTCCTCCAGCCCTCCCGGCCACAGCCCCAGCTTAGCCCTCACTGTCTCTCCTGCACCATCACTCAGCCTCCCCTGGATTGTCCCCTCAGGAGAGGGCTGCTCCTGCTCACAGGTCTTCCATGGCTCCCTATTGGCCATAGGACAGACCCAGCCTCTCCACGTGAAGTCTGGGGTCCTTGGGAATCGGGTCCCTGGTCTTGTCCTCTTACTCTCACCCCCACACACTGATCTCACCTCCCTGCTTTTGCTGTCAGGGAGATTTGGTGGAGAGTCACTGCTGAGTGCTAGTAGTCAAGGATGGAGGGAGGAAAAATCAAATCGGGTTGTAAATGGGAAGAGAGAATATCTGGGTCTCAGAGAGAAGGAAGCAGGGTGAGGCCAAGAGGCACCACCATGACTAAGCCCACTCTTGATGGCTCACATGGGGTCCCAGCCACGTGTTTGTCTTGGGTCTGATCAACAGCCCCTGTCAGGTCAGGAATCTACTATCCTGATTTTGAGGATGAGAAAACCTACAGATGGAGGGGGGCACTTCTCACAGTCTCGCCAGGGAGCGGGGTCCTCACTTGCCAGGCTTGTGACCCCTCCTGTGTGGACAGAAACTGTGCTATGGAATACCAGGGGAGGGGAGGTGCTTGAGGGGGGGGTCTTCCTGGATGCCCGGGGGTGGGATAAGGCTACAGCCCCACCCCCACTCCCTGATGCAAGGATGAGGCTGGCATAAAATCTGGGAGGAGGATTTATTAAGCGTGAAGGCTCAGGTCTGGGCAGATGGGGGCAGGCAAGGTCTTGCAGAAATCGTACACAGCCAGGGGGATGGGGGCGCAGATGGAAAGGTGGCTGCCCTGCGTCAGGGTCTGTAGGTTTGGATGACTCTTTGGATCCAGGCGCCGTATCTGCAGACGTCTGTGTAGACGCCAGGCTTGTCCTTGGATCCACAGGGGATGTTGCCCCAGGATACGAGGCCCCTGAGGCGGTCTCCACACACCAGTGGACCCCCAGAATCGCCCTGTGGAAAAGGGGAGTGGAGAATAGAGAAGAGGGGAGGGAGGGAACGCGAGGACAGTCTCAGAAACGGGTCTTGACTGCCTGGCCTTCCTTTGCGTCCATCTGGCTATGACTTATTCCTCCATCTCTGTCCCCTTCGCCCGTGCAAGTTCATCCATCTCATCCACGCAGGTAGGTGAGTTTTGACACAGACAGCAGAGCACTGTCATGATGGTGGATGACGGTGAAGGAAACCCAAGTTAAAGGCCTTTGGGAGTGGGCATGGCGCCAGGCCCTCTCTCCCTGGGAGGGCACCATCTGCCTCCTCCTGCGTGTCTGGCTCTTGATCTCTGGAGCTGCACCCTGCCCCGTCCCCGTGTCTGGCTGTCGCCGGCTCTCTGCCTGCCCCTGCCCACGTCCCTGTGTGTCGAACTGAATGTGTCTTTTGGGTTCTGGCTCTCTCCAGGCCCTATGGGGAAAGCGCTAGCTTGGTCGAGTCTCTCTTCCCGCCTCTGCCCCTGGCCAGGTGGCCGGTGTCCTCACCTGGCAGGAGTCTTTCCCGTACTTCTCGTCCCCAGCGCACACCATGTTCCGGGTGATCTGGTCAGGGTAGGCGCGCTCACACTGCTCGCGTGACACCAGGTGGATGTAGGCGCACTGCAGCGTGTTCGGGAAGCCCCCTGCGGGGAGAGGCACCGGGCTCACGCACAGCCCCCGTCCTCGCGCCATTCCTTATGGCCCGGGCCTGACTCCCACCTGCTCCGTCTTCCTATTTGTCCCCCAGTCTCAGACCATTTCCACTGGTTCTGACTCCTGATTAGTCCCTCTTTTTTTTTTTTAAGATTTATTTATTTTTATACAAGAACTGGGGTACAGGCCAGAGGCACAGGAGGGTGAGAGGATTCACCAGAGACAGAGCCGGGAGCAGAACAGGCAGACGGACCGAAATACACTGCTGAGGCGGGCAGCGGGGAGACAGGAGAGGTCTGCCGCGCCGTGTGGGTATCTCCCTGGCCGTCGGGGAATCGAACCCGCGCTGCAGAGGCTGCGGACAGCTCCACAGTGCAGCGCTCAACACGCTGCGCCACCGGGGAGGCCCTGCTTGGCCCCTCTTTGCATGGCTCTTCTCTCCCATTGGCCGGTCTTCCCCGTTAACCCCTTCTCTGCTACGCCTCGTGTTCTGTTGGTTTTTCCTGCCTCTGCTTGTCTCTCTTCCATCGGTGCCGCCCCCTTCAGCCATCCGGCTGACCCCTAGACTTCTGGGGCACCCCTACCCCGTCAGACCCCTCCTCCCGAATTGAAGCCTTCTTGCCTATTCGTTTATCCTGATTGGTCACCACATAACCACTGGTTCTTACCTATTGGGCCTCCATCCCCTGGCCCACTTCCCTATTGGTCCTTTCCTAAGTGGCCCTGCCCTCCCCTTCCTATTGGTCCTCCATCCCCGGCCCACCTCCCCATTGGCCCTTTCCTAACTGGCCCCGCCCTCCCCCATTTGGTCGCCCTTTCCTATTGGTCCTCCACCCCCTGGTCCACCTTCGGTACTTCCTGCTGGTCCCCTGGACTTGTTTCTTCTTCCAGGGAAGACCGTGGACCCCCGGCTCTCGCCGGTTCTCCGCCAGTTGTCTCTCCGCATCCTTCAGCTCCCGCCCACGGTGCTGACCTTTCTTCTTCCACTAGCCCCGCCCCCATGTGCCCCCTTCTGCTCATCTGTGCATTCTGATTGGTCCCGGCTGACGGGGCCTCCTGACCACCGTGTCCCCCGGGCCTCCCTCCTCGCCGACTTCGCCTCGGGCCTGGCTCTCCAGACCGCGCACCCAGGCCCGCTGTCGGCTGCTCACCCGCTGGCCCTGCCCCCCCGTGACGCGCCGCCCCCCGCCGCCCCGCTGGTGCTCCCGTGAGCCCACCCCCTCGCGACCCGCCAGCGACCCCACTGACCGTCCGCTGTCTTGCCCCAGCCCAGGATGTGGCAGCTGGTGTGGGAGGCCGAGCAGTCCCGCTCCAAGGCCAGGGGCTGGATGTGCTCCGAGAGCCTGACCCCGTGCGACAGGCGCAGGAGCATGATGTCCTGGTCGTGGGTGGCGGCGTTGTAGCCCGGGTGGGGCACCGTCCGGACAACAGACAACACCTCCTGGTGATTCTCCTTTTGCTGCAGGTTGTGCTTCCCCAGGTAGACCGTAAGATTCCTGGGAGAAAGGAAGCTGGTTCCTCCTGAGCTCTTGGGCTGCAGCTGAGATTCCAGAGGGGCCGTGGTGGGAGGTGGGCGCCCTGGGCCACCCGCTGGCCTGCTCCCTTCCCAGTGTCCTCCGTGGCAAGTGATGGCTCCGTCCTCCGAAAACAGCCTCAGAGGCTGCTCTTGACTCTGCATCATGCCTCACATGCCAGCCGTCCAGAAGCCCCTTTGGCTCGCCACTCAGCAACCACCCTCAGGTCCCCCGCCACTGTCATCTTGTCCTGAGCCCCCATCTTTTCTTTACCTGGATGCCAGCGGCAGCCACCTCACTAGACCCCTTGCTTCTGCCTTTGCCCCAAGCTGGTCTACCCTCCACAAAGCAGCCAGAGATATTTTAACAACATAAGCCGATCCTGTGACCTTCTAGATATTACTTCCTCCTCCAGCCCCAGCCATGCTGGCTTCCCTGCCTTTCCTCGAAGACAACAGTCAGCCTCTCACCCCAGGACCTTTGCACAGACTGTCCCCTCTGCCAGCAATGCTTTGCCCCAGACACCTGCACGGCTCACACGCTCACCTCCTTCAGTCACCTGCTTGGCAAAGCCTTCCTGGCTGGCCCATTAAAATGAAAATGTCTGCCCACAGGCAGTTCCCCTGTCCTTCTCCTGCTCTCTTTGCACCCTAGACCTGTCATCACCATCTGGTGGACTAAATACATATTATTATTTACTCGTTTTATTATGTCTCCACCTGCCAGAGCTGCGCTGCCCAGCAGGACTTTCTGTAGCAATGGAAAGGCTCTCTGTGCTGTCTCACAGGCAGCTGCCCAGCATGAGCCTTGTGGCCAGTGGCCTAAATGGCACAGCTCGAGGACATCGGACACAGCCCTCTCCATGCCAGACTGGTGCCTGGCATGTCAGGGTGCAAAATAAATCACCCCACACCACTCTGGGTTCTTCTCAGGCGGGGCCGGTAATCCAAGCAGTGTGAGGTGGGGAAGCAAAGGAAAAGCAGTGAGTGGACTAACTCACCTCAGGACAGTCTGCATGGTCGTACGTTCTAGAGAATAATGGAGGGACCAGAATATCTGTCCTTTGTTTTAGGACTGGAGCATAAAGGAGAGACAGGAATTGACAAGAAGAGGGTCACCTCAACCCTGCCTTGAGAGTAAAGGCAAGACTCTCAGAGAGAGATAAGCCTCAAATAGAAGGACACCCCCAAACTACATGCTTCTCGTGGGGGAACAGCAATTGTTCTTCCACCAGAATAAGGGCAGAGACCCAGACACCCTGACCGCATCCTCGATGAGGGCGGGACGAGGGCTTGGCGAGACCAGGGGCTTCTCCTCACCTCCAGGGTCCTCCCCGCTCTTGGGCCAAGCCGGCTGCCTCCTGTAAGTCCCGGTGACAGACCCCAGGTGCACAGGGGCCTTGCTGGGCCTCCAGTTCCCACCCGCCATGCCAAGAGGCCAACTCCAGGCCTGTCGGGCAAAGACCCTCTGAGGCCTCCGGGGAGACTGATCCCACAGACGCATGAGGATGACTCAGCAGCATCTGTGAGATGGATCTGAGGGTCACTCCCTTGCTCGGAAGCTTTCTGTGGCTCCTCAGCTGCCAAGCACCTCAGCCCACCATGCTCCCTTTGGCCCGTCCAGGCACCCAGCAGGTGCTCCTGATTCGTCTGCGCGAGTGAAAACATGGGGTTGAAGCCAGAGCTCCCTGAGTCTGGGGAGCTGTCCCAGGGTCCTGGGGTCTGTGGCTGAACCCACCCTGAGGATGGGCTCCTGCTGGTTTCCAGACGCTGAGTCCCCGTTAGCTACCTCTTCGAGCTGCAGAATGGAGCCGAGAGTCCGGGGTGGGGGGGCAGAAAAGGGACCTAAACGGCTTAGCTCGTCACCCGGCCTGTCCCCAGTGTCGAACAGAATGGCTGCGGCTGTTAGCCCCGTGGGTCTGTCAGCCCCATTGGGTCCCGGCTCTCCACACTCCTTCCTCCCTGCCGACCTTGGGTGACCTCCCACCGGCTTTGACATGACCCACCCTCATGTCCTGTGCTCTGCGCTCCAGCGGCCACCCTTCCTGGGCGCTCCCCTGCCCACACCCGGCAGCTTCTCTCCCGGCCCCAGAGGGGAGAAACACAGCACCCCCCACCCCCACTGGTAGCTCAACTGAAACATCCCAGGGCCAGCCCTGTCCCCCCCAAGTCCTGCTGTGGGACTCAAAGACCCCCCCCCCCGCACCCCTCGTCCCCTCTGCTGCTCCTGGGCCTGGCCCGGGGCCGTGACCACAGGTGCCCCGGCTGATGCTTTGCCAACCAGACCAGGCTCCGCCGCCCCCCCTGCCGTGAGCTCCCGCCCCTTCGGTCCCGACGCGTTTCCCAGCAGGAGCTCAGTTCCCAAAGCCATTTTGCTTGCTTTCTCCTGACCGCCCAGGGCCCAGGCCGCAGTGAGGTCCAGGCCAGCTCAACCTGGCCATGGGCCTCGTGCAGGGACGGTGAGGCCCGGCCTGAGCCTGCGCGACGCCCTTGGGGGTGCCGTCCCAGTGGCTGCTCCTCCCCGCGGGCCCGGGACTCACGGTTTCTTGCAGTGGGCAGCAGTGAGGACCCACTGGGGGTGGACGAGGACGCCCCCGCAGAGCAGGTGGCCCGAGGTGTAGAGCGCCGCCTGGTAGGGGTGCGACTCCTGCTCGCAGGGCCCGCCGTGGAGCACCTTGTCCTGGAACTCCGCCCCGGCTGGGGTGGGGGGGTCTGCGTCAGAGGGAGCCCCACGCCCGGTGCCTCCCCGCAGCCAGCCCAGCGCCTGCTCCCCACGACGTCCTCACCCCAACCTCATCCTCCTCCCCCGACCCACCTCCCACCCCAGCTCCAGCCTAGCCCCCCACCTCCCCATTCCAAGCCCACCCCTCCTCCGCACCCACATGAACCCCTCATTTCCAGTGCTCCCCATCCCCGGCCTCCCTGGGCCCTTCCCTTCTCGCACCTGCAGCCATCAGGGCCAGGGCCGCCACCAGCATCTTCACCGCCATTCCTGAGGGGAAAGCCAGGCGCCCATCAGCCCCCCACCGTCCTCGCCCTCCCCACCATCCTCTGCGGTGCCCTGGACGGCCCTCTCCAGCCCTTACGCTGTCCTTGGCCTGGCCCCTGTCTCCTGGCCTCCAAGGCCGCCTCTGCCCCAGCACCAGGCCCGCAGGGCGTGCTCCCGGCCCTCCCTCCTCCGTGCAGCTCTGAGCTCTGCCTTCCAGTGACAGGACTGGGCTGGCCTGGGCCCCAAGGCCTGCCGCCCCGGGAGTTTCGGCCACCCTGGCCACCGGCTCCCCCGGCCTGTGGGCTCTGGGGTGCCTGCGGACTTACCTGCGGCCGCTGCCCCCGGGCTCCTGGGTTGGGGCAGAAACAGCGCGTGTCAGGGCAGATGCTGGCGCCAGGCAGGGAGAAAAGCAGGGAGCTCCTGAGAGGACCGAGAGCACAGAGGCCACCTCGGAGGGAGGATGGGGGTGGGGCGGGGAAAGAAGAGCAGCAGGACCCAGGGCTACCACACGTCAGACGGGCAACTGGCTTCCCCACCTTCCTGAAAGCGGCCAGCCTTGTCCCCAGATGCTCCTGGTGCTTCCTTTTAACCCCTGTTTCCCTCAGTCCCTGAGGCAGGAGCTGCCCCACCCTTTTCCTCCTCACCCTGGCCTCCCACACACATTCCTCCTGGCCCCACAGCAAGATGACCCCTGACCCCGGCTTGCAGGAGAACCCAGTCACTGAGGGCCAGGGGGTCGAGGGAGGAGGCTGGGGGCTGCACTCTGGGTCTGAGGGCGGGGCAGGGGGCTGGACCCTGGGTCTGAGGGCGGGGCTAGGGGCCTGGACCCCAGGTCTGAGGGATGGGCTGGGGGCCTGGAATTCTGGACCTTCAAGAAGAAACAGTGAGCAAGGACACACCTGAGTCGAAGGGAGGAAGGGTCAGAGCTTGTTCTTGGGTCCCTAGACTTCTGGACCCATCAGAAAGTGCCTGAAGACCCAAACACCCCCTCCCCCACCTGCTCCAGGACCCGCCCACCTCAGTCTCAGGCATTGCTGCCCCTGCCAGCCCTCGCTCACGCGGCCAGCCGGGGTTCAGTGGGGTTGGGGTGAATCACGCACCTGCCCGTGAGTCCTCTGTGGTGCTGCCGACCTCCCCGTCCCCAGCAGCAGCAGCAGCCGGGCAGCCAGCAGAAAGCGTGTGTCACCCAGCTGTCCCGCCCCTGCCCTGGGCTGGGGCGAAGACCCAGGCTGGATGGGGAAAGGGCCTGGAACAATCGGGCTTTGTCCACCCCCAGACCCCGTGCCTGGCCCCTGGCAGCTCCATGTCTCAACCTCTCTTCCGGGCAGGCCGCTGTATAACAGCTTCCCTGTGTCCCAGCCTGCAGGGAGCTGCTGCCCTGCAGGGAGCTGGAGTTTTTGGAGAGCACCTGTTCACTCTGCATGCGGAGTCCCAGGGTGGTAGAAGTTCTGCAAACAGAACTTCTTCCCAGAACTGACTCCTGTTCTGAGGACGTGCTGGCTTCTGCGCGTGTTCCCTGTTAACCAGGAAAACTTGTTTTCAGTTGTAACTTACTCATCTGTATAAGCAAAAACACAATTGCGTGCTATTTTCTTGTTCCTTTGTTCGTATCTTTAATAAAAACTCGGGCTGGGAGAGTGAGAGGCAGAGCTGCTCTAGATGGCTCCCCCCAACCTCCCCCTGCTGCAAATTCATTTAGTCCCGAGTCTTCGTTAACAGCAGAGAACTTCCTCGGCTGCCCTGTCCATGCCCCCCCAGCCCATCTCTCTGCTGGCCACGATGGGGTGTCTCCGTATCTGCGTCTTGTCCGTGTGTCTCTCCTGCTCAGTGTCCCTGACTGTCTTTCCCCTTGATTCTCTGGGTCCACGCAGATGCTTTGAAAGTTCTGGATCCCCTCCTGGGTTTCCAAGAGCAGCCTGTGGGTCTACACTGGGGAGGGGGCTCTAAGGAGGGGGTGGTGTGGGAGACGCTGGTGGGGCCCAGGAGGGTGTCCGGACGTGGGGAGAGACGTGACCATAGCGGGATCAAGAAAACGCGAGGGTGCTGAGAAACGAGAGTCCTGGCAAAGCCGCAGAAGGGGTCCCGGAACTTGGCCCCCTGGTGGGAGGAGAGGGGGTGGAGGCCTGTGTGGGCCAGAGGCCGAGCGTGTGTGGGCCTGTGTGGCGGGAAGTGGGGGTGGGTGTGGCGGGCACAGGGCAGATGCTGGGTGTGAGAAGGCAAATGGGGGCTTAGGGAAGCCGTTGAGTAACCAGGGCCTGGTGCTAGTGAGGCCACCTCAGCGCCTGCCCGGCTGCCGCTGCAGGGAACTCATGTTCTTGCTTGAAATGGGGCCCATCACCGGGATGAAAACGTGCCGGCATCCAGTGTACCCTCTGGGGCTCCTCCACCCCAGCCCTTCTGTCCCCTCAGCACCACCCCTTCCCCGCTCATGTCCTCTGAGACCAGCATCACCTTCCCAGCCAGCAGGGGCCCGTTGCTGCCTCTCTGTTCCCATGGCCCAGCTCCAACTCTCTCCCCTCGGCCATCGCCTGAGCCCTCTGTCTCCTCTCTGCCCCTCCTCTGTCTCCTCCACTTGCCCCCCAGGGGCTCTCCCTCCTTCTGGAGCTGCCCCTGCCCTCTCCTGCTTCCACCCGCCCTGCCCATCCCTGGGGACAGAGTCCCGGCCCCTCAGCCCCCTGCTGAAGCAACCTGAGCACCCAAGGCAGCCCTGGCTGAGGAAAAGAAAATGCCAGCTGCCCCTGCAGGTCGCCATGTTTCTAGTCGTGTGAGCTGAAGAAAAGGAAAGCAGAAAGAAACTGGAGCTCTGTCAGTGTTTCATCTAGCCCACACGTCCACGATACCGTCACGCCAACGTGAGATCAACTGGGACAAATGGAAAAACATTGTTCTCCTTTTTTATCTGCTGGCTTGTTTACTGCACACGCATGGAGTCTAAGATCCCGTTCACGCTTCTCGAGCCTTTCAGTGGGAACTGGACATGGGTCACCAGCCAGGCGCCAGTGCGGGAGTGGCCGCCATCTTGTCAGGCTCAGTCCTGCCCCCTGTTCTCCTGCTCAGTCATGGCGGTTGTCCGAAGCTTCCCCGAGCTACCCCCACAACTCCTAGCCCTTCTCCTGGCCTATTCCCTTTTCTCAGCTTCTCCTGGCACCGATAACTTGTCCTTCAAGTCTTGGTTTGGCCATCACCTCCTTCAGGAAGCCTTCCCTGAACACCACCCTCTGCAGTTAGTTTAGTCACTCTCTTGTCTGAGTTCCCGCAGCAGGTGCCTCCCTCATGTCTCCCTGCATCATGATCATCTGGATCCTTGTCCGTCTCCCCCACCGGACCTCCAACTCCTTGAGGGCAGATTCCGGGGCTTACTCACCCCGATGTCCCAAGCATCCACGCAGGACTGGCCCACAGGGAGCCTTAGGAAATGTTGACCAAATGACTAAATGACTTCATTACGCCCACTCCCTTCTTACAGATAAGAAAACTGAGGCTGGGAAGCTAATTTCTCAATGCCAGACGCCCAGGAAGTAATGGAGTTCAACTTCCAACATGGCGTGGATGTGGCCCACCCAGGCTCACCTGTCTGCCACACCGCGGCTGTGTTGGACAGGTGGATTGGGGAGCGAGGTGGCCACTGGAGGGGAGTGGAGGAACTTCTAAGACTAGGGTGTTTCAAGCCCGACCCAGGTTTTGCCACCCCTCCTCCCACAGTGCTCATTTATGGGGTGTTTCCTTCTGAATCGACATGTTCTGCAAGTCTTCAATAAAGAACATGCTTCTGGGCCTCCCTGGTGGCACAAGGGGTTAAGACGCAGCCTGTGAAGCTGTCCACAGCCTCTGCAGCACGAGTGCAATCCCTGGCCAGGGAGAAACCCACATGGTGCAGCAGTCCTCTCCTGCCTCACCCGTTGCTCCCCTCAACAGTGTCTTCAGTTCGTCTGCCTGTTCTGCTCCCCGCTCTGTCTCTGGTGAATTCTCACCCTCCTGCACCTCTGACCCTACCCCAGTTCTTGTATATATAAACAAATCTTAAAAAATAAAATAAAATAAAATCCCCACATCTCAGGCCTCCCTGGTGGCGCAGGCATTTGAGCACGGCACTGTGAAGCTGTCCACAGCCTCTGCAGTGCCAGTTCGATCCCCGCCGGCCTTGGAGCAACCCACATGGTGAGCAGACCTCTCCTGTTTCACCCACTGCTCCCCTCAGCAGTGTATTTTGTCAGTCTGCCTGTTCTGTTCCCTGCTCTGTCTCTGGTGAATCCTCTCACCCCTTGCACATCTGGCCTGTACCCCGACTCTTGTATAAATAAAATAAATCTTTAAAAAAAAAATCCCCACATCTCTTTTCCCAACCTTTAAAAAAAAAAAACATGCTTCTAAAAAAAGGTCACAAGGGAGACCCTTTTCACAAAGACGGCGCCAAAAGTAAAAGCTTTCCTAAATCCGAGGCCACAGGCTTCATACTTCCCCCCCTTCCGCAGCCCAAGACACCGCAACCCAAATCAGGGAACGCACCTCAGGAGAATCGAGGTGACCACTAGGCCACCAAGTCCCCCGTGAAGAGAGAGGAGAGAAGACAGGACACGCTCTGTTCATGCTGGACATCAAGATCTGCACACACCAGCTGAATCAGGCTGTGGAGAAGCTCCGACACTCACGTGGCCGCAGCCAGGGCCCTCAGGCCTGGTGGAGAGGACAGGGCAGAGGCTCATGGGGCCTGATGAGGGCACTTTGGGTGTTGCCCACTAAATTAGGATCCTCTAGAGGGAACCCCCGCTGGCTCACGCTAAGTATAAATGTTTACACCATAAAAAGAAGAAAAGAAAACGTTTGAGGGTAAGCAGTAAAAAGTGCCCTGAGGCACAACTAGCAAAACCCAATGCTCATCAGAGGCAGGTTCTGTGTCAGGTGATATTCTAGCACTTTCTGAATCTCAAACTGACTTTATCTTTACGGCCCTGGAAAGTGGGTGCTGTTCCTCTCATTTCCAGTATAAAGAAACAGGGGTGGGGATGTGAGGTGCCTGAGTGCAAAGCTTGCAGGTGTTGGAAGTGGGATTGACGCCCAGGAGGTCTGGCTTCCAGAGTTAATGCCTTTTCTTGTTCAAAATTCGACAAGAGGGCGCTCTCCAGCCACCCGCCTGGAGACACACGCACAAACGGGAGCTGCTGAGGCAGGGCTAGGCGGCCCCAGGCTGACTGCAGCCACTGCAGTGTGTGCTACTTAGAAACAATTTGGGTTGGATATTGATTCGGGGAGGCTTGCTGCAGAGTGGAAGATTTGATGGAGCTTAATGGGGTTAAAAATCTCTGTCATTCTTTCAACTTTAAGGCAGGAAGAGGATGTGAAATCCTAGATCTGAGGGAGGAGCCTGGGGACCAGGGCCCCAGTCTGAGGGAGGTAGGAGGGCGCCTGGACTCGGGTCTGAAGGAGGGGCGGGGCCTGGACGCCTGGGTCTGAGGGAGGGGGCGGGGCCTGGACTCCTGGTCTGAGGGAGGGGCGGGGCCTGGGCTCCTGGGTCTGAGGGAGGGGCGGGGCCTGGACAGGGTCTGTTGGAGGGGCGGGTCTGGACGCCTGGCCTGAGGGGCGGGGCCTGGACTCCTGGTCTGAGGGAGGGGCGGGGCCTGGACCAGGGTCTGAGGGAGGGGCGGGGCCTGGACGCCTGGGTCTGAGGGAGGGGAGGGGCCTGGACTCCTGGTCTGAGGGAGGGGCGGGGCCTGGGCTCCTGGGTCTGAGGGAGGGGGGCCTGGACCAGGGTCTGCGGGAGGGGCGGGGCCTGGACTCCTGTGTTTTACGGGAAGGCAGCAATTACCCTCTTATATGCAGGAATCAGTAGCTGCAGAATTTCTCCAACACCAGGGTGTGTGTGTGTATTGGGGTGCAGAGATATGTAAGTGGGAGATGAGATGAAGAAGGAAGGATTTGGAGGCTATTGGCCCAGGGGAATTCTGGGGAGAAACTGGAAAGGCAGGTAGGAGAGCCCTGGCTGCAGGAGATCCCTGTCAGCAGCGTCTGAGGCGTGACCGCCAGGGGAGCCTCGGAAGCAGCAGGTTGGGAGAGGCCAGGCTGAGTCACTGGGGACGGTTCCCCTCCCCCTTCCACGGGCCCATCCCTGCCTTCCTTGCAAATAGAAGCCCCCCTACCCGCGTTCTCACTGGTCCTGTCTTCCTGTCAGGAAGCCGAGTGCTCATCTTGGCAGGTCCTCATGGGGCCCAGGTGACCTACCCGCCACCCTGCTTCTAATGTCCCGTGAAATGCCGGGAAGCTTGCACATTTCCCCCCACCCCCCATGAAGCAGCCTCATCTCTCTCCCCTCCCGTCTCCCCTGGCTCCTTTCCCTCCTCTGTCCCATTTTACAAGAGGGAAGCAGAGACCTGGCAAAGGGAGACAGCATGGGCAGTGAGCAGCCGGGGCTCCCGCCTCACCTTGGCTCTGTCAGGCTCAACCTGCTGCCTCAAGAGCCCCCACCTGCGTGTCTCGGGCTCCCAGCTCGAGCTCGCACAGCTGCACAGACGCACTGCCGCTCCCTTCCAAGTCCCAGGAAGGGCGGCCCCCCACAAGTGTGCTACACACAACTGGATGGAGAGGCCTCTCAGACTTTATTCTGTGAGTATTTCATTGTACACAGCGGGGGTCAGAGATTTAGGTCTCTCTGTATCTCCCGTTTCTCCTCCACAGCAGACAACATAAGCACTCTTGCACAACACAGCTCTGCATAATGATCATCCTTGACGGCTGCATGTGTCCTGTCTCAACCCGGCCCACTGTTTACTTTACAGTCCACGCCGCTGGGGCATGCTTAGTTCTGGTGTGATTGATGTCATGAATTCGGGCCTTGCGCCATATGTTTTTTTGGGGTAGCCTCTTCCTAGAATCAGAACAATGGGTCATACATAGGTGGTGAGTAAGGTGTTGCCTTCCATAAAAATGGTACCAGGTTTATAGTCCCGGTGGTTGAGTGCTGGGTACACGCTGCATCCTTCCTAGTGCTGAGGATTCGGGGTTCCTTGATGGGGTTTTAGGTCCTTGCCAATTCGATGGGTTCACACACGTGACATGATGTGGAAATTCGAATGCGTCTTTGAGGAAAGGTAAAGTCAAACTTGAGTCTAGGCCACGGGACATCTGATTTCTGCGAATTTCCTGTTGGGGTGGTCGCGGTGGGGAGATGGGGGTACTAGCGGTGGAGAGATGGGGGTACTAGCGGTAACTCTTCATGGTCTTCTTTATCCAACTGAAGAACTTGCAGACTTGGGTGTAGACACCGGGGTCGTTGACTTGGCCACAAGGGAAGGTTCCCCAGGACACCAGGCCTTGCAGGGTCCCTTTGCACATCAGGGGTCCCCCTGAGTCACCCTGAAGGGAGAGAGCAGATGAGTTTCAGCTACAGAGCAAGTCCCAGGTTCTAGCTAAGTGTCATTCACTGGACCCATGGACTTCCACCCTGGCCAATGGGAAGAGACTCGCTGTCCAGGGGACCAATGGGAGAACAGGAATTGGAACTGGTGGGAGGGCAAAAAAGATTCTCTGAAAACATTGGTTTGAGTCCCAGCCAAGACGGCCAATCACAGAGAAGGGGCGGGGCTTCTGGGGCTCAGTGTCCATTCACACTTCTGCGGGGGTGGAAACCGGGGACGGGGCCGATGACATCATTCACAGGACCCAGTGCAAAATGAACACATGAACCCCTGGTTCAAAAAGTATTTAGGGGGCCTCCCTGATGGCACAAGGGGTTGAGACACAACCTGTGAAGCTATCCACAGCCTCTGCAGCATGAGTTCGATCCCTGGCCAGGGAGCTACCCACATGGCGCGGCAGACCTCTCCTGTCTCCCTCTGCTGCCCCCTCGGCAGGGTGTTTCAGTCAGTCTGCCTGTTCTGCTCCCCGCTCTGTCTGTGGTGAATCCTCTCACCTCCCGCACCTCTGGCCTGCACCCCAGCTCGTGTGTGCATAAATTAATCTTAAAAAGGGAGAAATCCCGGCAGAGAAAACACCGCGGAAGAAAAGCGTGGAATGAACTTGGGTGTGAGAGAGACTTGGGGGAAGAGGACGCGGGGAGACGATGCGCAGAGGCAGAGAGGTGCCAGCGATGAGGGCGGGGAGCGAAGAGGAGGGGCAGCGGGCCGGATGCGGGGAGGCAGACGAGCGTCCAGCCTGCAATCTCAGCGACCGCAGTAGCGCAGTTCTGAGGACGCTTCAGGAAATCAAGTTTAACTTGAAAAACAAAATCCACGATGAACACGGCAGCCACGTTCGGATAACGGGGTTACTCCGCGCAGTGCTGTGCTGGGCCCCCTTGGGGTCTGGAGACGCGGGGACCCCAGCGAGGGGCCGCGCTCTGCCCGGGCTGACTGTGCCCTGTGGCCTCCGCACGGCGTGAGGCCTTTAGGACACTCGGGGTTCCCTCCCGAGTGACTCTGCCGAAGCCCCTCGAGTGTGCGCGACAGCCAGTGGCTCCGGCGCCTGCCCGCCCCCCAGCCCTGTCCCTCCCTGCCACGGGCAGCCCCATCCGCGGGGCCGCGCGCCCCAGGGGCTCCCGCCCGGCCCCGGGAAGGCGCAGGCGGGAGGAGCTCGGGAAGCCAGGCCCGGGCGGGCAGGGGCGACGCGCTCCTCGCCAGGGTCGCCCACAGAGTCCGCGTGGGGGGAACAGGAGGGCGACGCAGCCGGGGCGGGGCGGGGCTCACGTTGCAGGCGTTGGTCTTGGAGTCGGGGATGCCGGCGCACAGCATGGACTTTCCCAGCAGGTCCTTGTAAACTTTCTTGCAGTCTTGGGAGGAGATGAGCTTGACGTTCGTGCACATGAGCTGCGTGGGGAAGGTCACTGCGGGGAGCGGGGGCTGTTAGTGAGCCGCGTCTGCGCGCACCCTGGGTGCTGATGGGGAGGGGGTGGGGCCCAGGGTCCTGGAAGGGGAAACCTGAGGTGCTTGTGGGCTCACAGCAGGACCGTGAAAAGGAGGCTGAACCTGGACCCCGGGCCTGAGGGGGCGGGGCCTGGATTCCAGGTCTGAGGCAGGGGCGGGGCCTGGACTCCCGGGTCTGAGGCAGGGGCGGGGCCTGGACTCCGGGTCTGAGGCAGGGGCGGGGCCTGGGCTCCAGGGCGGGGCAGGGGCGGGGCCTGGACTTCGGGGCGGGGCAGGGGCGGGGCCTGGACTCCGGGTCTGAGGCAGGGGCGGGGCCTGGGCTTCTGGGCGGGGCAGGGGCGGGGCCTGGACTTCAGGTCTGAGGGAGGGGGCGGGACCTGGATTCGGGGGCGGGGCAGGGGCGGGGCCTGGACTCCGGGTCTGCGGGGGCCGGAACTGGACCCCGGGCCTGAGCGGGGAGGGGCCGGGGCTGCGCGAGGGCCCCAGGCGGCCTCACCGTCAGGGCTGGTGGTGGTGCCCCAGCCAGAAACTGTGCACATGGTCCCGGGGGGCTCGCAGCGCGAGGTGAGGCTGACTGGCTTCACCCTGGCTGACAGCTTGGCCGGGCTGTTGAGTCTCACCAGCATGATGTCGTTGACGTGGGTCTGCGTGGAGTACTGCGGGTGCACGATGGACCGCGTGGCCCTGATCTTCTGGCTACTCTTGTCCTCCAGCTTTTCGCTGCCCATGTGCACTACGTACTCACTGGAAAGGGCGCCGCGGTCAGAGGGAGAGGGTGACTGGGGGGCGAGACCCAAAGAGGGGGGACAAACACGGGGGGGGGGACAGACACGGCGAGGGGCGGGCAGAGAGCCAGAGAGAGGGGGGACAGAGGCCCAGAGAGGGGGGACAGAGGCCCAGAGAGGGGGGACAGAGGCCCAGAGAGGGGGGACAGAGGCCCAGGGAGGGGGGACAGAGGCCCAGAGAGGGGGACAGAGGCCCAGAGAGGGGGGACAGAGGCCCAGGGAGGGGGACAGAGGCCCAGGGAGGGGGACAGAGGCCCAGGGAGGGGGGCGGCCCGGGGGCACTGGGCAGCACCCACCTCATCTTGCAGTGGGCGGCGGTGAGCACCCAGCGCTCGCTGAGCAGCACGCCCCCGCAGTGGAGCTGGCTCCCCCTGAGCAGGGCCACCTGCGAGGGGTTGGAGCCTGGAGTACACGGGACCCCATCGATGATCTTCTCCCCGCTCTTGTCGCCCTGGCCTGAGAGAGACAGAAACGCGGTGACGGGGGAAGCCTGAGGCGGCAGCCGAGGTGGGGGTGGAGACGGCGCTGGAGACGGGCGGCGGGACGGACGGACAGACGAGCGCGCGGGAGGAAAGCAGAGCGCAGAGAAGCGGGAGACGGAGGCGGGGACGCCGGGCGCATGCTCGGAAACCGGGGCGCCGCTGGTCCAGAGGCAGCCGCGAGAACGGGGGTCCCGGTCGGGGGGCTGGGAGGGGGCCGGCATCTCCCTGCCCGACTCCCCCGCCGTCAGAAAGAAGCGGAAGAAAGGGGAGGAAGCTGCTGGCGGCATGGGGGTCCGAAGCGGGGGCTCCATGGGGGTTCTCACCTTGCTGGGCACTCCCCAGGGCAGAGAGCAGAAGGGTCAGCAGAAGCGGGAGCAGGGGCCCCGCCATGGTGGGCTCTGGGCCTTGGGGTGGCGCGCGGAGGGGGGTCGCCTGCTGGGCCTGGGAAGACAGAGAGCTCAGGCGGCGGGAGGGGGACCCCAGCCTCCTCCCTCAGCCCCCCTTACTCCTTGGGACCCAGGAAGCTGGGTCCCCGTCCCTAAGTGCCGCCCGCTGATCCTTCTACCCTGAGAGACCCCAAGCTCCGCACCTCCAGCCCCGCCTCCCTCCGAGGAAACGCCGGGTCCGCCCTCGCCCTCTCACCGGGGGTCTGGCGCTCCGCGCTCCCGTCGCTGCAGGGAGCCAAGCGTCTCCAGCCCCGGCCGGGCGGCCTCTTATAGCCACCCCAGCCCCGCGCCCGCCCCCGGCGCCCCGGGGTGCAGGCGGGGCCCGCTGGGGGACGCCCCCTTTCTTATCTCGCATCCCCAAGCAGCTAGAGCCCTCGCCCGTGCGCTCTTTCTCCACCGCCCTCCCCCGCGAGGCCGGGAGGGTGCATGTCCCGGAGGGCGCGTGGGCGGGACCCAGCCAGCTCAGCCCCGGCGCTGCTGGCCCCACCGCCCCTGGAGGCCGCCCCAGACCCGGGCAGGACTGAGGGGAGCACAGCTCCGGGGATGGGCTTTGAGACCGTCCTCCTCTAGGGCCCGTTTCTTGCCTTCACCCCTCTCTGGGGAGAACTGGACCCTACGTACACCCTAATTCTGCTCACTTTCCCTAACTCCAGCGCACCAAATGCTTTTCGGTAGCAAGTCGGTCTGGTTCTCAGCGGTAGATACACATAAAGATCACCGATGAGGTAAATTAAATAAGGAAAATTAAATCAGGGGGGCTTCCCTGGTGGTGCAGAGGTTAAGACTCAGCACTGTGAAGCTGTCCGCAGCCTCTGCAGCACGAGTTCCATCCCCCCAGCCAGGGAGCTGACTCACCTGGTGCAGCAGACCTCTCCTGTCTGTCTGTCTGTCTGCTGGTCCCCTCAGCAGTGTGTTTCAGTAGATCTGCCTGTTCTGCTCCCCACTCTGTCTCTAGTGGATTCTCTCACCCCCCACACTCTGACCTACGCCCCAGCTCTTGTATGCATAGATAAATAATAATAATAATAATAAATCTTTTTTAAAAATTAAACCAGGTCCTGAGCTGGTACCCCCGCTAGCTCCCCAACTGCCGGCAATATTTCTGTGGGGATTGAACTCAGGCTGGTTGATAGCACTGAGTGAGGTTGAACCCCTAGGCCACCAGGGAGACCCCTCTTTGTAAAATATCTTGAGTAGCTTTTCCTCTTAATGCATTTAGACCTTTTCTCCTTCCTTTAAACCACTGCGTATGTCCCCACTGTAGTCGCAGGCTGATGTCTGCGGTCTGTTTCGGATTTGACTACATCTGGATGCTTTTGCTTGCGATAAACAGGGATGAACTTCCTTTACATTTACCTGTGCACCTTGTGTTTATTCCAGAAGAATCCACCGAGCACCTACAGCAACAGAAACAACTGTTAACCCTAACCTTCGGTCCTGACCCCCAAGCCTGCTTTCTCCTTGACCAACTCCAGCTTCCACCTCAACCTGACCTAAACCTTTACCAAGTTCCTGACTCCCCACATCAGCTCAGGCCGGGAAGGCTCAACCAGCCTTCACCCTGAGCCCCTACCTGTGAGCGGACCTCAGCCACAGCCTAGCCCCAAGCCCGACGTGGTTTCAATCACCACCCCCGCCGTATTCCAGAACGCGGCTCGGCACCTGTTCTCACGCCTCGACTTCATTCCCAGCCCCAGTCTCTTCTCCAACCAACTTCTACCTGAAACCCCACATTCATTTACACACCCACCTCTTTCTCCCACCCCATTTTCCCAACTCCACTCCTCACCCAGACCCTTCCTTTCAGACAAACTCTAAAATAGCGTCTACTGACTGCTCTCAAGCCAGGTCCCCACCTTTGACACGCTCATGGAATTAAAAACCAGACCCTGAACTTGGACTCCGGGCCCAGCGATTGTAAGGCAGGACCGAGGTGGTGACAGGAGGCGCCTGACTTGGGTTCCCTGGGTCAACAGGGGCTGACCCCCCCCCCACCAAGCCCCAAGTGTCTGTCCCTCCTGGCCTCCCATAGGGAGGGGTTTTAGCAGGACTTTGGATCTGCTACCTGCTGCCTAAGCCCCTGGGGGGGTCTCCCCCCATCCCTGCTCAGGCACCGGCGGCATCTGGACTCCCATCCCCGGGACCCGGTTGTTATTCACGGTGAGGTCACCAGAACACCCCCCAACCCCGCAGGGCTTCATGGCTTCCTTCCTGGGTTCTTAGAGATTTAATCTGATTTTGTGGCTGAACGCTGGCCTCTGTGAGGGGGGAGGGAACGTGTCACTGGGATTTTCCTGAGCACCCACAGACCAGCCGGCCGCCCCTCCCCTCCCCTGGCCGTGGCCCTGGGTTGGTTCAAACGTGGCCTGTGCAGTCAGACCCGGGGTGAGTGCTGCCTGCTTCTGAGCCTTTGCTAGGCAGCAGTTTGTCTGACCATCCCCTACCCTCTATAAAGTGGGAGAGCAAAGTCTGCTTCTCAGGATGAAGGGGAGCATTAAAGAAAGCTGGGGAAGAAATGAGCAGGCTGGCTGCAGCTGATTCAAGGTAGAGAGGGAGGGCTCCCCTCCCTGAGCAATGTGTGGGTGTCAGGGTCCTCTACACCTCACGCGGGCCCCCTCGATTTATAGATAGGAAAATGAAGGTTTGGAAGCAGTTACACCGCCTGACCAAAGTTACACAGCGAGAGAGTGAGAAGGGTGAGGACTTGAAAGCTGGGCACGCCTTGGTATGGCCCCCGAACCCCTCAGGCGAACCCGCAGCCCCAGGAGGGGATTTCCCCGAACACCCCTCCCACGACCTCAGAGTCTGGTTTAGCTGAATACTAACAATAACAACATAACAAAAAGACTCAGAATTCCCATCCATGCTACGCACCCCACTTTCACGGAGCCCTGAATCCCACCCCTCCCATCAGGCCCTTTGGGGTTAGCACCTGCTCGGAAGTTCCACCCAGACACCGGTCTCACACCTCCCTCGCCCTCAGCCTGCGTCCTGACCCCTGGCCCGATGACTCACGGCGCCCACAGCTGGCAGCTGGCGGCTCTGCCAGGTGTGCCTGCCTCGGGGATCCTGGACGCGAGACTCAGGGCCCCCTCATCTCCCCTTGGGTTCTGAAAGCCCGTTGTGTCTGACTTCCTGCTTTGGCCTCCCTCCCCTCTGAGGAACAGCTTCTGCTGCTTTGGGGCAGCTGCCCCCTCCTTCGCGCAGTTCTGATGAAACTGACCCTCCTCTGCCCCGCCCACCCGCCCACCTCCTGCTCCTGACCTGGCAGCTGGAGGGCGGGGCTGTGGGGCTGCACCCGTCCGAGCTCTGCTGCGGGGTTCATCTCGGGGCGCCCAGAGAAAGAGCTTCCTTCCCTCTGAGTTTGCTGAACCGGGTCGTCCGTCTAGAGACAAGAAACAACCCACATATACGGGAATGAGAGGCAGAGACAGAGAGGCAGGCAGAGAGAAAGTGTCACACACACAGTTTATTGCTTCAGTGACCTTTTCAAGTATTCGAGACTCTGGTACCCCATGGGCTGACAGTAGGACATCAAGAATGGAAGCATCCTGAGCCCAAGAACTGGAAGTGGGGATGGAAGTGGTGAACACAGTTGTTCAAACAGCTGTAGAAATGGAAACTCCTGCCGTGCCAACTGCTGTAGCAAGTGTCAGGCGCTGTCGGATGCATCTGAGGCGCACGCCAGACGTGGGTGTGGAGATGGAGGGCTTTACAGAGAAGCTGCCGTCCTTACAAAAAAAGTAAGTTACACCCAGAAGTAATTAATGTAACTACAGAGAACCCGTCCACAAAGAGCGAGCCCCTCCCAAAGAGAAGACTCGAGGCGCCCCTGCCCGTCTGTGCCATGCGGTGCCTCTCTTGTTTCTCTGTCCTCATAAACCTGCCCTTTAAACATGTCCCCTTCGCCGGCCTGTCTGTGCAAACATCTCCTGGGTAAACTTGCAGGTGCTGCTGAAAGGGGAGTTGCGGAAATTTCTCCCAGAGGGGACCCAAGGGCCCCGCTCGCTGGACCCCAAAGAAGAGGAGCTGATCTAAAAAGAGGAGGTTTGTCTCCAGCTGGCCTCAGTCCCACGTCACTTCCTCTGCATCCTAAGCCATCCCCACAGCCTCCCACCACCCCAGCCTGTCCATGCACAAACCAGTTTGAGCTGGGACTGTGATGGGGCACCTGAACCCCCCACCCAGCCTGTGCCCACACCTGGTCCTCTCTTCTCCTGGCAGTTCCGGAGTCCATGATCCTGCCCCGGGATTTCTGGTTGACCTTGGACAAGTCCCTTCCTACCCTCCAGCTCCTCCCTCCTTAACACCTAAATCAATCTTCAAGTCCTCTCTGATTTGCTTCCCATCTGTGCCATTCAAGTGTCGCCTGGTCAGTAGGTAACATTAAGGAATGGCAGAACCCTGTAAGGTGTGATCGATTGTATAAGGTGGCTGCATTTCAAAAATACCTTTTAGAGTAGGCGTTGGCCAACTTTCTCCATAAGGGACAGAGAGTAAACATCTTAGGGTGTGTCGGCCCTGAGAAAAAATAACTTTTTTTTACCCAGGGGAGGAGGACATTTGCAGAGACACAGGCAGGTGAAGGTGACATTTAAAAAGACAGGCTTAGGGCCTCCCTGGTGGCGCAAGAGGTTAAGATGCAACCTATGAAGCTATCCGCAGCTACTGCAGCACGAGTTCGATCCCTGGCCAGGGAGCTGCAGACCTCTTCTGGCTCACCCGCTGCTCCCCTCAGCAGTGTGTTTCAGTCATTCTGCCTGCCTGTTCCCCACTCTGTCTCTGGTGAATCCTCTCACCCGACCACACCTCTGGCCTGCACCCCAGCTCTTGTGTGCATAAATAAATAAATCCTTTAAAATATAAAAAATAAAAATAAAAAGACAGGCTTATTAGGAAAAGGAGAAAAATAACTTTCCACATGTGTTTCATTGATGAAATTCAAAATAGAATCATTTAGGGCCTCCCTGATGGCCTAGGAGTTAAGTCTCAGCACCGTCACTGCAGTCACCGAGTCTCTGTGGCCTGAGTTCGATCCCCAGCCAGGGAGCTGACCCACATGGCACAGCAGACCTCTCCTGTCTCCCTGCTGCTCCCCTCAGCAGTAGATTTCGGTGAATCCAGCTGTTTTGCTCCCCACTGTGTCTCTGGTGAGTCCTCTCATGCCCCCACCACACCTCTAGCCTACATTCTGGTTCTTTTATGCAAAAATAAATAAAATTGCTAAAAGACAAAATAGGATGATTTAGTACAGTTTTTCATCACACAGGTCTACCCCTGAGAGATATGGGAGTCCTTTGAAGGACAGCATCTTGCTCCATTAGGATTCAAGGTCACCCTTCCCCGTCCTCAAGTCCAAGAGTGATAATTATTAGCTCCTGGGACCTGGCTCATCACCTCTACTTTGCCACCAGCTGTTTTAGACATTCAGCCACACCCGTTTTATCACGCTTTGCCTTATTGTGCTTAACAAATGTTGTGTGTTTTACAAATTGCACCCTAGCGAGTCTGCTGTGTGCAGACTCCCAGCAGCACGTGCTCACTTTCTCTGTCGCACTGGATTAAGGTGTCTGCCTTGTTATTTTAGACGCAGAGCTATCACACACTAAATAGACTGCAGTGTAAACAACCTTTGTGTGTGCCGGGGGCCACAACATTCGTGTAACTCGCTTTATTTAATCAATTCTAGCTTTTTGGCAGTGATTGGGAACCAACTATTGCCCCTTCTCGAAGGGGTGTCTGGACATAACCAAATAGTTGTGAATGGAATAATAGCTGAGATTTGCTTCAAAATAATTCACTGTTGGGGAAGTGTGTTTTACAGGGGAACCAAAACTTGGCGTTGTGTTTTTAATTATTAAGTTGGGTGATGGTGAAAGAGGGTTTGCTGTTCTATTTCGTACAGATTAAAACATTTTCATAACTGGGCCTCCCTGGAGGCGCAAGGGGTTAAGCATCAGCACTGTAAAGCTATCTCCAGGCACTGCGGCCTGAGTTTGATCCCCAGCCGGGGAGCTATCCACATGGCGCCGCAGATCTCTCCTGTCTCCCTGCTTCTCCCCTCAGCAGTGGATTTCAGCCGATCTGCCTCTTCTGCTCCCTACTCCGTCTCTGGTGAATCCTCTCACCCCCGGCACCTCTGGTTTACACCCCAGCTCTTGGATGCATGAGTAAATCTTTTTTAAAAAGTAACCGAAATTATAAAATGAAATTTAGGCTGAGATCATCTTCCAGGAGCCCCTCTGGAAAGGCAGGGGGGGTGTAGTAGCACCCATGAAAGACTTCCTCGGGAGTTCTGGTATGGGGGGACTTTCGTGGCGGGTCCCCGGAGGGCGGGGACGGCGCCTCACACACCCACACCCCTCGTGCAGAATTGCCCGCGGGCCCTCCATCCAGGACGGCCATTTTTCTATCACGTGACTCCAAGTACCCGGATTGGCTGAGACCAGTCACCTGACCGGAATGCGGTCACCCCATTGGCCACTCAGCGACCTATCACATGGCAGAGGGAGAAGCTGCGCTGGGCCCGGGGATACCTGTTGTTCAGGTGGGCAGGTGGGCGGGGCAGGGCGAGATGCTGGGGGTGCCGCTTGTAGTGGGGGGTCAGAGGCTTGGTCGCTGCGGGAGCCTGGGGAGGCGAGGAAGCAGCCACTAGGAAAATGCAGAAGCTTGAAGCAGAGAAGGAGCCATGGCAGTTGGGTGTTTGGTAGCAAGCAAGGAATGAGGGCGTGGGGAGCGAGCCCGGGCAGCCCTGGGGGGCCAGCCTGCCCGCGGCCATTGCTCTATTGCCCACGGTAGCGTCCCCTCCACATGATTCTTTCCCTGGACAACTTGCTTGGCGTTTTGTTCTGAGAACTCACGATGGCCCACCGCATTTCAGACACCAGCAGTGATGGGACTTGCCTCTTTCTGGCCCAGCTGCTCCCTCCCCACAGCTCGAAACTGGGAGAAACGTTTCTCCTGCGCTTGAGAAAAGCATCTGGAGTCTGTCTGCGTCGTGTGTGTCGACCTGGGTGGTGCTTTTGTGGATATTCACGCGCGAATGTTTAGGCCCTTGTTACAGGTCTTGCATTTCTACCTTGCATTCCTCGCAGTGTTAAATGTGTGGGAGAGGGACACTCCCCCGTCGAAGCTTCGAGATGCTTTCGCTGCTCAGAAAAACGAAACAAAAACTCTGTGCAGTGTCTTTCACAACCCCTTGGGTATTTGAAAATCCTTAAATACATTACTTCCATGAAATTAGCCCCCCATTCCTCCAAATTCTTCTGGGAATAAATGATGGCCAGTGAAGCCGTGGAGGTCGTCCTGTCCTCTCAGACCTCCAGCAAACCTCGCGGGACACAGAACCCCACCTCCCCACCCCCAGGGCCAAAGGCAGACAGGGAGGGAGCCAGCCTTGGGCCGTTGACTGAGGACATCCTTCCAAGGTCAGCCCCTGCGGCCTGTGGTCTTCTTGATCCAGTTCAGGTAGCGGCAGATGTTGGTATAGACGCCAGGTCTCTCGGGGCGCCCACAGGGGTCCGAGCCCCAGGATGTGATGCCCTGGAGAACGCCATTACACACCAGTGGGCCCCCCGAATCGCCCTGGAGGGGGAGAGTGAGAGGGCAGTTTCACCTGCTATGCTCACAAGGTTTCTTTCTAGCATTTAGTGGTGGTTCTGTGGCGCGATTGGACCCTTCTAGCCAAGGGGACAGAATATTGGTCCCAGGGCAATGGTGAGAAAGGGAAAGAGACAATGAAAAATATATAAAATCATTACACAGAGTTAATTGCTATAACGGCATATGGTGTGGGATAAACGAGTAGGGAGTGCCGGGGAGGTGGTGCTTTCATTGGAAAGATCAGGGAGGGCTTCCGGGAGGAGGTGACATTTTGAAGAATTTGGATTTAACTGAGATTGAGGGCTTGTTGGTCCATGTACTGAGGGGAGTGGGGCATGTGGGACAAGTCTAAGGACAGTGGGGGAAGAGAATTCTGGAGGCTCCCATCCAGAAAGAAAACAGAGAAGGTTAAGAGGGAACCAAACTAAAGCTGCCTCTATTCCTGATCAGTGGTGGGGACGGACACACACAGAGGTGGGAGTATTTGAGGGAAAAGACCATTGTCTCCAGGGAACCATCCAGAGAGAGTGGATTTTGTGGCATGATCACTGGTGGAAGTGGCTTCATTCCTGCCCATGGAGATGACAGCAGGGAAACTGTTCTTGGAGATCTGTCATTAGCCAGAGGGCAGAGCGCCCATGGAAAGGACAAAGCACTTAAGAGGAAAGAAAATGTCACATCTGTGACAGATCCCAAGATTTGTCATCTCCGGGTGGGGAGCTCATTGATTCTGAGCTCAATGGCGCCACCCCCTGGCCGGTTGGGAAGAGCGCCTCCTAGGGAACCAATCACAGAGAAGGCAGCTGAGCAGAAGCCCAGGCAGGTCCCAAGGAACACTAGCTGATGATGGCCTGTTCCCAGTGGTGTCAGCACAAATTCCAGGAGCTAACGCTGGGAAAGGGCGCAGGACCCTTACACCCCCTGGAGCACCCCCTCTTCCTTCACCAACGTCTCCTCTCACTCCCTGCCTGCACCCCATCTTGCTGACAAGGGTTCCCAAGGAGATGATGACTAACGTTTCTGATCTGTGTGCTTCTGGCTGAGTGTTTTCTGAGCCTGCGTTCCACTGTATAAAGATAAGGGTGACTTCTCTGGGTGCTAACACTTTGGAGTCACCCTGCCATCACCCAAGACCTGAATAGGGGGGAGAACAGGAGGAAAGGATTTCAGAACCACTCACCTGGCACGTGTCAGCTCCACGGCTGTCCCCTGCGCAGACCATGCCGTCTGTGACTTGCCCAGGGTAGGCGTCCTGACACTGCTTCTGGGAAAAGATTTCAATTTCTGCGCAGTTGAGGGTGTCAGGAAAATTATCTGAGGGAAGAGGTTGTGCGTTCTCAGAAAGAGCCACCTTTTCCCTTCATCCCTGGGTGTAACCTGGCTTCTGTGCATGCACAGCTGCATGGGGGAGTTTCTCATGTTAAACACAGCCCTGACTCTTGCTCCCTTTTCTCCATCTCGAGAAGGTCGCCTGCACCCTGCCTTTTGCTTTTTTGTCCTGAGTCATTTTCAAATTAAGGAGCAGGCAACAGGGGGGCTTGGAGGTGCCTCCTTGTGACACATCTGAACCTCACACCCAGACTACCAAGTCCTCAATCTCAGTTAAATCCTATTTCTTCAAAATGTCACCTCTTCCTAGAAGCCTTCCCTGGCCATTCCAATGAAAGCATCACCTCTCCAGCAGTCCCTGCTCATTTATCCTCCAGGATATCCCATCCTTATGTAATATTACTTATGTAATGTTTTATCATATTCTTTACTGTCTGCTTCCCCTACCTGACATGCAGCTCTAAGGAAAGGGGCTTCCTACAGTGCAGCTCCGGGGACATACAGATGCTCACAAATAAGTGTGAATTAATGATTGAAAGTGAGTGGGTTTTTCATATCACCTTTGAGGGCTGGACTCCCGGGCAGATTTCTGCCGGGCACCTCCATGTGCCAGGAACTCTATGCTCAATTCCTCCTCTCCAGGAAGGGATGCACACCATCATCCTTTCATCCATGCAGTTATTCAACAGGTGTTTACTGAGCACCAACTGTGTACCAGGTGCTATGCTGAGCACCAAGGAAACACAATGAGGACAGTAACCTGGGCCCTGGTGGCACTTACAGGCATTGGGCCGCTCTCCCATGACGATGGTGATGGCCAGTCAGACCAGGGGTGAGGAGGGAAACGCAGGGCTGTAGTTTGAGCTGCTGAACCTCACTCTCGAGCGCGCGGGTCTCCGCAGTTGCCCACGGTCTCTTTAAAAGTGGGATTCAGACCGGCAGGGATCCTGACTTGGCTGCCCCTTGGCAAATCCCATCGCCCTCTGAGCTAAACCCCAATTTTTTCACTTTGAAGCAGGGTGAAGGGCTACCCGGACTCTGAAAGTCCCAAAGGGACAACCTAATGGGGTCCCGACGTTTGGACTCAAAGTGAGGAGGGAACTGGAAGCTCAGCATGTGGGCTGTGGGGGGAGGGAGGGCCTGGGCTCCTGGGTGTGAGGAAAGAAAGGATCTGGGGCCAGCGGTCTTGGGTTCAAGAGGGAAAAGTTACACAGGAGCTTGTTTTCGTGAACTGTTGAGGTGCTGGTATGTCCCACGTTTCTTAAGATTTTTTAAAATCTTGTACAACAAAAGGTCTCATAACCTGGTAGTGTCCACCATAAAGGAGATCCACAGAACCACCCACCCACCCACCACCCATCTCCCATCCACCCACCCACCCATCCATCCACTCATCTACCATCCATCATCTGTCTGTCCGTCCGTCCGTCTATCCATCCATCCTTTTTTTTGAGCCCTGCTTAACTGTGTGCTCCTCTGCTTTCCTCTCCCATCCCTCCTGTGCATATTCTGCTCTTCCAGGCTCCCGACACGGGCCACCTGGGAATCTCAATGTCACAGTCTCTTTCCCTTCCCTTATCTCCTCCTAGGGGCAAAGCTCTGTGGAAGGCTTGGGGGCCCCTGTACCAGCTGGGTCTGCCGTCTCCCACTACCTTGCGGGCTGGTCACGGTGCCCCAGCCTGAGATGGTGCACTTCTGGCCCACGGGTGCGCAGCGATCTGCCAGCTTGATGGGCTTCACTTTGGAGCCCAGGGTGGCCCGGCCTTGGAGGCGAATGAGCATGAGGTCGTGGCTGTGGCCCTCGCTGCTCTGGTTGTAGCAGGGGTGCGGGATGGACTGGGCCACGGCCATATCTTGCTCCGACGGTTCCTTATTCTTCAGGCTGTGATCGCCCAGGCGGACTGTGTACTTCCTGTAATGATGGGGGTGGGGGTTAGGACCCAGGCAGGAGTGGACCCCAGACTCCTCCCTCAGACCAGGAGCCCAGGCCCCCCCAGCCTCTCACTTAGACCTGGGGGTGCAGGCCCCTCTGTTCCCTCTGCTCTCTGACCTTCTGTCTCAGAGGCCGAGCGCCCACCCCCACTCACGGCTTTCTGCAGTGGGCAGCAGTGATGACCCAGTTGTCTTCGATGAGGACACCCCCGCAAAGCAGCCTGTTGCTCTGGAACAGGGCGATCTGCCAAGGCTGCGAGTGGGGTTCGCACTCCTGGCCCTCCAGGACTTTGGATCCCTGCGCCCTCCAGTGTCCTGCAGGAGGGAGAGGGTTGGATGCCACCCCGGGGGCAGAGCAGGGGGGCGGGTAAGGGGGCCGGAAAACCACTGTGGGTTCAAACGGCACGTTTTCCGCCTGACTCCTCACGGGCCCACCCACCCTCCCAGGTACCCCCATCCCCGGCGGCCCCCCGGGACCCCCACTGAAGCCCAGGCCCAGATCGTGCTCCCAAGGGCGTCTCCGGCGTGCACCCGCGCCCCTCGGCCTCAGCCCGGCCGGCTCGGCGCGCCGGGGCGGGTCGACAGCATAACCCTGCCGCCTACCTGGGCCGCGCACGGGCCTCCGCCCGCCCGCCTGCCCGCGGGGAAGCCCCGGCCCCGCGCGCGCGCCCCACGTACCCCCGCGCGCCACCCGCGCGCCCACGGGCCTCGCCGCACCCCCACGGGCCGGCGCCCCGCGCCTCCCGGCCCCTCACCTGCCCAGGTTTCCGTCGGCAGCAGCGGCAGCAGCAGCAGCATCCAGGTCCAGGCCGCGGCGGGCGGGGGGCGTCCCATGGCGGAGCGGGGCAGGGGGCGAGGGCGGGGCTGCGGGGAGAGGAAGGAGGAGTCGGGCATCCCCGCGGGACCTCGGCTTGGGGAGCGAGCGGGGCGCCCGCAGCTGTTCTGCGTCCTGCGGGAGGACGATGCTGGAGCCCCCGATTCTGGGGTCTGAGGAGGGCGGGGCTCGAGCTCCGGGGTCTAAAGGAAGGAGTGGGGCGCTGGGACTCCGGGGCCTGGGAAGGAGGGCGCTGACCTCGGTCTGGAGGATGGAAAGAATGGGGTTGGGGTCCCGGACCCCGGAAGAGGGGGGCCCCGGGCCCGTCGCCTGTGTCTGAGAACTTACGGAGTCCGGGGGGCGGGGTCACCGAGGATTCGGGCCCGGAGGAAGGGGCCCCCAGAGCCTCAGCGGTCTGCGCGGGGCACGATTCTGGGGCCTTTTAACTGGGAATCTCCGCCTCCCGCCCCGCCCCCGCCGGCTCCCGAGCCGAGCCTCCGGGGCCTGGAACCCGGGGTATGCGCGAGGAGGGGCCGGCTGACCCGGGCTGGGGGGGGGGGCTGTAATTCCGACGAGGGGTGTGGCTGCCGGGTCCGCAGCCCGGGGCTGGGGCCCGGGCTCCGGCCTGGGGGAGGGGCGGGGCCTGGGCTCGCGGGGTCCCGGGGAGGGAGCGGCCGGGGCCTGGACGCCGGGGCTGAGGGAGGGAGGGAGGGCGCGATCCTGGACTCCGGGTCTGAAGGAAGGGGCATGGAGGCCCGAGCTCGGGGTCCTCAGGGATGGGGCTGCTGACGGGATTCTCGAGGCTCAGCGCAGGGGCCGGAGCGTCGGCGCCGCGGGAGGGGGGCTGCTGCCAGCCACCCGGAAAGGCGAGTCCCCGGGCCCGACCTCGGAGGGCGGCCCCGCCCTCCCGCCGTCCCGGGAGGTCCGGGATCAGGGAAGGCAGGTTTGGGAGGCACCGTGACCTGGTTTCTCCTTCCCTGGGACGGCGGGGCCAGCCCGGGCAGGGCAGCTGGGGCCGGACCTCGGAGCGGAGCCGCTCCAGGCCCGAGGGACCGCGCTCGCCGCCCGCGCCCATCCCACAGGAAGACAGGAGGAGCGGCGGCTCCGCGCGTTTATTGTAAAATCAACCATCGGACCGGAGGGATCGAGACCCCCCCCCCAAATTCTCCCGGTCGGGTTCCCGCCGGGATTCAAACCCGGGACCCGCCCCGCGCTCCAGGTGGGCGGGCCCGCGCCTCTGACGTCACAGAGCCGAGCCGGTGGGGGCGGGGCCCAGAGAGGGGCTCTCATTGGACAAGGCCCCGGGGCGGGGCCAGCCGGGCCTGGTCCCCGCGCAGCCAGTAAGTGCTGCTGTTCCGCGGGGCGGGGCCTGTTGGGGGCCCCCGGGGGCGGAGGCGCCCACCCCCCCACCCCCCCCACCCCGGCTCGAGGCCGAGGGGGCGGAGCCTGAATATCCAGAGGGCATCTTCGGGGCGGCCCAGGCCGAGGGTGGAGAGACCTCGGGGGCGGGAGCCCCGCAGTCCCGCCTGCTCTGCGCCCGCCGCCCCTCCGGGTCGTCGGAGGCGCGAGGGCTCAGTTGTCCTCCATGGTCTTCTGCACCCAGTCCACGTAGTGGCAAACGCTGGTGTAGACGGCCGGACGCCCGGGTGTGGAGCAGGGCTCGGACCCCCCAGACACCACACCCGCCAGGGTCCCGTCGCAAACCAGGGGGCCCCCAGAGTCACCCTGTGCACAGGAGAGGAGTAGAGAGACTGTTAGGGGGCGGCCAGTGCATTGCAGAGGCTGCTGCCTCCTTCCAGGAAGTTTCCTCTTCCCCCAACACCCAGGCACCCAGTAACCCAGTCCCTCTTCCCTGAGGCCAGGAGTAAAAACTCAGAGCCCATCTCCCACCCCCCACCCCGCCTTACCCCTGGGTCTAGCTCTCTGGGTTCCCAGTTCCCCTCCCGCAGGACTTAGGGACTGGACCCTCAGTCCCCTCCCACTTTAGATCCAGGAATCCTGGCCCTGGCCCCCATCCCCAGGACCCCACCTCCTTCCATGCTTGGCTCTTGGGGTCTCAATGCCCTTCTCCCCTAAGCCTTGGACTCCCTCTCCTCCCCGGACTGGGTCTCACCTGGCAGGAGCCCCGGCCCCCCTCCCAGAGGCCAGCGCAGAGCATGCTGCTGGAGATGTGGCCGGGGTATGCCCGGCGGCAGAGCCTGGGCTCCAGGACGCTGATGTTGGCACACTGCAGCGTCAGCGGGTACTGCACTGTTGGGAAGGAGGCGGGCGGCATCAACAGCTACCCCCCACCAGGCCCAGCACCCCCCTTTCCCAAGGAAGATCCGCAGCATGAGACTCTCAACCGGAGAAACCAGAGACATGGACAGAGATGGTATGAGGGGAGGGGAGTGGGGGGCTGGGGGGAAGAAGCAGAAAGATGCAGCCAGCCAAGAAAGATAAACGTGTAACCCCGCAGGGCAAACGAGGCCAAATGAGGCGGGAAGAGGTAACAGCTGGAGACGGAAGGGAGAAGGCAGCGCCTAAGGAGAAACCTGTGGTGGTCACCGAGACAGATGCAGGCTGAGAAACATTAGCGGGAAACAGCGAGAAGCCACACACGTAACAGAGATGTGTGCGTTACGTGTAGGTGAAAACTCGGCCGCCTCCAGGGCCTCGGTGTGTCAGCAGAAGTGGGTACAGGGCCGCTGCAGGGGGCAGCGTCCCGTGGGGTGAGCCGTGGTGTCTGGCAGGGGTAGGCTCCATGACCGCCCCACGCGGCTGGAATTTGGGGACCAAGGGTGGCCAACCGGTCGGGTTTTTCAAGTGACTCCAGAAACTTGGGTAAAACTCCCAAGTTTGAGTGTTTGGCAGCCACAAGTGCAGACTCTGTGCCCAGGACTCTGGACGCCGGCCCTGGCGTGAGCAGACATTGTGAGCGGGTTGCTGATTTGTGATTCTGGCCTTATTTCGAATCTAAGCCGCACACAGCTTCACATTTACACGTCTCCGAAATCAGGGGTGTCTGCAGGGCGCGGCGTTCAACTTCTCGGTGGGTTGTGAGGTAACGATCTCCTCACGCTCGGTGGTGTAGATTTGATGAAACAGGTGAGTAGGCAGGACGGAAGATAGGTCAATAGATGCAGGTAGGCAGGTGATTGGTAGGTGACAGATGGGTGGGTGAGAGACAAGACAGGGCTGAAGCAGAGGAAGCAGGGCACTCCCCTCCCGCCCCCCCAGTGTGTTGAATGGAGACAAGTCTGTACCCTTGGGGCTGGACACGGCTCCCCAGCCCGAGATGAGGCACTGGGTGCCGGGGGTGACGCACGTCTGGCTGAGGTTGAGGGGCTGCACGGCAGGTCCCAGGCTCACGGGCCTGGGCAGCCGGATGAGCATGATGTCATCGTTGTGGTCGTGGGCCGTGAGGTCCTTGTTGAATCCAGGGTGGGGGAAGAAGTCCTTGACCCGGAACAGTTGTTCTGGCCCCTCCCATTGCCAGATGTGGTGCTCCCCCAGGCGGACCCACAGATACCTGCTGGGACAGTCCTGAGATCAAGCCCGCGTGCCTGAGTGCTGGAGAGTACCAGACGCGGCCTCTCTGGCGCCTGCGTCTCCGCAAGACACACACGCTCGCTGGGCCTCTGTTCCCCCTTCCGTCCCTTTGCTGCCGCCACCTTTGTAGCCCCCCCAAAGCGCCCACCCCTTTCTAGGTCCATCTGCCGGAAGCCACCTTCCTCCCTGCCCCACCTGGAGCCTGGGTGGTGACCTGGGTCCCCTGGAACTTTGTGGGCACATGGGGGCCCCACCTATCACACATGGGCAGCCCACACCCTGCCCCCACAGGTCGGGTGGCTTCTGTGGGGAGTGGCTTCGCATGCCTTTTTTGTGTGTGTTCTGGTGTGGAAAACCCCCAAGTTGGGGGTCATCTGTGGCTTCAGGCTTTTCCTGGCTGTCAGGGAGCTCACGCCTCAATGCTCTGTAACCTCAGCGTCCTCAGTGCTGTCCCTCGGGCCTGGCCCGGGCAGCCGGACCCCTCCAGGAGTCTACGTGTGCACACTCAGCCTCTGACATCTGGGGCTCCGCAGGTTTTGAGGAGGTGCTAGTATTTCTCTCTCTCTCCCCTCCTGCCTTGCTTCTCTGTCTAGGAAGCCAGCCCCTCCAGCCCATCCCTGTCCCAGAGACTCTTCTGTCTTCAGAGCTCTGCTCCTCTTTGTCTCTCTGCCTGTGGGGCTGAAGTCTGGACATTGTTCTCCTAACCTGGTGTACGGACCTGAGCTCAGGGAAACCCCGTCACAGCAATGCATGATGGGAAGATCCCACAAAGCATCCTGCTTTGTTTCTGGGGCCGAGGGACTATCGGGACAGGATGGAGCGCCCTTTTCCGGAGAATGTGCAATTGATTTCTGTGTGGGGTAGATTCTACGGTTCTGTTCAGATAGAATAAAGTTCTATGCCCGAAAACTAAGATTCTAGAATTCTCAGATGGTAATTCCAAAGGAATCTACAATTCTAAAATCCTATGAAGCTCAAGTTCTAGTGTATCACAATTCAAGATTTCTCTGGATCACAAAAGAGAGAGAGAAAACACAAAGACCAGGAGTTTTAAATGATCTGAAGTAAATCTAGAATTTAAAAAATCTCAAAATCAGATATTCTGGGATTCAAAGACTAAAATTTCATCATTCTGTGAATTTAGGAGCTTAAGAAACTAAGGTTCAAAGAATGTGAGGCTCTAGAATTCTTTGAATTATAACTTTGACGGTTTTAAGAATCTGGGATGATGGATTCCAGGATATTAAATCTATCAGACCATAGACAAATGAGAAGCACAAGATTCCTGCAAATCACCCGTTTTAGGATGCAGGGGAACCAAGGCCCCCCAGGAAGCACTAAGGGGGGCAGGGTGGGGCCGGGTTGGAACACAAGAGGGAAGGAAGCACAATGGTCTATGGCAGTGGAATATGAGGGAGTTGGTGATGGGGTACCCCAACATGACCTCAATTCAAAATAAATAAATAGAAAATAATAATAATATAAAATAAACATAAAAATAATAAAAACAAAAATATAAATAAAAAAGAGTAAAGTTAGGTTATTCATAGTCCAAAACCCATTACATGTTGAAACAATTTTTGGAGTATGTCAAGGTTAAATCTATTACTACAATTCACTTTATCCAGCCGTCTCCCCACGAGTGGGCTGGGGAGGCAAGCTTACAGGATGGCTGCCTTTGTGTCCCCAGGGGGCAGGGGCTCTGGGCTTACAAGATTCTGGTAGGTTCCTAAGCCTCTGGCATCAGAATTCTCTGGAACTAATGTGGAACCCCCTGGGCCCGAGGTTTGAGGGGTCTACTATGCTGAATTCCTCTAGAGAAGAGTCTAGGAATCTAAGAAGTTAACATTCCAATCTATCCGCTCTGAAAACCAGATTTGGGGGGGCTCTAGAACAGAGTAGACTTTGCAATTCTAGAGCTGCACTTGCACTAACAGAAGAGCTTGGGTCCGTCTGCCTTCAGCTCCCCTGTCCTCCACCGGAGCACCAGCCCCCCACCCACGTTCCACCCCACCCCACGCCAACCCACCCCGTGGCAGAGGTCACTCACGACTTGCGGCAGTGGGCAGCCGTGAGCAGCCAGCGGTCAGAGATGAGGGTCGCCCCGCAGAAGAGCCGGGTGAGGTGGAAGAGGCCAGCCTGCCAGGGCTGTGAGTTGGGAGCACATTCCTCAGCCCCGATGGCGCGGGTGTCTCCCCGACTGTGCCCTGGGGTCGGAGCAGGGGCGGAGGTGAATAAGAGCGAGGTGGGAGGGCGGGAGAGAGACTCCGAGGGGCCGAAGCTGGTTGGGGGTGGGGAGGGGGGAGGGCAAGATGGCGAGGCAGCCAAGGCCCTGGGGGGGCAGAGGCTGGGAGGGCGGGAGCCTCACCTGCTAGGAGAGAGAGCAGAGCACAGAAGAATGCCAACTTCATGACCTCTGCTGCCGGGTCCTGCAGCCTGCGCTCGCGGCCCGCGCTTCTTTAAGGTTAGCCTTGCCATCTCCTTCCTCCTCCCCGGGGCCGCCCCCGTGATTAATCTGGGTTGGGAAATGTCCCAGGGGGAGGGGGAAAGCCCTGGGGACTAGACTGGGGGCCTTCAGGAGCTGGGCGCTGCAGGGGGACCCCAGTGCACTGTGAGCTGGAGAAAGGCTGGGTCAGGGCTTGGCCCAATGGGACAGGGGCCCTGGGATGGGCAGGGCTTCCGGGGTCTCTGGGGAGGGGAGCCCTCCTTCTCATGACCTGGGGACACAGGATCTGAAGGCAGCGTATTCCTGGCCTGGAGGAGGAAGAGGGAGAGGTGAGGATCCCTTAGGCGGGACCTGGGGTGCAGGTCCAGGTGACACGGGTGAGCTGGGCAGAGCTGCTGGGCAGGCTGCAGGGAGAGGCAGGAGGCCGCCCAGGAAGCAGGCGGGGGTGAGAGAAAGAAGCAGGGCTCAGGGGAAGGGAGTAGCAGGCAGACAGGACAGGACTGGGAGAAAGAGACCTGGAACCGTCCAGGATAGGGGGAGGAGAGAGAGAGGCTGAGAGAGGCAGAAACCAGGCAGCCTGCTGCCCTCAAGCCCTCTCCCCTATCCCTTAACACCACCAGCTCTTGGCTAGGAGTGAGAACGTTCTCCTGTTTTTTTCCCTCATTCCACCTTCTCCCCTCCACGGTCCTTCCTTCCCATCACCCCATCCTGCCTGCCTCCCTCCCAACCCGCACTTCTCACGAGATGGGCAGCTCCTGGAGGACTAAGCCCAAGCCTGACTTCCCCGTTCAGGGCTGGGCCTCAAGAAATGTTAATTGAATGAGTGCCTTTCTCCATATTTCTTCTTTTTCTTTCTGGTGAACTTCTAGACATCCTTCAAGACCCAACCTAAATGACCTCTCCTCCAGGAAGCCTTCTCTGATTCCTCAAGAGTGAAACCCTCTTTTCCTCCCCTGAAGCACACACAGCCTGTTCCACTTTTTGTTGCCACAAGTGTGATTGTCAGGCTGGATCTGAGCTTCCCTTAGTGGTTCGGAGCAGAGTTTTCAGAACCAGACCATCTGGATCCATATCTCCAGGCGATTATTAGGTGTGTGGCCTTGGGCAAGTCACTGGATCTCTTTGACTGGACCACCTGTTAGTCGCAGTCGTAACTGAGGGGAATGATGTGAACGGACACACATGAATCACTTACAACAGTTCCTGGCACATGCTAAGCATGAATCTGTTATTGACTGTTTACTCTGTGGATGGCAGTTAGGCTGGCGTTTCGTGTCTGCTGCCTCAGTGATTCTCACAACAGTGTTCCATCTGTTTCACAGAGTGGGAAATTGAGGTAAATAGCACTGCCAAGTAATATGCTCAAAGTCACACAATAAATGACAAAAATACATTTCCTGGGGCCTTCCTAGTGGCACAAGGGGTTAAGACGCAGCACTATGAAGCTGTCCACAGCCACTGTAGCACAAATTCGATCCCTGGCCGGGGAGCTACCCACGTGACACAGCAGACCTCTCCTGTCTCGCCTGCTGCTCCCTTTAGCAGTGTATTTCAGTAGAACTGTCTGTTCTGCTCTCTACTCTGTCTCTGGTGAATCCTTTCAACCCCTCCCCACCTCTGGCCTGTACCCCAGTTCTTGTATGCACAAATAAATACATTTCCTTCTCTACCTGTTGGACTCCTACACATCCTGTAAAACCCCTTGTAAATGCTCCCCCCGAGAAACCTTTCTGACTCCTTCAGGAGTCTTTGGGTTCTCCTTGGGGTATCCTATGCTTCCTTCTGTGACGGCACTGATCAATTTGTGTTACTTGTTAATTCAAATATGTGTTGAGTGGCTTCTGTGCACCAGATATGGTACCAGGTACCTAGGAAACCACTAAGACTAGATTATAACCCAGGCCTCATGAATTTAGTGGGGAGAGGAAGGAAAACATAGAGTAAAAAAATAAATGAGGTCGTTGCAGTTCTAATAAATGCTGCAAATGAAACAGAGCAGTGGATCGGTGACCCCTGGGCTGAGGGATCCCTTTAGCTTTAGCCAGGGCAATCCTGGAAGGCTTCCTTAAGGAGGTGACTTTTGAGTAGAGATCTGAATGACAAGAATGTGAGGCTTGCCTGGTTCCTGGACCTGACTAGCAGATCCTAGAGGGTAGGGCCTGGTCTGATTCATCTATAGAACACAGCTCCATAAACACTTGCAGCATGACTAAAGGAATGGGTGAGTTGCTCTGAAAAATGAATCGAATTTTCGAGTTCCCACCTACTTCACTTGTGACCCTTCCATGACAAACTCTGATATGCCTGATTGGCGTTTCCTGGGTGTGCTAATGGGGGTGGGGAGGCAACGGGCTCTGCCGGCTTGTGCTCAGACCTGGCATACCCGTCTTCCATGGGCTCAGTGATGGCAGAGATCTCGTGGTCATCCCCAGCGCCATCAAACGGACCGCGCCGTATGTTGGTATCTGAAGGGGAAAACTAAAGCAACCTGGGCTGGGTGGAAAATTTCCATAGCACTATGCACTGAGATTGGAGTTCCAAACTCCAGGTGATGTGAAGGTTGGCCCCACATGGTGAGCTTGGCCTGGATTCAGCATAGGAATATTTACACGGAGACAGTGTCAGGAAGAGGAAAGGAATCTCCCCCTCCAGAAACATCAGCCCAAAACCTCAAAGCGAATCTGGGAGGCCGAGGGCGGAGTCAGACAGGAGGATGAGAATGGAGATGTGGCAGAACTGGGTTTGCGTGTGTTCACAGGAGGGAGGGGGTGGAACCGGATAGATCTAACCAACCAGCAGGACTCCCTGAAGTTGCAGAGGGTTTCTCTGCATGGACTCAGCATCTGAGGTGGGGACAGTCCCTCTGGGCCTGGATGCCTTCAGGGTGAGGTCCCTTGCGTCCAGAGGCCGAGACCATAACCTGTGAGTCAGGGCCAGTCCAGCTTCTCCTGGGACAGGAGGAACTGGTGTTGGGTGGACCCAGACACGGAAGCAGTGGGAGGGAAGACGGATGTGGCTAAGGGCGCTTTGTGGAACTCAAGATGGGGTGGGGAATGCGATTCTCCCATCATCCCTCGGGAGTAGGATGGGTGTGGGGGGGCTACGGTTGGGGGCTACCCCTGTGCTTTTCTCCCATGGGCGCAGAGTCACACACGTTCTCACCAGGCCCTGTTCGCAGACTTTAACAGGTAACATTTAATAAGAGCTCGCCACCCACTGTGTTCATTCTTCACACGGCAATTATCTTAACGATCTACACGCGCACGTTATATCATCTCCTCACAACACACCGATGAGGTAGGCACTTCGATGGCCCCATTTTCTAGGTGATGAAACTGAGGCCCAGAGAGGGTGCTTGGCTTGCCCAAGGTCACACAGCAAGATGCAGCCGAGGAAGGGTGGGGGGGTGATGGACCCAGCTTCTCGCTTCTCTCAAACAAAACTCTACCGCCACCTAATGCACTGGGGGTTCAGGGGGGGCAGAGGACAGCAGTGGGCAGGTGGTAAGGGGAGAGGAGAGAGGCTACAGGCGCGGCTGACTGGGCGGCAGGCTTCGACTGGAGCCTGGGAGAGCCCAGCCGACCCCAGACGAGAGGGACAGGTGTGTGCAGGTTAGTGGGAGCGGATGGTCTTCTGTATCCAGGAGGAGTATTTGCAGATCTGAGTGTAGACAGCGGGGTGCTGAGCTGAGCCGCAGGGGTAAATGCCCCAGGAGAGGATGCCCTGCAGAGTCTCGTCACAGACCAGGGGGCCTCCGGAGTCACTCTGGGGGCAGGAGGCAGGAGAGACGATGGTCAAACACCCCACTTTGGGCCCCACTTTGGGTCTGGGATGGGGATGGGGGAGGCAGGGGTTGGGCTAGCCCGGAGCCTGGCTGGGGCTGGAATGGGGTATGAGGGAGGGTGGGATGGAGCTGAACCGAGATGGGGGCTTTGGACTAAGAATGAGGAGATGTGGAGGAGGGGGCGGGTGTGGGGGCTGGGGGGAGCTGGAGAGGCATGGGGTGAGTTCTAGGATCTGGGAACAGGGTGGGTTGAGGGAATAGGCAGGGGCTTGGGACAGGGACCGGCGTGGGGTCGTCTGTTTTCCCACACCCTCCGATCCTCGCTCTGTAAGTCAGAGGCCCTCCCGGCTGGCCCTACCTGGCAAGGGTCCTGGCCCTGCTCCAGCCCCGCGCACACCATGTTGCTGGACAGCACGCCAGGGTAGAAGACCTCACAGGCTTTCGGGCTCAGGATGGTGACACTGGAGCAGCTCAGGCCCCTGTTATACTTCACTGACGGGAGAAATGCCAGGTAATCCTGGGGGCCACCCCCACTTCCCCAGGACCCAGGAGTCTAGATACCCACACTGTTGCCATCCCAGGCTCCAGGCCCCTGGCCCCCTCTTTCAGACCTGGGGGTCCAGGCCCACGGCCCCTCCCTCCAACCCGGGGTCCAGGCCCCCGGCCTGCTTTTCCTGACACGGGCTCCAGGGTCCCCAGCTCTTGCCTCTCCGGGTGGCGGTGGTGCCCCAGCCCGCCACCTGGCAGTGGTCTCCAGGCTGGGCACAGCGGAAGGGGAGGCGCAGGATCTGGATCCGGGGGCCCAGCACCACGGGCCTGGCCAGCTTCAGCAGCATGAGGTCATGCTCGTCGGTGCGCCTGTGCAGAAGGGGCCCCGAGCCCTGGCGGTACTTGGGGTGGAGGATGGGGCGGGAGGTGCGGCGGAGCTGCTCGCCCTGGAGGAGCAGCAGGTGGTCGTCCCCCACGCGCGCCCACAGCGGCCTGGGAGGGAAGAGCCAGAGCCGATTGGAGGCAAAGCCTTCCTGGGAAGGCAGCGCAGACGGAGGGGAAGGGGGGAGGCTGGGGGGGGAGGGGGCAGGCACCCGAGTCCTGGGAGGAGGAGTAGGGCCTGGGCCCCGGTCTTGGGGAGGAGGCCCTGGAACAAAGGAAGTGGGGGCATGAATTCCTGGGTCTGGGGGCGAGGGGCCGGGACTGGCGGGAAGAGAGGTGCCTGGGCTCCAGAATTTTGCAGGAATTGAGGGCTGGGATTGGGGTGTGCTGTCGACCTGGATAAACCCGCCCCTTCCTTGTCTGTCGGTGGGGGCCTCAGGAGGTGAGGATTTTCAGTTCTGAACCCCTAGCCTCGCCGGGCCCTGACTGCCCTCTGTCACTCACCAACCGCCCACACCATAAATGCAACGCAAGGAGAATGAGCTGGCTGGGGTGCCGGGAGGCCCCGAGGCGCCGAGCAGGGCCGCAGCGCCCCCTGGCGGCCAGAGCGCCGCCCCGCTGCTCCCCTGCAGGCCGCCCTGGGGACCGACGGGCCGCGCGGGCTCAGAATTGCCCCGCGGTCCGCGCCCGGCCCGAAGCCCGCCTCCGCCGCCCCTCCGGCGCCCCCGGCGCCCCTACTTGTTGTTGGAGCAGTGCGCGGCCGTGAGCACCCAGCTCTGGTCGACGAGCACGCCGGCGCAGTGGAAGGCGAGGCCGCTGAAGAGGGAGACCTGCCAGGGCTGCGAGCCGCGCGGGCACGGGGCGCCGGCGCCCACGGGGTCGGGGCCCGAGCTGTTCAGGGCGGGCAGGACGGCCTCCGCGGCTGGAGAAGAAGCGGGGAGGCGGTGAGGGCCGGCGGGCACGGCGAGGGCTGGCTCTGGGGTCGGAGGGGGGCCACATGGCCCGGGCTGTGCGCACCGCAGCGAGGACCGGGTGGGGTGGAAACTGGGGTTCGTGAAGGAACCCCAGGGAGGTGGGCGGAGAGAGACGGAAGGAGGGGGGTTAGGGCCGAGTGGCGGGCCTGGCCGAGAGGTTGAGACACAGCTGCTTAAAGAAAAGACAGCAAGACTAGAGTGGGGGGCGCGCGGGGGTTAGACTCTCAGTGCCGTCAAGCCTTCGCCAGCCACTGCGCCATGAGTTCGATCCCCGGCCAGGGAGCTACCCACAGGCGCAGCAGATCCCCCCTGTCTCCCCGCTGCTCCCTCAGCCGTGGATTTCAGTAGATCCGCCTGTTCTGCTCCCCGCTCTGTCTTTGGGGAATCCTCTCACTCCCTGTACGTCTGACCTACGCCCCAATTCTTAGATGTATGTATAAATAAATAAATAAATAAATAAATCTTAAACAAACAAACAAACAAAAAGAACAGAGCTCGGCCTGGCCATGGGCTGGCCGAGGCTTAGGGCAGACACCTCAGGACTCAGCAGAATTAAGCTGCGGCCCTGGAGCCTCCCCGCTCCAGCTCGCCGCGCTTCCCCTCTCCTGGGCGTCCTGCTGGGCGCCCCCCGCGCCTGGACCCCTCCCCAGACGCCGGCCTCCCGCGCCAGCCCCAGCCACCAGGGGCGGTGGGCACAGCCCCCCGGGGGCAGCAGGCCGAGCCAGCCGGGGCGGGGAGACAGTGCGTCCCAGCAAACCGGCCTCCCTGCGGGGGGGAGACCCCACTAAGCCCACCAGGCGGAGAGCCGGCCCCTCCCGGCGGCTCCGCGTCTACCACCCCGCGCGCCCCGGAGCCGCCCGCCCCGGAGCCGCCCGCCCGCCGGGCGCACGTCCCCGTGAGTCCTTTCCTCTGTGCCTAACGGCGCCGCCGCCTTCGCGGGGTGAAGCGCCGTCCCCGCCTCGCCCGCCCTGGCTCCTGCGCGATGTCTCACCTGCGCAGAAGCCCAGAGCCTCGGGGTCCCCAGCACCCAGGGCCCATCGAGGGGACCGGGTAGAGTTAGGTGGGGCGCTTGGACGCGGGAGCCACCGAGGGAGCGGGTGTGGCGCCGCTGGGCTATCGGGGGTGGGGGTAGAAATCTGGGGGTGACCGTGGACGGGAATGCCACGCCGCAGGGGGGGCGAAGGGAGAGGAGACACTGCCGTCCGGAAAAAGGTCGGGGCGAAAAGCTATTATGGCAAGATTTAGGGTTGAGAAAGGGCCGGGGAGAAGGAGCGCGCGCCGTCGGGGCGGGTCGGCGGGACGGGGAAAGCGCGCCGCCCGGAGGAGAAAGGGGTGCATCGGGGCCCGCGGAGCTGGGGGGGCGGGGCAGCCGGCGGGGGCTGGAAAGGGGCTGAGCCGACCCGGGTGGCGCCGGCCCCGGGCCGGCGGGTGGGTGCGGGGGAGCCACGGGGAGGGAGGTGCGCGGGGGCTGGGGTCACAGCCTGCTCTTCCCCGGGCCTCCCGCCACCCTCTGTCCCCCGCCTCACCCCAGACTTGCGCCATCAGCAGCGGCAGCAGCAGCTTCGCCAGGGCCGGGGCGCCAGAGGCCGCGGGGAGGTGGAGGTGCGGGGGTCGCATGGCCAGGGCTTGGGCTGGGGGGCGAGGGGCGGGTTAGGACAGATGCCCGACAGGGCTGCGCCCGCCCTTTGGCCGGGGCCACCCCAGCCCGCGGGGGCCCGTTTAACCTGCGGCGGACAACCAAAGGGCCGGGCGCCCGGCGACGGGGCCAGAACCGCCGTAATGGGCGCAATTACCCCGACGACGCCCCTCCCGGCGTCCTCTGCCCTCCCTGCGCCCCAGGGGCGCGCTCCCCTGTCAGGTCGGCCAGCCGCGGAGAGCGTGGGGTTGCGCCCTCCTTCACAGGTGGGGTGCGGGCCCGGGCTCAGGGTGCGCCCCTTAGGGAAATCGAGGCACAGACGGCCCCTGCCCGCGGCCCCGGGTCCCCACCCATCCTCTCGCCATCCGCCCCAACCTGGGTGAGGTGCAGCTTGCCTCGCCTGGGAGCGCCAACGGCAGGAGGGAGGAGGCCTCTGGCCTGCTGTGTGGGCCGCTGAGAGCTCTGCCCAGGACCCCTGGCCAGGCCTTCCCTTTTAACCCCCGAAGATCCCGGAAAACTCTCCACCCTGCCCTCAGGCACTCACCCCCTCCTTTTCCCTCTCCCTAATTATGCCGTGGGTGGGGCTGGCGCCCAACCTGGGCCCCAGATTCCTGCTCTGGGCGGGGCCGGGAATACAGGCTTCTCCCAGGCCCCAACACCTTTTTTGGAGCTGGATTCCGTGGGGTGTTCCCCAGGTCCCCTGTTCCAAGTCTGTCTGGATGGGGAGAGAGGGCCGCGCGGTGGGGACTGAGTAGGAGATGGGTGGGTAGCGCCCACGAGAGCAAAATAAATAAACAGGGAAGTGCATTCCGCGGTGACAGGCCTTAGCAGCTGGAAGGAAGGGGTGGGAGTGAGACCCAGAGGCACAGAAACCGGGGGAAGAGGGAAACCAGGGGCCAGGGGTGGGAGGAGGCCCCGGAGTCCGGCCACAGGGGTGCTGTGAGCTCCGGCCCAGCGCCTGCAGGTGTGGGACTGCCTGCCGGCGGGGCGTGCGTCCCGGCTGGTGGTGACTAGCTCCTGGGCCCTGCCCCCGTGGGGTCACTTCACACAGGGCCATGAATCACGGGAGGCCAAGGCCCCAAGGGGCGTCAACATCCTCACACCAGCAGCTCCCTCCTTTCAGGTGTGCAATGCGCAGCTCAGAGAGGGCCTGAGTCACGGGAGGCCACACAGCAGATCCATCCGTCCAAGGAGGGCAGGCAGGTTCCTGCCCGTGCCTCTCCCTCTGAGGACAGTGACCTCCCGGCGGGGTGAGCGCAGCTGCTACAAAGGGCCTGCGCTCTGGACTACCTGCAGGGCGATGCAAATTGGTCTCCACCTTGGAGCCACAGCATCAGGCATGAATTACATTTCTGATTTTAGGGGTTTTCATGGGCAAGTGTGGCCGATGGCCATGCAGTGCCATCTCAGACCTGGGGCACCGTGGAGGTTGGGTGCAGACGGACCTAGCATGCTGTGGACTTACTGGCTGGGTGACCCCGAGGAGGTGACTTGGCCTCTCTGTGCCTCGGTTTCCTCCTCTACAAAATGGGCATAATAATTAGCCTCCTAGGGTTTTGTGATGATCTCGTAGGTTAGCTTTAAAAGCCCTTGGACCGGGGCCTGTGCGTCGTAAGCACCAAAAGATTCATTTCATTTGCTGACAGTGGTTTATTCATCGGCGCCAGGAATTGTTCTGGGGCTGGAGAAAGGATAGTGAGTCCGTCACTATCAAAAGTTAATGCAAGGCAGGGTTCCAGGCAGGTCTCAGCAGCTGCCCACCCCAAGCTGACGGTGCCGTGACAGCATCTCATGGCCAAGGAGCCCCCAACGTCTCCCTGGGGGGCACAGACCAGGTCCTAGCTAATTGTTCTTCATGGTCTCCTGGATCCAGTCCACATATTTGCAGACCTTTGTGTAAACGCCTGGCTTTTTGGTGACAGCACATGGGTCCTGGCCCCAGGAGATGATGCCTTGAAGGGACCCATCACAGACCAGCGGGCCCCCAGAGTCGCCCTGGAGATGGGGAGAGAGGACAGTCAGGGAGGAGGGTTGGGGAGGGCCTGGTGGGTCATGGGCCCTTCAGGAGGTGGGGACGGTGGTGCTGGGAGCTGGTGGAGACTGAGGCTGGGGTTGGGGATGGGATTGGGGATGTGGTTCGGGACAAAGATGGCAGGAAGGGGGCATGGTTGGGGTTAGCAATGGGAGTTGGGCAGAGGTGGGGGTCATGCTGGGGTTACAAATGGGAATTGGGGGGCGCCTCCCTGATGACCTAGCAGTTAAGTCTCATCACTGTCACCACTAGGGCCCGAGTTTGATCCCCGGCCAGGGAGCTGACCCACATGGCGCAGCGGACCTCTCCTGTCTCCCCGCTGCTCCCCTCGGCAGTGGATTTCAGTGGATCCACGTATTCTGCTCCCCACTCTCTCTGGTGAGTCCTCTCACCCCCCCACTCTGTACCTCTGGCCTACACCCCAGTTCTTGTATGCAAAAAAGAGAAAGAAGTGGGAATTGGGGATGAGCTAGATGTGGGGTGGCAGGGGCACGCGGTGGGGGCCTGGAGACCCCCGCTCTCTGACCTGGCAGGAGTCCTTGCCTTCCTCCCGCACGCTGGCGCACACCATGGTGTCAGTGATGTTGCCGGGGTAGGCATTCTCGCACTCCTTGTGCTCAATGATGGTGATGTTGGCACACCGCAGGGCGTGCGGCAGGTGCACTGCGGGAGGGCACAGATGTGTGGGAAAACAGGCCTGCCCCCTCGCTCTGACGGGGGTCCCTGCCCTTCTCCCGCAGCCCCTGGGCTCTGTTCCTCCCACAACAGGGTAACCACACACACCACTCTGGCCCATGTCTGCCTGGTGCATGTGGTGGTTCTCATTTTATCGAGAAGCAAACCAAGGTTCTGAGAGGTGAAGCCACCTCTCGGGCCTCCACCCCGCAGGCTGTACGTCTGGGGTTGTAGCCCTGCCTGCCGGAAGCGCCCCCCAAACTCAAGTCTCCAGCCCCCTCAAGGCACCCGGCACAGCCCCCTCTCTTTCCACTAGGTCCCAGCTTTGGAGGTGCTTCGGCTTCCCTGCAACACCATCGAATCCCACCCCCATTCCCCAGGGAGCCCCTACACTGGGGGCTGGACGTGGTGCCCCAGCCGGAAATGAGGCAGCGGGTGCCGGCCGTGACGCAGCGGGACGACAGCGTGAGGGGGCGCACGGCGCGCGTGATGAAAGCAGGGGCCGCCATCTTCACCAGCATGATGTCGTTGCGGTGGTCTTTGTTGGGGAGGCTGTTGTTGAAGTCCGGGTGGGGGAAGGACTCTGTGGCCGTGCGGGTCTGCTCACAGCCATCCCGCCGCTGGAGGTTGTGCTCGCCCAGGTACACTAGGTATCGGCTGAGGTGGGAGAGATGGGGGTCAGGGATGGAAGGGCAGGGAGAGGCAGGGGGTGGGAGAGGACAGGAGACAGGGGAGGGGAGGGGGGTGCACCTGAGAGCAGGAATGTAATTCCCCTTCCTCATCCCAAGCCCCTGCTGGACCCCACCCCTGGCCCAGCACCCTGCCCGGCTCCCCCAGCTCAGGTCCTGCCCTCCTTCTGTCTCAGGCCATCTTCACGTCATCCCTGACCCCGCTCTGCCCACCCTCCAGCCCCCCCTCCATGGCCTCTCCACTGCCAGCCCCCCCAGCTCCGCCCCGGCCCCCGCACCCACGGCTTGCGGCAGTGGGCTGCTGTCAGGAGCCATTTGGGGGCGATGAGGGTTGCTCCGCAGAGCAGCCGAGTCTTCTGGAAAAGAGCCACCTGCCAGGGCTGGGAGTGAGGGGGGCACTCGTACCCCTTGATGATTCTGGTCTCTCCTCCTACCTGCCCTAGAGGGGTGGGGCAAAGTGGGGCTCAGGCATGAGGGGATCCCGGAAATGGGAGGGGGTGGTCAGGGAGCCTGATGCCACACTGGGGTGCACCGTTTGGCTGGCCCCCTGTCAGCAGGTTGGCCGCTTCCACCCTGGCTGTTCAGCAGCCCCTGTCCTGAACCCTGAGTGACCCCCACGCCACCCCAGCAGCCCCAGCCCCTGCCCTGGACCCGCCCTGTCCCCCTCCACCCCGTGCTGGCACATCCAGCCTTGCAGATCTACCTCCAGAGACCCTATGGATTATTCTGCATTTTGAGGGTCAGCTCTGTCCAAACCTAGATAGAGAGTTGGGGGATCCTAGAGACTTGAGGAGAGGCCCACCCACCCTGGCCGCCCCACGTACCTGTGACCAGGGCGATCACGATCAGCCGCACCACCGTCATGGCCTGGAGCGGGCGGGCAGGCCCCAGGTTCTCCTGGGGACAAGGAGGGACCCGCTGGTTACGTGCTGGGGAGGTGGGGGCTGCCTCCTGCCCTCCCTGCTCCCCCCCCTGCCTGGCTGCTGCCCCCAGAGAAACAACATAGTTTTCAAAATCCCCTGGGGCCGCAACCTCTAAAATATGAAGGTGTCCTTGGAGGGGCCTGAGCTTAGCTAGAGGCTCCCGGTACTCAAGGAGGATAAAGAACTTGCTGGAAGGGCTTTGCAGGGTGAGCCCTGGGCTGGCCCTGGGCCTCGGAACTCTGAGGCCTGTTTTGGAGACTGTTGTTCTTCTTGGAGCCCCCAGACCTCCTTGGTCCCAGCAGCAGGTGGTGGGAGGGTAAAGGCACCGCAGGCGCCTGGGGGCTGCCCAGGGCAGAGATGGGGCTCAGCCAGGAACGTGCCCAGATGCCTGTCCTGCTGCACCCCTGCCCCTTGGAGGACAGCCGGACAGAGCGGGGCGGGGCTGGCGGGGGAGAGCCAGTGTCCTCAGTGCCCTGGTCAGCGGGGGTGGAAGGCTGGCCCCGGCGCCCCGGGCTGGAGCAGAGAGCACCGAGGTTGGGGGCAGCAGGCTGGAGACCGGAAGAGGCAGCGTCCCGGCCGGCCTCGGACAGAGCAGAGGGGACAGAGCCGGGCCCGAGAAGACAGGGCCTTCTCCGGGTGCAGATGCTCGGGCGGGGGAGGGGCCCTGCCCTTCCTTCCCTCCTGGACTCACGGACTCGGGCTGGGGCTGGGGGCCGGCAGTGGTGGCAGCTGCGGCAGGCAGGCTGGCTCTCCAGCTCGAGGCACCAGGCAGGCGGGCAGGCAGGGGGTGGCCCGGGCGGGCCGGGATGACGGGCCTCCCAGCCCTGCCTTATCGCCTGGGGGCGGGGTGTGCTGGGGGCCCTCCCCGGCGGCGGCCGGCTGGCCCGCCCGCCACCTCTGCGAGCCCCCTTCTCTGGGTGCCCCCTTCTCTGTGTCCGTCCGTCCGTCTGGTCTGCGTGTGCGTCCTCCACGCCCCTCGGGGTCTGGCCTCTCTGGCATTCTGTGCTTGGCATTTTTCTCTTCCTGTCTCTGTGCCTGTCTCATCCCCGCGGCTGGTCTCGCCACGTCTCCCTCCTCTGGGTCTTGACATCGTTTTTGTCTCTCCGTCTCTGTCTCCCTCCGTCTCTGTCTCTCTCCTCCCGGCGCCTCGTGGACTGTCTCCTGCTGTCCCTGCCCCTCCTTCCCCCCAATCTGCGCCCAGGTGGGCCCCTGGCCTCCCCTGGCCCCTCCCTTCTCCATTCCAAAGAGGTGGGGGGGAAACTGGGGCGGCACACAGGTGGGGCGGCTGCGCTGTGGGGCGAAGGGGCAGAACAGGAGGGTGGGGAGGCAGGTCAGGGCCTGTGGGGATCGAGGCCCAGGGAGGGGAAGGAGCCCTCTGCAGGAGCCCCAACCCCAGGGTGCTCTGGGGATTTGCTCCTCTGCTGACCTGGCCCGCAACCCCCTCCTCTCTCCGGCCACCCAGGCCCCAGAAGCCCTCCCGGGCGCCCTGTCCCCCCACACCACAGGGAGCACTTACTCCACAGGGAGCACTTACTCGCTGCTGCGGCCTAGGTCCCAAGCTCGCCAAAATGGATGAGCGCCACCTCGATTTCCTGTCTCCTGGCTCTCTTGTTATCAATTAGATCTCCTCCCTCCGTCTTGCCCTTCTCTCTCCCCTAAGCAGCTGTGGAGCAAGACAGTGGGCCAGGCAGCCAGCCCTGGCCTCCAACCCTGGCCTGCCTTCCTACAGGTGACGTGACAGCGGCTCCACCCTGCCAGGCTCAGTTTCTTCATCTGGGAGATGGGGGTGCCGGCCTGGTGGGGGGGTTGGGGTCAGGACTCCAGGGCACTCCCGGCACAGCCAGGGCTCAGCAAAACGTTCCCAGGCCAGCTCATTCTCTCCCACCTCAAATTCCCGCCCCCCATGCATTTGGGGAGAAGGCAGGACTCATGGTGGGGGGGGGGGGTGCTGGGCCATTTTAAGATCCCGGCTGGGTCCTCTTGCTTTTCAAGCCAGCACCCCACCCTTCCATCCTCGCAGACACATTAAAACAAACCCACATCCCCCCACACCCCACCCCTGTTAAAATGAATGTGCTCTCAATTCCAGCAGAGCCACGGAGCAATTGGCAAGTTCCAAGAATGTTACATTTTATAGACATTTAATTAAATGGTCATGAATTTTGATTTCCGCAGTTTCCTTTTTTATTTTGGGAGCCAATCATTTCCGCCCCCTCGGGTCCTTCTGGGCTCTTGAAAAGCTCTTGTACTGGGTGGAGAGAAAGAGCCTCGAGCTTTCGCTTTCGTTGTTAAAAGCCATTTTCCCTCCTCCACTCCTGTGTGACCCCTCTGGGCAAACATCACCCTCTCTGATCTTTTTCTACAGCTGTAGGGGGAAGGGGAAGGGGATGAGCCCTGGTCCCCCGACACGGAATAGACACCACTGCTCTTCCAGCCAGATCATCATGTTTATTCCACACACTCCCCCGGCCAGAGGTCTGTCTTGAAAGGGTTGACTGGGGTCAGAGTTTCAGGACAGTCCCCAGACCCCGAGGGCAGTGACGATGCTGGAGGCATTGTTGTTTCGAGGGTCAAGGCCCCCCCCCAAGCAGGAGATGGAGGAGCCGGTCAGTTGTTCCTCATGACCGTCCGGATCCAGTCCACATAGTTGCAGACCTTGGTGTAGACGCCGGGGATGCCGTCCTGGCCACAAGGCACGACGGACCCCCAGGACACCAGACCCTGGAGGACGCCGCCACACACCAGGGGGCCCCCGGAATCACCCTGGAAGGCAGAAGGCGGTCTGAACAGGGGGACACGCTGTTCTGCACCCCCTCCCGCCCCCGCTGCGCCGATCACTCCGGGGCCTGAAGACAGTGGCCCCAGCCTGGTTGTCATCAGAGAAAAGAGCACGGGCAGGTTTCCCAAGGGCAGTCATCATGACTGGCCAACTGGGAAAAAGACGCTCTCCCTAGCAGCCAGTCCCAGGGGAGGAGGGTGGGACTCTACAGCCCCTGACCAATGAGGGGCGCGCATTCATCATGGTCCTCCCCATGATCATCGCCATCATCATCATCAATGACCAACTCCGGGGCAGGAAGGCGGGACTCCACCCAGGTGGAGGGGTCCTTTGAGGACAACGCCGGGTGCCTGGCCAATGCGGGGAGAGAGCACGCGCCACCAGTGGCCAATCCCGGGGAGGAGGGCGGGGTCCCCTAAAACACGCTCCAGGACAGTGGCTGGGCCTGCCCTGGCTGGCGAGGCAGCTCCCTCTCTGGAGGGAGCGCGGCCGGAGGCGGGGAGCACTCCAGCCCCGGCCCTGCACCCTCTTTCTCACCTGGGCCAGCATCCGCTGGAGGAGGCGAGCCCCGGGGCCGTGCCCCCTCTCCGCGGCCCCGCCCATCCCTCCCCTGTTCCTGCACCCCATCTCTGCTCTCTGCGCGCTCCTCCCTCCTGGCCTCCATTCCCGGCTCTCCGCCTGCTCCTGTGCCTCCTCTTTTTTCCTGACTCCTTGTCTCTCACCTGCTCCCCCAGCTCCCCTCCTGGCCCCGCCTCCCCCACCCCCTGCTTCCGGCCTGCCCCCGCTGACCTTGCCTGGCCTCCGCGCTCACCTACCTGGCAGGCATCTGCGCCCTTGACGCCGCCCGCACACACCATGTTGTCGGTGATCCTCCCGGGGAACACGGCCTGGCAGGCGGCGGCGGAGACGATGCTGAGGCTGAGGCACTGCAGCCGGTCGGGGAATGGGCCTGGGGGCAGAGGGTGGCTGCTGCAGGCTCCCCCGGGCTCCCCACTTGGAGACCACCTCTCTCCTCTCCAAGGACCCCAACCCTCCTCTGCACCCCCCCTACCGTGGGGTCCCCTCTACAGTCCTCCAGCCTGTAAATGAATGGTTTGATTTCGTGGTGACCCGTAAGACCAATTCATGAACCCAGTTCTGTGACCTATTAATCTTAATTAACATTTAACCTATTAATTTGAATGCGGTAACTCAAGATCTTTGTCTCTCCAAACTCAGAGACAATAAATAGAGACCTACCCTCCTCCCACCCCATGCCAGGACCTTTGACCTTTGATCTTAGTACCCTCTGACCACAGTTTGACCCCTTGTCTATCTCCTGGTCCCAAGATCCTTGTTTTCACTTTGGCCTCCCACCTCAGCTGGGCATCCTCGAGATCCCTGGTCCTGACCCTACTTCATTGGACCCCAGGCTCCATGATTCCTAATCTCTGGCTCCACACCCCAAACCCTATATCCTGGAATCACAGACCAGTGAACCCCAGTTTCCATCCTCAGATTTTGGCCAGGTTGTGTGACATCCAAATCAGATGACCAGCAACCCTGCCATGACCTCTGAACCCAGAGCCTGGGCCCAGCCCCCTCAGATCCCTCTCCTCCCTGCTTTGGCCCATTCTGATGACCCTGCTGTCACTCAGACTGCTGACAGCGCCCCTGACCCACGATTCTGCCTCCACAGCCCACCTGTAACCACCCTGATGCCCAAGACCCTGACCTCCAAGATCTCTGACCCCAAACCATATCCTGAATGTGACCCCTCGCACCACCTTCCTCTGAGGCGGCACCGTCAGCCCTGCCCCTCCCCTGCCCCACTCTGGGACTCCCCACCCAGGCCCCTTACTCCACGGGTGGTTGGTGGTGCCCCAGCCCGAGATGTGGCACTGGGTCCCGGCCGCCACGCAGGACGTGGGCAGGGGCAGGGGCTGGACGCTGCGGGTGAAGTGGACGGGCATGCCCAGCCGCAGGAGCCGGAGGTCGTGGTCGTGGTTGTGCCCGGCTCCCCGGTAGCTGGGGTGGGTGGCGGAGAAGCCGCTGTGCCGGATCTGCTCTGTCCAGTCCAGCCCGCTGAGGCTGTGCTCTCCCAGGCGGACCCAGTACCTGCTGGGAAGGGGGTGACGGCGGCTCAGCGGGCGTCGGGAGGCGCTGCTTTCTGGTTCTCTGAGGTGGCCCCGGAGGGCTGGGCCCACGCTAAGCAGTCAGGCCCCGCTGCCCGGGACACCTCGACACCTCGTGGGCATCAGCTGGATGATGGGGCGAATAGGGAGCCCTGCCCTGCTGTCTCCCCCGCCCCCCAATCTGTCCACTGCTCCCTGCCTGCTTGAAACCTCCCTTTTGCAAAGAATCCTGAGCTTCCGACCTAGAAGCCCCGTCCCCTCCCTCCACTTGAGAGCCCAGAGGACCCTGCTGGGTCGGGGCAGGCTGGGCTGGTGACAGATGCCACTGGGAAGGCGGGAGCCATGAGGTGGGGTAGGCAGGCTCCAGGGCGCCCCCCTGTCCCCCTGAGTACTTCCAGCCCAGCTCAGAGCCTCTGGCAGGACCTTCCCCCCACTCCAGCAGGCCCCCCCTCCCCGCCTCCCGCAGCCCCGCCCAGCACATTCCTCCCCATCCCCCTCCCTCTACCCACCCGGGCGGGACTTACCTGCCGTTGCAGTGGGCAGCGGTGAGGACCCACCTGTGGTCGATGAGGACGCCCCCACAGCGCAGGTGGGTCCCCTCAAATAGCCCCACCTGCCAGGGCTGCGAGTGAGGGACACATTCTGTGCCGTTAAAAATCTTCTCTGTGGCCTCCTGGCTGAGCCCTGAGGACGGGGAGGCCGGGAGAGGGTCAGGGACCAGGACACAGAAAGGGAGAGGCGAGAGAGAAATCTGGGGACTCGGAGGCGGTGACGCGGGGGGGGGGGGGACCCAGAGAAACACAAGTGATGTGAGAGGTGATAGATAGACGGTGACACACAGACAGACAGACAGACAGACAGTGAATGAGGGAAAGAGAAGAGGAGGCAGGAGATGGATGGAGGGAGACGGAGGGTCAGAATGAGAAAAGGGCGCTGACCAGGACAGAGGAGGGGCCAGGGGCCAACGACCCCTGAGTGCTGTAGGGAATAGTCAGAGTCACCCCCGTCCCCTCCTCAGTTACAGGCTGAGCCAGAGCTGGACAGGAAGATGGGGGTCCCCCCACCCCCCCGCCCCAGAACTCACCAATCACACACAGCAGCACAATGATGCTGAACTCCATGGCAGATGGCCTCCAAGCTCTGGGGGAGAGGTGGGGCGTCTCAGAGATGGCCCTTCCCTGGCAAGCACCCCCCCATGCCCTCCCCACAGCTCCCCGGCCCGCAACCTGTCTCCCAGCCACCCCCTCACCTTCTCTCTCCACCTGCCTGGTCCTGCCCGCGGCGAATGCTGTCTCTCTGTCTATCCACCTGCCGGCCACCCAGCCGGTGGCTCCCCCAAGGTCCTCCTGGCCGCTCAGCCACCTGTCATGCTGGCCGGCCTGCCCCCTACTTCTCTCTGCCCCAAACCGCAGCCGACACAGCTTTTAACTTTTTGTCCCAGCCCACTGAACTTCCGGGTAAAGAGAAGGGGACAAGGAAGACACAGGGCGGGGCACCCACTAATCCGTGCAAACTCTCCTCGGCTAATGACACTTAATTGAGCTGGGGGGGGGGGACAACAGGGCCCAGGAAGGCTCTGCAAGGATGTCCCCAGACCCGTTCCTTCTCCCCCTCTCCAGTCCAGCCGCCGAGAGAATGACTCAGGGTGACCTGGGAGCTGGGTTTTAATCCCGACTCCTGGGACAAAGGCCGATGAGGGTGGGGTGCTGACACCTGGGGCCTCTCCCCACGAGGTGCAGGGCAGGGGCAGGAAGGTGGTGGTGAGAGCCGGGGACTGAGGAGGAGGAAAAGATTTCGAAAGAGGTCATCAGGGAGCCGGGCCAGGGTGTCCAGGCTGGGGTCCGCTGAAGCCTGCCTGGGAGCTCTTCAGCTGTAAATGCAGTGGACGCTCATCTTGGAAGGCTTTGGGCCCCGCCCCTCGGAGAAGCTCACAGAGCGCCTTGTCTAAATCCAAGATCATCTTTCTTTGTGTAAGAGCTTCCCCAGGAAAGAGATGCAGGTGGTGGTGGTGGGGGGGGGTGATGGGGGCCAGATCTCTGCCCTTGCTGTCTGCCTGATTGCCAGAGTGAGCGAGACTCCAGACTCGAGGGAAGAGACTTAGAGACAACCGGGGTGATCGGAGACAGAGAGCTCCTGAAGACCCCGAGGGGGTGCCCCTGGGTGCTGGCCCCCTCCTCCTCCCCTCTCCGGGCTTGGTCTCCTTCCCAGAACCCAGACCCGCAGATCTCCAGCTTCTGAGCTGTTCTGAGGCCGCCCAACTCAGGCCTTCCTGTCTGTGGGTTCTGGGGGCATCTTGCTTACTGCGGTGCAATTTACACGTGAAATTCCCCCCTCTCCACTGAAATGTGGGTCCAGCATGGTCAAGTCCTCTGATTTTCTAGAGAAGCTGGGATTCAGATTTTTGGTGGGACATTTCCTGTTTTTAAGATACGGACCAAAAACCCCAAACAGCTGTGGGACCAACCCAGACGCTCTCTCTCCCCCGCCCCCCTCCCTCTCTCTTCCTCTCCTTCCCCTCTCCCTCCTTTCTTCCTTGATCTTTTATTTCAAGCACCATCCACATCACATAAAGTCCAGCATTTGAGTCATCCTAAAGCCCATCCCTCAGTGAATTCCACTACACTGACATCACCCAACCTTAAAAAATGCCACTAAGTGAAAAGAAGTCGGCTACAAAGGACCCTCAGCTAGGGCCTCCTTTATGGGAAACATGGAGAATGGCAAATCCACACTAGCAGTTGCCTGGGGCTGCCGGGCGTGGCGAGTGATGGCTGGTGACTTTGATACACAGACTTCCAGCTTGTGGCTTCTGGATGAAGACAGTCCTTTCGTTTAGTAGCTGGAAGTTTAAAGAGGGCAAAGACTGCCTTGCACATCTGTTGTCAAAGCATTATTGCCACCTCCCCCAGGAAGCCTCAAGTACCTGTGCCTCACCCTTGGGCGAGGACCCTCATCAGGTCCACAGGAAGCCCAGTTTCTGCAAAGACCTCAGTCACCCAGACATCAGGGATGAGGAACCCCTCATAGATGTGGAAATGGAGTCACAGCATGGCTCGATGAAGTCACTTGCCCCAAGTTACACAGCTGGTAGGTGGCAGAACTGCTGCTTGACTTCAGACCTTGTTCACTTATCCAAACAGATGAACGAACAAGTGGGTGGCTGGATGAGTACAGGTAGAAGCAGATAGATGCAAGAATGTTCCCTTGGGTTGCAGAGGAATCCTACAGACCCGGGTAGAGACCCTGGCTCCTGGGGGGCCATCTGGTCCCTTCCTTGTTCTGGCTTCAGCTTGCTCACCTGGAAAATGACCAGAAGGATGACCATTGTCCACACAGTGTCTCCTCTCAGAACCATCACACAGGCACCAAGAAGTAGGTGGGGACAGCGTGTGTGTCCGGAAAGGACACTTTTGCCTCTTCAGTTCATTTCTTTATAAAGAAGGAATTTTGTTTTTAAAGATTTATTTATTTATTTATACAAGCACTGGATGTAGACAGAAGCATGGAGGGTGAGAGAATTCACCAGAGCCAGAGCGGGGAACAGAACAGGCAGACCTACGAAATACACTGCTGAGGGGAGCAGCAGGCACAGCAGGAGAGGTCTGCTGTGCCATGTGGGACCCTCACCAGTGGCCGGGGCTCAAACCAGGGTCTCAAACCAGTCCTGCAGAGGCTGCGGGCAGCTTTGCAGCCCAGAGCTCAACCGCTGCACCACCAGGGGAGGCCCTATAAAGAAGAAATTTTTAAAACTGAGGTGTCAGGATCTCTCTTGCTCAGATGTGAGAAATATCAGCTATGACTTAGTGTTCTTGTTTTCTTGTCTGTCTTTACACACTCTGTCATTCTCTAGTCTGTCTCATCCATCCATCCAACATCCATGCAGCCATCCATCCATTAGCTTGTTCATTCATTCATTTGCTCTTTCATGCATTCATTCATTCACTCACTCAACATTCAGAGAGGCCCCATGAGCCTGACCCTCTGCTGGATGAAGCTGGGACAACAGCATTTAACCAGAGCCAGCCCCATGCCCCCTTCGTTTCTTCCATTTCCCAGCAACATGTCTCTGTGAAGATCTACTCACAGCTTGCACACCACAGCCATGGTCTGTCTGGGTCACCAGAGACGTCCATGTTTGTCTCTCCTCTGTCTGCATCCTACTCAACCTTCAGCAGGCACTGGACATGGCCTCCTCCTCTTGAAACTCGCTCCTTTCCAGGCCTCCGGGGTTTCATCAGTTCTGGGTCCCCTCCTACTTTCCAGCCTCCTTTATGAATAGACCTTTCTCTCCCCTCCACCGGTGGGTGTCTGTGCAAACAAGGGTGTTCCCGGCGCCCCGTCCTAAGCTGTGTCCTCTGTGCTGACAGCATACTCCTGGCCATGTCACCTGTCACCCCAGGGCAGGATGGCTCCCAGGTCTCCTCTTTCCCAGCATCAGCATCCCCTCCTACCCCCAGCCATCCAGGCAGAGCTCATCATCTGTCCCACTCACCTGTCCTCAAACCCCACATGCTCCATCTTGGCCCCATCAATCTAGCCCCTTGGTCTGGACCCCCAGGACACAATGTCTCCCTAGGGACCATGTCCCTTTCTTGTGAGATGCCGCCTATTCACAAGGCCCAGCCCACCACCAAATACTGGTCTCTAGCTTCTGAGCACCTACCCTCCACAGCCCCCACCTCCTGGGTGCCCCGGGGCCCAGTTCAGCTGCTCTTCTTCGCAGTGAGCTCAGCAACCCACCTCAGCCCTCCCACTGCCATACTGAGCCAGACATCTTGTCCTTCTTCCTCCCCAGCCTTGTTAATCCTGTCCCTTCTCCCCTGCTGAACTTGGGCCTCCTCCCGTGCTCCCAGACCCTCACCCTGGCTGCTTACCTCACGCCTCTGTCACCCACCAGCTCATCCCCAGCCAGCCCCAGGCAGCGTTTCCACACCAGGTGCAAACCTTGCTTCTCTCTGTCTCACAAGCCTGCCTTGGCTCCCTAGTTTTCTTCCAGGCTTCCTGAGGTTTCTCAGGCCCTCGGGATTTCCTGGGTGGTTGGGGCTTGACTAGCATCTTTCCTCACTCATAACATCCGTTAAACACTTTCAGAAGGTCAGAAGAAAGAAAATGGGAGAGAGATCCAGGCCGAGACAGGAGGTGGGGTTTTCTGCAGGAACCTTGGGGAGCAGGGCCCGCCTAGCCAGGAACTCCCTCCTCGCGGCCAATCACAGGGCCCCTGGAGGGCCCTGGTCCTACCCCGGTCCTGAAGGCCAACAAATTAGGACTTCATTTTTTTTTTTAAGATTTATTTATGCATACAAGAGCTGCGGTACAGGACAGAGATGCGGGGAATGACAGGATTCCCCAGAGACAGAGTGGGGAGCAGAACAGGCAGATCCACTGAGATACACTGCTGCGGGGAGCAGCGGGGAGACAGGAGAGGTCTGCCGCGCCATGTGGGTAGCCCCCTGGCGGGGGATCAAACTCGGGCCATCGAGATGATAGCGCTGAGACTTAACCCCTAGGCCATCAGGGAGGCCGCGAATTACAACTTCTGACTCAGGACGCTAACCCGGGAGCCGGGCTCCACAGGCCGGGGCAAAGCGCGCTGGGTGAGAAGGACCCAGGATGGGCGTCCTAGCTGGAGAAAAAGGACCCAGCGGGCTGACCATGAGACAGCTAACGGGTGGCACCGGAACCCGCCTCGCCTGACAGACGTGCGGCCAGGGAGCTGCTGGTGCCTCCCGAGTCCGAGCCCGTGAAGACGCGCGGGAACGTGGCTTCTGGCTTCAGGCGCGGCCCTGGAGGGTCCAGCCTTCCCGGCCTCCCGGCCTCTCCCTCCGCACTGCGGTCTCACGTCGGGGCGGCCGGGCCCTTCGTCCTAAAGCCCCCGGGGCATCAGCCTGGACTGCGGGGGAGAGCGGCTCCTTCCCGCCCGGGCGGCAGCCGCTGGGAGAGGCCCTCCGGCCTGGGCCGAGCGGAGGGCGAGGGTTTCCCGCGGCCCTGCTGGTCCCTGGAGGGCCGCCCCAGCCCAGCCCCACGGGGCCGGAGGGCTCCGGGGCGCCACAAACACGTGGCCTGGCGCAGAGCTGGCCTTTTATACCTGGCGCTGGCTCCTCGCCGGACCAATGAGGCGCGAGCTGGGCGAACCAATCACAAGCCCACTAGTTAATTATTCAGCGCCAAGTGGGCCGATTGGCCCCAGGCCGTCCAATCACGAGCCGGCAGGAGGTGGGGCCCTGAGAGAGGGAGGGCGGCGGCGCAGCCATCTTGGGAGCGCGGCTCGGGCCTCGGCTCTGGGCTCCTGGCCCCGGGGAGGAGGAGGAGGGACGCGGCTTCCAGCGGCCGCCCGGGAGGAGACAACACTGAGGAGCCTCGCAGAGGTGGGGCCGCCCCCTCCGCCTGCCTCTGCCACCCCCAGGCGCACCAGGCCTGGCCGGGCCCGGTCTGCGCCCCAGGCCTCGGGGCCGCGCCAGCTTGGCCGAGCGGCCTTTCGGGCTCCTGGGCCTGGACGCTGTGCGGGCCGAGCCGGCCGCCGCCTGTGCCCGCAGTAACCCCGCTCACCCCGTTGTCGTTGCCCCCTGAGCCCCAGTGGTCTTGGGGTTGTGGCGGGCGGGGGCCCCTAGTGACCGGCCCCACCAGGCGCTGACCCTGGACGGGAGGTGGGTTTTCTGCAGGAACCTTGGGGAGCAGGCCCCGCCTGGCCAGCAACTCCCTCCCCGCGGCCAGACCAGGAGGGGTACCGGCCAAGGCAGGCCTCAGGGTCCTCAACCCAGTGTTGGGTTGAGGTGGGGCCATCCCAGAGGCGGGAGGGGGTCTTTGGGGTGAGTGGGCTGAGAACTCTCGGATGGGGGAATCCATTTTGTGGGGTGATTCTGCAGACCCCTCTGCTTCACTGGCCCGTCCTGGGGAAAGCCTGACAGGGGTCTCCCGGCCTGTGTGCTCCTCCTTTTCGCACAGCACCTGCTGGGAGAGAGGCTGGGCTTCCCGCCTCGCCTGGCTCCCTCCCTGTCCTCGTGACTTAGGATCAAGGTTTGGTCTTTGCCCTGGGGCACAGGCCCAGGGAATCCCGAAATCCAGCGATAAAACTTTGTTTTGTTAATGAGGAGACTCAGACCCCACCTAAGGCTGGGGGTGGGCGGGAGCTGGGGACGCTGGAACTAGTGGGCTGGATTTCCAGTCCCACCCCCAACTGGGGAGGGAACAGTCTGGAGGCTGGATCAGTGGCCAATGGGTTAATCGATCACGACTATATAATGAAGCCTCCCCTCAAATCCCAGTAGGGACAAGCTCCAGCAGGTGAGCACAGGAGGGGTGGGGAGAACCGTGGGTCTGGAAGGGACAGGAAGGCTCCGGAAGGCTCCATGCCCCTTCCCACCTTCCTGCCGATATGTCTTCCGCGAGGCTGGACCTGAATTATTTATTTTGTGATGAACCAGTAATCCAGTCAGTTATTTCTCGGGGTTCTGTGAGCTGCTGCAGCTAAGGATCAGACCCAAGGACGGACTTGTGGGACGCTCTCATCGCTATTACCGGGCAGTCTGAACTTGGGATGCTGTCTGGGGTCTAAGCTCCTCACCTGGGGGCTCTAATATGCTGTCATGATGTCAGAATTGAGCTGAACTGTAGGGCACCCCACTGGTGCCTGGAGAATTGCTTGATGAGGTAGCAGCCTCATGCCCTCACGCCTTGGAACAGGGTGCAGAACCCAATTATCCCCATATCCCTGGGGAGCACCGCTTCCCAGACAGGACCCCCAGGGCACCACCCCTCCACCCAGCCGGTGGCATCTCCGCCTCTGGCCTCCCACTAACTTTCCAGATTCCTTCCTGCACAGGTTCCCATTGTCATTGAAATTCCCTTTGGCAAAAAGCCGGAGGAGGAGGAGGTGGGACTGCGAAATCCCTGGAGAGGGCGGGAGAGAAGGGGGGAGGGCGAGCCGCCAGCCACCTGGCCGGCCTTCCCGAGGGGAGGTGTTGCTGGCAGGCCGCACTGCAGCTCAGGTATGCCATTATTTTCTGTCCCACAGGAAGGACTGGGCGGCTGCCTCTCATTCTCCTAAATCCCCAGCTGTCCCCCAGGGCTGCTTGCTCTGGCAGCCGGGCCTTGGAGACGAAGCATCAACAAGGCATCACACCTGAGATGCTGGTGACAGGTGACCTGTGCCAGGTGCTCTCCTGCGTGTTTCCCACAGATCAACACAATGGATCCTCCCAAGAAGCCTCTGCAGTAGGTGCCTTTTTTTTTTTTTAAGTCGTTAATAAACCGAGACAGTTCTTAATCCTCTGATGGAGAACATTTATCATGAGTGATCTGGTGATCTGTAGGTACAAGCTGCTCTTTTGTTGTCCTTATTTATTTTATTCTCTTTTATCTCCATTTCCCGGTGCTCTTGCCTTTATCGTTGCGTAGCTTGTGCTGTTGTTGTTATTACCACGGCTCCTTGTCTAGTGTTTGCTATTGTCGTTCTGTTATCTGGGTTCCCCTGGTTGTCTGCTGTGGTTTTGATTAGTGTCTCCCTTGCTGTCCTGCGTCTCCTGTGCCCTTTGCTGCCGTTTCATTGTGACAGCTTTTCTTTAAGCCGAAGTGCACACGCCGTCAAATGAACCCTTTAAAGTTCTTGGTTCCAGGTGTCTCAGACCCGTCCAGCCTCCTGGGAGCCTCCCGCCAGGGGGCTGCATCTCACCCACAGTGCTCCAGCTCCTTCTCTCCACCCCTCGCCAGCACTTGCTGTTTCTGGTCTTTGGCCCCTGGCTGAGTGAGGCAGCATCTCCTGTGGTTTGCATTTGCGGCTTCCTGATGAGTGGAAAGCAGCGTTTTCACCAGCCTGTTGGTCTCTGCCTGTCTTCTCTGGAGACGCCTGCTTGTTTTGATTGGGTCTTGGTTTCCTTTTTGTTGAATTGTATGAGCTCTTCGCCGATCTTTGATGTCGGCCAAGGCTGCAGAAACGAGCAAGTAGCGGGTGTGTGTTGTTTTGTGGGCAACAGAGATGATAAAATGCAGTTTGGAAAATGGAGCGTCATGGCAAGGAAAACGTACTTCCCAGACCAGGAGAGACACCCCCTTCTGTATCTTTTGGAGGGCTTGTGGACCGGGTTGAACCCCTGTCTCCCTGAGGCTGGGGCGGGAGCGGGCGAGGCAGGCTGGGTCCTGGCCTGCCACAGGCGCCTGCCGGGAATGTGCAGCCGCCTGACCTCTTCCAGCTGGGGTTGCGATGTGCTCATCCTCACAGCCGTTGCCCTGCCGTGAAGGGAGGGCAAGTCAGGAGGCAGAGCCTGGGTTCAGATCCAGGCAGCCTGGTCTCAGCAATCCTGCTCTTAGCAGCCGCATCCTCCTGCCTCCCACGCTGTGAGTGGATCCCCGATGGCCGCCTTGTGCCCGGTCTCCCAGCAGCCTCCAGCAGTTGATACCAGAGGAGGAAACTGAGTCCCCCTCCCAAAGATAAAGGTCTTTCCCTTCTTCCTGAAGAGGAGACACCTCTTGCAAAGGGTCTCCTCCTTCCCTCTCCAGAAGGGGAGAAAAGGAAGCCCCCGGGACAGAGCGTCAGCCCCTGCTTCCTGGGGGTCAGATCCCGCCACAGGCGCCATCACCACCAGCTCAAGCTGTTGGAGCTCCACGCCCTGGCAGTTCCCTGACCTCTGCCTCCACAGGAGCAGCGATGCACAGGGCGGGAGGGGCACCCTGGAGCCCCCACCCGCATCTCTAGGTAGGTTCTACCATCCGTTGCGTCAAGACAAAACATACGACCTTTAATGGAAAGGGACTGTGGTACAATTAGTGTGCCATGGAGAGACCTTCCTCCTGCCCCACTCTCCTAGAAGGGGCTCTCCAGCGATCCGAACCCCAGAATCTGACCTTGCCCCTGAGCTTCTCTGAGGGCATCGCCCCGGCCCAGGTACCACCACGTCATGTCAGGCGGTGGCAGTGGTTTCCACAGCAACCCCTTATCCTCCTCGCTGCTCGTACACACCCGTGGGCTCTGCCTCAGGGCCTCTGCCCTTGCGTGCTCTCCGTTGTGGGTGCTGTGCCGGGCAGGTGCCCGCCCCTCCCTTTATCCTTGGGGTCTTTCTATGTCACCATCTCAGGTCTTCTTCCCAGGCCAGCCTGTTAAAACAGCAGCCCCAGCCCCCCACCCTCCCCCAACAAGCTAACACTCCCTGTCCTTCCTCGGCTGCCGCGGCTTGTTTCAGCATCCGATGGTCTGTTTCTTTGGTCGTCCTTCCCCGCCGTGGCCCTGGAAGAACGTAAACTCCACCAGGGTAGACGTTTTCATCTGTTTAATACACTGTCACTGTGTTTACAGCTGTGCCTGGCTGTGCTAGCCACAGTATTGGTTGAGCAAATAAAATTGCATTTACCCAAGGTCTGGGGCGGTGTCTGCACTTGGCCACCTGTGAACAGCGTCTGAGGAAAACATGCAACACTTTTTGGCTATTCTGCAAATTTGAGGGGTTATCAGTGAACCACCTCAGGTAATGTTGCTTTGGGAACCTTGCAGATAACTACAGAGGTGAGTGCTTGGCATCCGTCCTCCTGGCTGCGGAGTGGACCTGTGAGCCCTGGCGCAGAGCAGAAATCAGGCTGTGAGCTTTAGCACTCTCTCAGAGCAGGTGCTCCAGAGGCCGAGGGTTTAACCGCCACATCCTGGGGTCGATGGGCAGAGATGCAACAGCAGAAGATGCTGGACAAAGGTGTCTTTGGAAGAGCTGAGAAGGACAGAGGATTGGCTGGACAGTAGGGTCCAGGTCTGGAGGCCTCTTGGGATTCTAGAATGCTCTCCGCCGTCACAGGGGATTGGGAGTCAGACAGGCAGTAGAGGCCAGATGAGCAGGGTGGGGGACCCAGAATCACGTGAGAATGATTATGAGGGTCCGGTATTGGCTGTGATGAAGCAAAGGTGCGTAGAGTGCGATGGGGGAAAAAGATTTCGGGCACCTTAGAGTATTTCCAGGATGAAATGTCACGGGAGTTTAGAACCTTCTTGAGCACAAAACACAGAAGGACCTAGATCATTGGCAGTGAATAAATATTTGAAGGGGTACAGGAGGTTGTCCAGGAAGGACCCCCTCATGGGACCCCGGGCAGTGCCCGGCCAGCAGGTGGTGATCTGGGTTGACCGGAGACCGTTGGGGGACCCAGACATGCTCTCGGCTGTTCAGGGGCCTGGGGTGTTCCGAGCACAGCACTTGACGGGGAGGGGGTGACGCTGGGCAGAGCCTCAGTGCTCTGAGGCGCAGAATCTCGGCTGGAATCGCACATCGGAGAACACCGACCGTGGGTCAAGCAGAAGCCCAGGGGAGGGGCGGAGGAGGAGTGGCAGACCAGGCAAAGGAGGGCTCGGCGGAAGGAAGGAAGCGGAGATGCCACGCGGACTTTATTGTGGGCCCTTTGTCCACTTCCGCTCCTGGGCTCTGTGTTGGCCGATTATTTCCTGGATCCAAGACACATACCGAGACACCCGGGTGTAGACGCCCGGCCGGTTGGGCTGCCCGCAAGGGAAGTCCCCCCAGGAGATGATGCCGTGGAGTGCTCCATTACAGATCAGGGGGCCCCCGGAGTCGCCCTGAGTGGGGAGAAAAAAAGAGTGGGGTCTTTGATAGGGTTCAGCAAAGTTAGGGACATGGGGGGCGGTCAGTGAATGATGGAGGCACACATGGAGACAGTCAGTCAGGGGTGGAATAGAACGGAGAGGCAGATGGACAGACAGAGTAAGAGCGGGGACACAGACATCTGTGTCTTCTGCTACTTTTCTTGGATTCTCAATCACTAAAGTAGTGGCCGTTTACCTCACACACCTGTCCTGGCTTCCCTGGCACCAAGTCCCTCTTTGTCCCCATGCACCCCTACCTGGCTTCAGCTAGATGGTTCCTTGGTGCCATCTTATGACTGAGTTGGTAGGTTGGGTGCAAAACATACATACCCCGCTTTTCCCTGGGGCCAGGGCAGACATTACTAATCCATCAAATCACACATTCATTCACTGTCACACTCTTTCCTGCCAAACCAAAGTCCCGGCTAGGAAGCCTCCCTATGGGACATCGGTGTTTTTCACGGGACCCAGACTTAGTCCATCACAACCCCACAGAGTAACAGCCCAGGGCGCACGACGTAAGTCAGTGTAGCGAGAAAACACGCTCAAAAGGTTTACGTAAACTATTGGAAAGGGGCTGTTCTCTTCCCAGCAGCATTGCCTAGAGGGAAGGGAGCAACCCCAAAGCTGCTGGGGCCATTTTGACTTTGCATGGGAAGAGGTCACTCCGGGGCGAAGCTGAAATGGAAGAGAGAAGAGCTGAGCGCCGAGGAGCTCTAAGCACGGTATTTGCGCTCCTGATCCAGCTGGGCCTAAAGCGGGAGACACCCCTGGACTTTCCAGTTACGGAAGCCAGCGGCTTGCTTGTGGCAGTTGAGTCTCTGTCAGCTCCAAGCAGAACCTCAACAGGGTGCATCTCACACAGCAGCCATCGGAGCCTGGGCCAGACGGCGGCCTTTCTTCGCGGTGACTCTCATGCTGGGGCCATCTCTCCTGACCAAGCCTGGTTGCCCCAAGGCTGGAGTCAAGTCCTTCCCCCCGTCCCCCCATTCCTGCACCCACAGGGGTCTCACCTCGCAGGAGTCCTTGCCCCCCTCTTCTGTGCCAGCACACAGCATGTTGGGCGAGATCTTCCCGGGGTAGGCCTCATGGCACTCCTTATCCGAGCGCAGCTGGATGTTGACACACTGTAAGGTTTGGGGGTAACTCACTGGGGAGGAGAGAGAGGAACGTGTCAGGATATCTGGGCTGTGCGGGCTCTGGGGTGGGAGCGGGATGGGCAAAGGCGGAGAGAGATGAGGGAAGGGGTTGTGTCCAGGGAAAGGGTGAGGAACAGTGGAAGGCAAGGCGAGAAGGGGGTGCAGAGATGGGCAGGGGCTGGGAGGGACAGGGAGGACCGGAAGCACCTCAGGTGGAGCTGGTGCTGAGCAGGGAGGAGGGGATGGCGAGAAGCAGGAAGACAGGGCGAGGGGTAGCCGGAGGGGGGGCCACTGGAGAGAGCAGCAGCACTGGGGGAGGCGGGGGGGAAGGGGGAAGGCCCAGGGTCCCATCGAGACTGGCGTGGTCTCCATGCACGTGACGTTTATGTGCACGTCCCTGCACCTGACCTAGACCTGCCGCCACGCCGTGTTCTCTGGGGTGCAAGCGATGGCTCTAAGTAAACGTGCTTACGTATAATTCAGCTCGTGATGTATATGCCGCCGTCATTTGTAAGTTAGCAATTAAGGCTGGTTTATGCAGTTTGCGTACTCATCCAGAGGTATATGTTGCTGTAGCACACGCGGCATAGAGTGTGTGTTTCACGTATTTATATATTTAAGTGTTTTATATATTTACTTAATGCAGTTTCCATATAAACAGGACATAAATGACGTATTATTCGCAACACGATCTGTAGCCTTACATCTGGCTTTATAGTTACACGGTTATAGCTGGCTACGTAAAGGCTACATATGAGCACACGTTACGCGTGCGGTATGCCTGCAGCTGGCGGTGCAGCTCTTAGGACGTGGTGGCAACATACACGAGACGTGTAAATATATGTATTCTGATTCATCTTCTTACAGGCACAGGAGTCCTGTGGCCTGCCCTGCCCTCCCGTGCCGCCCCCAGGCCCCAGACCCTACCCTGGGGGCTGGTGGTGGTGCCCCAGCCAGACACGCGGCAGCAGGTGCCGGGCGGGAGGCAGTCCTTGCGGGACAGGGGCAGGAGGCGGACGCGGTCGGTGAGCCGCGCCGGGGCCTGCAGCTCCAGCAGCATGATGTCGTGGTCGTGGTTCAGGTGGGTGGGGCTGACCTGGTACCCGGGGTGGGGGATGGAGCGCAGCACCTCCCTCACCTGCTCTCCAGCCTCCACCTTCCCCAGGGTGTGCTTGCCCAGGTACACTTTGAAGCCCCTGCGGGTGCGGGAAGGGGTGGTTGTGAGAAGATCAACTCTGCACCCCCAGCCTCCACTCCTCCGTCCCACCTTCCAGACCCTCAGCTCCCGTCCTCTCTAAGTCCCCTTCCCCTCCACCCCCACCATCCCCACCTGAACCCCGAGTCCACCCTCCACTCCAGCCCCATCCGCACCCCCACATACTCCTTCAGACAGTGCGCCGCCGTCAGGACCCACTTGGGGTGGACCAGGACGCCCCCGCAGAGCAGCCGCTCCTTCACCAGCAGGGCCGCCTGCCAGGGCTGCGAGTGCGGGCGGCAGGGGTAGCCGCCGGGGAGGAACCCGCTGGTCCCGTTGGTGCCATTGATGATCTTGGGGTAGTCCCGAGAGGTGCCTGTGGAGAAGGGGAGAGTCAGAGAACCGAGGTGCGGGAGGAGGCCTGCAGCTGGGGCTCCTGGACTGGGGGCGAGGGTCAGGATTTGCTCTGGGTGCCCAGGACCCGTGAGTCATCTGGCAGCCTCGGGGTGTAGCCACTTCTGCGCGGAGGTGAGTCAGGCGAGAGGTGACCTCCTCGGCCACAGCAGCGCCGAGCCCGGCCAGGCTGGCAGGAAAGGTCATGGAATGAGGATGCTGCTCTTGGGTCAACAGGGTCCAGCTCCCCCACCTGCGCGTCCCCCACTCCCTCATGGAGGGGCTTCTGGGGGTGGACGTGAGGCTGGCCTGTGCGTCTGTCCAGGCAGTGTCCCCCCGCGTCTACTCACCCCTCGCCCCCCCACCCCTTCCCCACACATCTGTGGGTGTCTGTGCTTTAAATGCCGTCCAGGGGCTCCCGGATCCCGAACTCACACCCCGTCCCTCAGCTCGGCCTTTGAGCGCCAAACCCAACACTGTCAACGTGTCTTGGGCTTCGTGTCCTGGCTTGACCTTCGCAGCCAAATCTGTGCTCCCCATCTCTCTCCCATGCCTGTTCCGCCCCAATCCAGGACTTACCCGCACATCCCCCCCCCCCCCCCCCCCCCCCGTGCTTTCCGTTGTCCCGCACAGCCGGCAAGCAGCGCTGGCCCAGCCTCCGAGCCCACCCTCCCGGCCTGCCCCTGCCCCTTGGCCCCAGCACCCCCCTCTGCAGCGTGAAGGAGGACAAGAGCTTCCTAAAAGTCTCTGCCTGCCCCTCCCACAGCTCACTCTTCCCGGAGCACCCCAGAGTCTCTGAGCACGTGACACCAGGTCACCTCCCGGACTGGGCTTCCCTTAAACAAAATCCCCACGCTGCCCCCAGCTCAGGCCCCCTGGCCTCGAGGACGGCTCCTGCACCCTCTGTTCCAGCCTCACGGGCCTGCTCTTCAGCCAGCCAGCCCCTCCCACTTGCCCTTTCCTCTTTCTGGACAGTTCTTTGTCTAGTCCTGACCGTTGAGGACGGCAGCCACACGTGGCTGCCTGAATTTAAATTCATTGAAAGGAACTTAACCAGAATTCACTTCTTCAGTCACACGAGTCAAATTTTAAATGCCTAGTAGCCACAGTGGCCAGTGGCTAGCAAACTGGACAGCGCCCATGTCGGGATGCAGGTACATACCTCGCCCCGCCACCCCTGACCTCGCTGTGTGTGGTGGGTGTGGTCACTACTTCAGGGCATGGCCTCCGGCGAGGGGTGACCCGGCAGTGTGGACATGGCTCTGGAGGCCCCTGTGGCTCACCTCCCTGCGGTGGGCTGGGCCTGACACCCCTCCCCCCGCTGTCCCAGAGTGCCCACACCCCTGCATAAGCGGGGCGCTCTCTGATATCGCCCGAGCCACCTGCAGTCACCACTGGGGGGGGGGGGTGTCAAAAAGGACCAATTTCAGGCCACACACCCCATAGACACTGTTCTGTTCCGTCCAGCGGGACGGATTCCCCTCTTATCTGGCACATAGGGCAGTGACACAGCCCCTGCCTGCTACGCGTTAATCTAAATCTGAAAAAGGGGCTGAGTCTAAGAAGGCCATTGGGTCTAAAATCGTGCAGTCGGTTTCCTGGGCCCGCGGTGCAGGATGTGGGCACAAGCAGGCGCCTGGCCTGGGATCCTGACTCAGGCATCCTGGCCGCTGGGGGCAGGACCCTGTTGGCCTCTTGCCCTGTCTGGGGAGGCCATCTGGGGCGCGTCGCCTCACGAGGCTGCTCACAGGCAGCTTCACAGGATGTGCGATGGCTCCCAGCCCAGGGCGGGGCACCCAGCAGGGGTCGGTGCCAGTGCCCGGAGGACCCAAAGGAGAGCAGCCATCGCACCTTCAGGCCACGGGTGGTGCCACGGGCCTGAGGACCTCTCCTTTCAGGTCCCAGCTCGGGGCAGGTCCTTTGGGGGGCCTTGCAGCAGTGTAGCTGCCATGATGGCCTAAGCTCCTGGCTTGACTCCCTGGAGCTGTCACCTTGTGTCACTGTTGTAACTGACTATTACCTAATTATTTGGGTAATTGCTTGAATAATGTCTGCATCCTCCCGTCCCTGTCCCCGCTAGGGCCGGGGTGCTGAGAACAGACCGTGTGTCTGCTTGGAAAGCCTCAGGCGCAGCCCTAGAACTCAGCCCCTGCCAGATGAGGAGTGGGGGAGTGAAAGAGCGGCGGAGGGAGGGGACCCCTGAGGGCCCTGGGGCCTGAGTGAGGGGGTGGATGGCCGGTGGATAGTAGGAGTGAGGGAGTGGGGAAATGAGTGGATGAATGGCGAGGAAGCAGTTTCCAGAGAACTCCTTTGGGAAGGCAGGGAAGGGCAGCTTAAATGTGCGGAGAGGAATCTTGGGGGCCAACTTGGTGGAGTCAGTTAGCTTCGGGGTCACCCCAACCATTAGAGAAAGAACAGTTTAGAAGGTCCTGGAGTGGAGAGAGCACATGACTAATAAAAGAACAGTGGGGCTTGCCTAAGGGGGTGCCCTCTGAGAAGAGCCCCCTCAGGCGCTTCCCTTGTGGGGCCGGGTCAGGGAGTGTAATCACACGCATCTGGGCTGGACCGTGTGGCCTCTGGGGACCCCGTCTTGGTGTGGTCCCTCCTGGGCCTAAATGCCCTCCAAGGGGTGCTGGAGTAATGAAGCCTGACTTCCCTGTCCCTCTGGGCTGCCTGGGGCTAAGCGAGTCACCCGTATCACCTCCTTTTCGAGTTCACGGTGGCCCCCGTGGGGCTCTCTCCTGCGTCCTGTTCCGTTCTACAGATGAGCAGACCTTGGCAGGAAGACGCCATGCGCCCCCCTCGGGACTTGCACGCTGGTCTCCTCTGGGTCTGGGGGGCGCTGCGGAGGGCCAGGGCAGGGGCGGGGCTGGCGCCCCTGCGAGGGGGCTGGGGCCAGGGTGGGAGCGGGCCGGCCCGCGGGAAACCAGGTCACGCAGGGACAAGCAGGAAGCGCCGTGGGTCGTCCTCGCGGGACCGGCCCCGAGTGGGCGGGGGGCGGACCGCCCGGCCCGGCCCGCCCCCGGGGCCCCGCCGCCCCCGCCCCCGCGCAAGTCCTTACCGCCCGACGAGACCACGGTCAGCGCGGCGATCACCGCGGCCAGGGGCCACATGGCGGCTTCGGGGTGGGGGCCGGGCGGGGGAGGCTGCGGAGAAGCCGAAGGGATGTCAGGGCTGACTCTCGCCGCCACCGCCCCTGAAACGCCCCCCATCGGCGCTCCGCGCTCCCGGGTCTGGGATCTCCGCCTTCGCTCAGAAGCACCCGGCACCGGCACCGGCACCCCCTTCCTGCGCACGTCCCACCCGCGAGGACAGCTAGTAACGGGGCAGGGGTGGCGCGCGCCCCTTGCCCCGGGTGCCCGGCCCTCCACCCCCGCGCTGCGCCCGGCTCCGCGGCGCCCTCCCGCGTCTCCAGCCCTTTGCGGCTCGGCCTGGCCGGGGCGCGCGGCGTCAGGTCCCGAGCCCAGCGCGTATCGCCGCGTGCCCGCCCCCCGCCCCCCCCCCAGAGGCCTCTGTCTCCCGCGCCGCCCCGGCTCCTGTCTCCGCAGCCGCCCCCTCCCGCACCCGCTCTGCCCAGCGACGCCCCCACCCCGGCCCGTGCGGACCCTACCTGGGCGAGGGGCCCGGGGCGCAGAGCTTCAGCCGCAGGCTGCCAACTTCAGCCCCGACCCATGGCTTTTAACCCCTGAACTCCCTCCCCCAGGTGCCCCGGCGCTTCCCCGTAGCCGGCCTTCCCCTCTCCACCCCCATAGGCTCAGCGGGCTCGTGGCCGGCACCCCCAGGATGGGCTTGGCCCTGGGTTGGGGCGGAGCTTCCTGGACCCGCGGCCACCCCGCCCAGGCCCGATTTGAACCCACTGTGAACTTTCTGGCAGCAGGGCCCAGTTTAGAGGGAAGGGGGAAGCTCGTTTCCCGCTCAAACCCACCCTCCAGTCCCGCCGGCTCCCGCGCCTTCTCCTCCCTGCACCCCTGCACGTGCCCAGCCCCAGCAGCTCCCAGGGCGCCTTCCGCTGGCGTCTCAGGCCCAGTGTGAACCATGCCCCGCCGCGCGGACCCGATCCGTGGACAGCCTCAGCTCAAGCTTGTCTCCGCTCAAACCCAACACCCCGAATCCGTGCCCACCTCAGCTGGGGCCCCACTCCAGCCCCCGCCCTTTTGCCTTCTGAAGAAGACAGGGCTGCCCACAGGCCTCGCCAGCCCCTTCCCTGGACAGTCGGGGGAGAAAGGCACCTGAGGCGGCGCAGGAAGTCCACTGGCTCCACCGGATGGGGCAGAGGTTGGGCCTGGGAGAGCGAGTGTCAGATGGATGACCTTGGAGGCGCAGGGTCAGGTGAGGTGAGGGAGTTCGCAGAGACGGAGGTGCAGAGAGAGAACCAGGAACCGGACACCTCTGGGGGCCGGGGTGAGGGGAGAGGAAGGAGGAAGGGGAGGCGCTCTGGAATGAGCAGGCGGATCCGGGAACTGTGTCTGGGTGGGGTCACCAGCTAATCCGAGGGGGTGGAGGGGGCAGGTTTAGGGATTAGGGAGGACAGAGGTGGGGTCAGAATCTGGAAGGCAGCCAGGGATGGGCACGGGATGCAGTCTGGGGAGAGAGGAGAGCAGTGGCGTCCAGGCGCGCGCGCAGGCGGGACGAGCGCCCCCGTGGACATCGGCCTGGTCCACATGGGCAGAGTTCAAGTTTGGGGTCACACTTTAAAGGATCAACACTTTCCGTGAGGCGTCTCTGCCCGGAAGTCTCCCACATGCATGTAATGAACACACGTCAGGGATGTTTCGACGCTCAGTGAGTGGCTCAGCGGAGAGGTGGCGCAGCGGGCGGTCAGGGACCCTGAGATTCATTTGTACGGAGATGCAAACTTATCGTCCCTGGGGAAAGTTCAGGGCTGCTGCAGAAGCCCGGGGCTATTACGGACAAGGGCCATTTGCACCGACTGGCAATCTGTAACAACAGAGTGGTCAGCCTGCCTCCGGGCACTCTGCAAAGCCAGAAAGGAAAGCCAGAGAGCCCGTGGGACCAGCCGGCCCTCTGCTTTTTTCATCCCGGATGTCTGTCGGGTCCCCCTCGAAGTCTCACAACTCCCGCCCCACCGGGGAGGAAGGCGGTGGGCCCGGCGGGGTGGGCCCGAAGCCCGCACCGGGAAAGCCGTTGAGCTGGGAGGGCAGGGCCCGGGAGGGGCGAGGAAGGGGCTGCAGCTGGTTCTGGGGACGAGGCCGAGGTCGCGGCCCTGTGGGGCCGGGCAGGCGGCACGAGGAGGGTTGGGACGGAGCCGCGGCTGAGTTGGCGTCGAGGTTGAGCAGCTGACGTGGGCCCAGCGCAAGGCTGAGTGCCGGGGACGGAGCCCAGCGGGCGTGGCTGGGGTCACAGCCGAGGGCCACAGCAAGGCCGTGCCCTTCTTCACCCTGGGGTTCCCCCACCTCGCAGGCCGGCGCCGAGTGGGCACAGAGTTCGTGCTGCTTGGGTTCAGGCTGGGCAGCAGAAGGGAGGGGGCCGGTGCAGTGAGGTGACAGGCTGATGTGGGGCGCCAGGGGGCCCCTGCTGCTTGCAGCCTGGGGTCACGGGCTTCCCAGGAAGTCTCCTCTGTTGGGGAAGGGGTGGAATCTGCGGTGGCCGGCTGGCCCTGAGAGCAGCTCGGGAGGGGGTGCCGGGTTGGGCTGAAACCTTGCCCCTCCTCCCCTTCGCCTGGAGCAGACCCGAGCAGTGCCGGAGAAAGGAGAAGAGAGCGCTAGGAGAAGAGGCCCGGGGCTCAGACTCTGGAGCCACACTGGCTGACCACCGGTGCCTCGGTTTCCCCGTCTGTAACCGGCGCGGCCATAGCCGCGGCGTCGCAGGGGAGGGCTGGACGGGGAGAGCCTGACGCGGACCGGCCTGTTAAATCAGTACAGCGGAGATGGAGGCTGCCCGAGTTTCTTGGAGGCCCCACCTTAGCTTGGCTTCAAAATGGGGTTCTTTGTCAAGCAGGAACTGGAAGTTCTGGTTGGAAGCGCTGGCTGGGGCGAGAAAGTTGGCCCCACACCCAGGCCCTGGGGGAGAGGCCCTGGTGCCAACGTGAAGGGAGGGGGAGACAGAAGGACTCAAAAGGGAAAATCCAGGGAGAAAGAGGGTGGGTGGGAGAGGCAGGCGGAGGGGAGCCTGCGGGCACCGGCCCCTGCTCTGGGGCAGGAAGGTGCAGGGAGCCGAGGGCTGTGTGCCTTAGCCCGGATCCATCTGCTGAAGGCAGTGGGCCTTGGTCGCCATCTTTCCCACGAGCGACAAGCGGCCCTTTGCAGACCTCAGAGCAGCAAGCCCAGGTCGCTTCTCCCATCTGCCTGGCCTGTGCCATCCTCTGTCCCCCTCCACGTCTGCCTGGGAGCTGCCGCCCCTGAACCCCGCGCCCGTCCTGCTCGCCCCCCCGAAGACAGGCCTCCAGGCAGATGTCGCCCTAGCCTGTGTCAGCAGCTTCTGCCTTGCCGGTTCCACTGGCAGAGACACGGGCTCCAGGCTCCCCTGTTCCATCAGGGTCGGCACCGTCACCTCCTCCCCACCTCCCTTCTTGTCCTGCTGCTCCGGGTCCAGTTTTTGCTCTTGGCGCCAGCTCTCCTCTGAACGCTGGCCGCCCTCACCTGTCCATGCAGGCTTTCTCCCCGGTCCCCCACCAGACGGGCCCCATCCCCCAAAGGCCCACCTCACTGAACCCAGGGGCCAACTCTTTAGGGTTCATCTTGAGCATCTTGAGCTCCCAGCAGCGTTGAAGAAGCGAATCACTTCCTGTTGCTCGGGCGCTTCTGTGCTCGCCTCTGGGCCTGCGCCCTCCTGGTCTTGCTCAGGGCTCCCTGCTGCTCCCCAGCCGTGCCTGGCGCTGGCCCCTCCTCATCTCCCTGCTCCTGCGGGTGGTGCCCCAGGACCCTCTCCTCTGCTCACTCCACCCTTGCTCCCCGAGTGTCTCATCTGATCCCCGGGCTAAAGTGCCACCTCCACGCCGCCGGCCCCCCATGCTCCCGCTCTCAAGCTGCCTGCTTAGCCTGCGCAGCATTTCCATGCACTTAGCCACCCCCCACGCACCCCAAACAGGTTCTTCTCAGTTCCCGTGGACGTCTCCCTCGCCTGCAGCCCCTCGCTGGCACCCTGGTCTCACCCTGGAATTCCTTTCCTGGTGCAACCATGACCATCAGCTCCCGTTGGCCCGCCGTCGGCACAGACCCGGGTCCGCACTGCCCGCCCTGCGCCCGGCCCTGGCCCCGGCCGCCGCTGAGGCCCTGGGTCATTGCAGGAGTCCACTCGGGCTCTTCTCCCGCCGGCCCTGCACCGCCCCGTCTCCCCCACCGCGGGGCCTCCTCTTAGGAACCCTCCACGCCTCCCACCTTGCTTGGGGTGAACGGCAAGGCCTAGACCACCGGCGCCAGGCTCACCCCCAGCTCGGAACCCGGAGCCTGCCATTCCCACTGTTGGGGTTCAGAGGACGGGGCTCGGCACTGGGGTTCTTGGGTTCCTCTGAGAAAGAATTCGGCAGATGTCCCTGTCACCAGCGCATGCGCGTTCACGAAGGAAAGGGGCATTCACAAAGGAAAGGGGCGCCCGCGTGGGCGCCGTGGGCAGGAGAGCCGTGCTCTGCTGGGGCGGGGGTGCCCTTAGGCGGAATCACAGCGATTTGTTTCCGGGGAGTGAGATGGGGTTGGTCTGTGACCGATGGTCCCCTCTGCCTCCGCCCCCGGCACCCCCCGGCTGAGGGACCCACCCCAGACTTAAGGTTGGTTCACCCTGCCTCCCGCCTCCGGTATCTGTCCTCGGGAGACCTTCCGGCCTGGTCTTCTCTCGGCTCCGTCACGTGGGGCTCAGTGGCAGTACAGCACCTGCTGGGTCTGTGATGCCAGAGGGAACATTTCATGTGTGTTGATTTGAAACTGCAGTCACCACTTCGGGCTGATCTGGTGGCCGCCCCGCGGCCGGCACAGGCTAGAAAGGCGGCCCGAGAAACAGTCAGCTGGGCGGGCGGGCGCCGCCATGGGGCCAGGGCCGTGACCACATGGCCTCTCTGCTTGCTTGAGCCTCACCCCTCACCTGGCGCCCCTCCTTTGCACTCTGGTTCATCAAATCTGTGACACCATTGCCTGGATTCGCACTGTGTTTTGTTTTTTTTTAGGATTTATTTACACAAGCACTGGGTACAGTCAGAAGCACGGGAGGGTGAGAGAATCCACCAGAAGCCAGAGCGGGGAACACAACAGGCAGACTGACGAAATACACTGCTGAGGGAGCAGTGGGCGGCAGGAGAGGTCTGCGCGGCATGTGGGACCCTCGCTGGCGGCCGGGGATCGAACCGGTGCTGCAGAGGCTGCGGGCAGCTTCGCAACCCAGCGCTCAACCGCTGCACCACCAGGGGAGGCCCTGGATTTGCACTATTTTTTATACAACAGTTATAGAGCAAAATTCAAGCTTTCAGAGATAGAGCTGGCTTTATTAATGGCAGAGAAGCTGGCAGCATCCCGCCTGGGACACAGATTGGAGCCAGAGCTAGCGCAGCGGGGCAAGGTGTTTAGCGGGAGGAAAGAGGCAGGTCGGGGCTCTCATCACGCAGACCACCCCAGTGCAGACTGGGAAGCTGGAGCAGTTGGTCTGGGGCAAGGCTTTTGGGAGAGGGTGGAACTGCCGGGGGTCCTAAGCCTGGGAGGGCTGCTGGGAACTCCCGCTGGCCCCTGGTTCCGCTTTTTTAGCCCTGTTGAGCTGCTGCTGAAATGGCGACTGGATGCTGAGACACTTTCAAGACGCCTCCGAGTTTCAGAGATGCCAAAACAGGAAAGTGTTGCCGGGCAGCCCCGATATCAAATGGGTAGCCTGGCTGTGGGTCCTCACCCACGCGCTTCAAAGAGACTTATTAATGCTTAACTGCAGGCACACACAAAAGGTTAATAAAAGGCTTATTTACAAGGGAAGGGGAATGAGGAAATGTGCAATTGCGGGAGAAAAGAGGGAGATAAAGTCTTAAGTGCGTCCTACCCGTTCCCCTGCCCTTGAACCCCACTGGCACTCTGAGAGCTGGCCGCGAGCCAAGAAGGCCCCCCAAGGCCCACGTGTCTGGTTTTATACTAAACCTGGCTGCTTAACTCCACCCTCAGGTCCCAGCAGCCCTTTTGGTGAGGACAGAATTTGTCTTTCCCAATGTCCTGATGGCTTTGGTCTGGAGTGGGGGTGGGGTCCACAAAGCCTGCATGGAATTAGCTCAGGACATCCTTTCCCCCTGACAAAAGGAACGTGCACCCGAAAATGTACAACCTTGATGCACAGCAGAGAATCCAGAGTCCAGTGACCTTGAATCTAAGCGGCCCTGTGTCCTCATAAAAGGACGCGGCTGAGAGTTTGAGCTGCGTTAAATGTCGCGAGCCAGCACAGCCCAGCCACTGTTGCGACCCTTCCCTCCGCGGAGCTCCCCAGCTGCCCACATGAGCTCCCGGTGAGCCTGTACCACCTCGACAGAGGCGCCGCCTCGATTTCCTAGCGGCCTTTCATTACCAAACGCAGAGCTTTGGTGGCTTGGGGTGCCTCAGCCCACGGAACAGACCGAGACGAAGACTTGGTCTTTCCCAGCAAAGGGAGTTTAATGACTGAATGGAGCAGGAGACGGGGCTGGCTCCCAAGGTGCCTCTTGCGGCCCTCAGCGGAGTTAGGGACTTGCTGGGATCGTTGCATTGGGACATAGCGGGGGGGCGAGGCGGAGTCCTGGCCACGCAGGCGCAGTGGCTTCACGGGCGCGCCAGGCTCTTCAGGGGTCACTCACCCAGAAAACGGTGGCCTGGCACCTCCTCACGAGGCGCTCAGCTGCGAACCGCGAGCTCGCCAAGGCACTCCCCGCACGTGGTCTAACTCAGAGCCACGTGGCCCGTGGGCCTGCGGGCTGGTGCTGGTCTCCACATCCGCTCTGGAAACCTTCCACCTGGCAAGGAGCGCGAGTCCCCACCCTGCCCCTCAGCGCTCCCCGCCGGGGCATCCTCCACGCACAGCAGTTATTTCTGCTCCACTGGGCCCCTCGGTGGCCAAGACAGATGCCAAATGCCGCAGCTCGTCCTCGAGTGCCTGAGCCCATGAGGGGCCGACGGGCTGACCAGCGGGCGGTGTCCCTGGGCCAGGAGGTCCAGCGTCGGCCTTGAGGCCGCAGACCTGGGGAGCCTCAGGCACCGGGTTGGTGAGAGCGGTCAGGATGGCGAGTGGTTAGCAGTCGCTGACTGTGTTTTCAGCACGTCTGTGAGATGGACGTTTTGATAAAGGCTGTTTATATTTAGCAGAGCCCTAAACCTTCGTGGACAGGCCCCTCGCAGCTGGAGGAGCTCGCCCCAGCGCTCGCAGCCCAAACCCACTGCCCTTTGCTCCAGAGGGTTCTCCACCTTGGAGTGAAGTTCTCTGTTGCTGCGTCCCCTCCCGCCCCGGTGTGAGTGGAAGGAGCGTTGCGCTGGGTCTGGCTGGGCAGCTCCATGTCTGGCATCTAGAACAAGGCACAGGAGGCACCTGGGAAAGACTCAGGCCCGGCGCACAGTAGGTGCCCCTCGTTTGCGAGGCGGGAGAGTGGAGGCACAGTGGCTCCGGGAGAATGGAAATAACACTGCAAGGCGCTCTTCTTCCCGCAGAGGCGCCTGTGGGGAGGGAGGGCCGGCCTGGCGAAGAGCAGGCTCTGCCGGGACTTGAACTCCAGAGTGCGGTGACCTCAGCCCTCCGTGCCCAGATCCGATGAGGACAGAGGGCCTCTGTCAGGCAACCGCCGGCTCTTTGCCTCCCCTGCCCTGCCCCTTGGCAGCCATGGCCCCTCCCGGGGCTGGGGGAGGGCTGCCCCACCCAGGACAGGGGCAGCACCAACACCAGGGGTGGGGTGGGTGCTGGGGCAGACCCTGGGTGGCAGATGAGCCGTGGCGCCCATGGGCAGCTGTGTGCACATCTGCCGGGTGAATTAATGGAACATGGAACTGTGGGTTGTTCAGTTTTTATTATCATTACTTATCTGCATTTAAGAGACAGGGTTTTGCAAAGTGCCTTCTTTGGAGTATAGTGAGAGTTGCCTCAGGCCCCTGCCCCTGTACCTAAGGCCATCCTGGCTAAGACGGTGGGCGTCTGAGCCAGGCCCAGGATCAGGGTGTGGCTCCGAGGGAGGGGGCGGGGCCTGGGGCCAGGGGACTTGTCATCATCTGTCACCATGGTGATCATTTGCTCCGCATCGTTTCCTGGATCCATTTTTGGTACTTGCACAGGTTGGTGTAGACCCCGGGGTAGCCAGGCATGCCGCAGTGCTCCATCCCCCAAGATACGAGGCCCTGGAGCGCTCCTCTGCACACCAGGGGGCCCCCGGAGTCACCCTGAGGGGGAGAGGCAGAAGTGGAGACGTGGGGAAGGAGCCCGAGCAGAGCCCTTGAGGGTGGTGATGAGGGGACAAGGGCTGAGGTCCCCTACCCCCCAGAACGGGCGGGGGCACCTCCCTCTTGGCGGGTGTCGCCCTGTCCCGTGGCTCACTGGACCCGCTGCCTTGGTGCCGGTCCCAGAAAGTTGTGTGTCTGTGTGGCCCATCTCACCAGTTCCTCCTCCCGCTCTAAGAACTGCTCCTCCCACTTAGCAGAGGAGGAAACTGAGGCATCAGGGTTGAGTCTGCCCCCCAAGGGCATATGGCTGCCAGGCGGCCTGCCTGTGACGCTCCTTCATGGGGGAGTCTGCCCAGTTTTAGGTTCTTGAGAGCCCCTGTGCCTGAGTCCCAGCACGAGCCACTGCCTCCGTGCAGCCGCCAACCTGGGCCTCACCTGACAAGAGTCCTTCCCGCCTTGGGGGACCCCTGCACAGACCATGCCCCCGGTGATGCCTCCGTAGGCCTGGCGACACGTCTGGTCAGAGGAGATGTTGATGTTCACACATTGCAGAGAGTTGGGGTACCTGGCTGGGGGGCACAGAGGGTTACAACTGCCCTCAACAGGATCCAGGAGTCCAGGCCCCCAGCCCCTCCTCTCTCAGACCTGGGGTCCAGGCCCCCAGCCCCTCCCTCAGACCCGGAGTCCAGCCCTTCCTCTCCCGGATGCAGGTCCTCACCCATGGGACTGGCTGTGGTGCCCCAGCCGGACACGTGGCAGGAGGTCCCTGGGCTGGCACAGGAGGTGGCGAGCGTGATGGGCCTCACTGCCCTCCCCAGCCGAGCCCTGGGCTCCAGCCTCAGCAGCATCAGGTCATTGTCGTGTGTGCGGGAGTTGTACTGGGGGTGCGGCACCTGGCGAGCCACGCGCAGCACCTGCTGGGTGGCCTCCCAGCGCTTCAGGTTGTGCTTGCCCAGGGCTACCCGGAGGATCCTGGCCCGCGACCCCGAGAACAGAGAACAGGGCCTCTCAGGAGCTGGCCCGGAGCCGCCTCCCCCACCAGCTCCCTCTGTCCCCCTTGCTGGGCTGGTGACGCGTCTCCAGCTCCCTCCCTTTGCCCGCCAAGCCCACCCGCCCTGCTAGCCTCCCGTGCCCTCCCGCAGCCGGGCACCCCCCCCCCGCCCCCCAGCTGTGTTCTGGCTTGGGTGGAAGGTGAGGGTTGGGGGCTCTCGCCTCAGTCCCAGGCCCTGCACCTGCCGCTCCACTCCTGGGCTGAGTGAGACTGCGGTGGCCTGGCTCTGAGTGGCCCTCCCGGCCCTAGCCTGGCTTCTGGGCTCTAGACTCACGGAGCGCTCGGCTCTGGAGGCTGGTTCTAGATGGAGTCTGCACTGGGGGCTCTCTGGATGCTGGGGTGCGCTTTCTGTCCTGGGCAGCCTGAGGGTTCCGCATCGAGTTCTGCACTATGGTTTGCGTGTGGTTCTAGACACGGATGGGCACGTGTGTGGCCGAGTTCTGGGTCCTTGGCTTGAGACAGGGGTTCCGGCTCTGCGCCCCAGCTGGGCTGCGGCCTAAGCACCCACCTGGGCTCCTGGTTCTAGGACAGCTTCTGTCTCAGACTGAACTACTGTCTGGGCTCTCGGTTCTGCACTTTGGTTGAACCAAGGCTGGACCCTGGGCTCCAGAAGGAGCCTCAGGTTGCAAACTGGATTTGGGGCTACTTGCATTCTGGGCCTGGCGCGCCGGGGTCTGGGTTCCACAGGAGCTCCAGCCCTGACCCCCGAACTGGTCGAGCCACGGCGCGGGCTCGCCTCTGGAGTTTGACTTTGATGTTGGAGTCTGGCTTCTCGGTTCAGGTCTGAAACCTTGAAGGGGGCCGCGTTCTGTGATAGACGGGGCTTTTAGCGGTTGTTCTTTGCTCTGCCCTCCTCTATTCTTCCTGTCCGGGCTGGCTGAGGTGGCGTTTTAATAGCGGTCTTCACGCTGGGCCTCGGGTCAGAGAGGCGCGCTAGGCTGCACTCCGGGCTGCGCGTTACGTGAGGCTCAGGCCCCAGCTTCTGTCTCTGCCCTAGTGCCTGAGCCGCGCGGCCCGGCCAGGCGTGGGGTCCTAGGCGTGGCTGGCCCGCAGGTTCCGGGTGTCCTGCGCTGCTAGTGCAGACTTTGCCCCACTTCAGCGCTGCTCTGGAGTGGGGCCCGAGCCTTGGCCCCTGCAGGGCTTGGCCCCAGGTGGACCTCAGTGGAGCGTCGGGGTCTCGGTCCGTGCGGGGCTGCGTGCCGGTGTGTGGGCTCTGCGCTGCTCTCCGAGTCCGCCGCGTTAAGACTCACGCTGGATTCCCCATCCCGGGCTGTGCCTGCGCTTCTGGGCTCCTCCCTGCGTGGACCCTAAGCCGGGGACCGGCCCCCCGCTGGGGGCCACACGGGGCGCCAGACTCAGGAGGGGGGCACTCACGGGCGGGCGCAGTGGGCGGCGGTGATGGCCCACTGGTCGGAGAGCAGGGCCCCCCCGCAGAGGAAGGCTTGCCAGGGCCCCGCCAGCAGGGCCGCCTGCCAGGGCTGCGAGTGGGGGACGCACGTGTAGCCCCCGATGATCTTGTCGTCTCCTGAGCTCTGCGCCGCGGCTGGAGCGGGGGGTGAGGGGCAGATGAGCAGAGCCCGTCCGTCCCACCTCTTCAGGACGTCGGGGGCCCGTAAACCCTTCTTTCTTTGCTGCACCCTAGACCGCCCCTCTCTCTGCCCCACCCAAGTAGGAGGTGAAGCCCAGCAGGGTCCCCATTATTGCCCCAACAGTCGGGCAGCTTTCTGAGCCCCCTGCCCGCCCCTCCTCAGGGGATCCCACCCGTGGCCCCTCATCCAGGGCCTGAGCCCCACCTCTGTCACTTTTTCACAGCACACTGCACCCTCCCCCCCTCAGTGCCTCCCCAGCATGGTCATGGAGCACCCGTCCATTCCCCGTGCTCCACTTGATGTGATCCCCAAGACCCACCTCTGTGCCCCACACCCACTGTCCCCAACACCCCAGCCGGGAGAATCCCACCCCCGCCCTCACTGTTGGGAACTCCCCGCTTTCCCGAGGCCACGTCTCCCCAGCACACTCCCCCTGCTGTGGGGAGCTCCACCGTGCTCCCCAATTCCTCGTTTCTCCTCCACTTCCCGTGACTGCACATGTCCAGACAGGGTAGGACGCTGACCTTAGGCCCCACAAGCCCCTGGACACCCAGTCCCGGGCCCCTCTCAGAGTCTCGGGGGCTCCCTACACCAGACCCCTCGCCGGGCTTACCTGCGGCCAAGAGCTGGAGTGCTGTCAGCAGGAGGAGCATGCTGGGCGGCAAACGCAGAGGGGACGCGAGACACCGGAGAGCCGGGGTTCGGGGCCGGAGGCCGAGACTAAGGGGCGGCATGGGCGGGGGCGGAGAGTCGGGGCGCTGGCGGCGGGAGGGGGCGCGGGCCGGGCACCGTCCTGCCCGCGTGTCTGGCGTGGATATGGGGGTGCCGTCTCTCCCTGTCACCTGGAGGCCTTTTATCCCCGCTCTGGGCGCCGGCCCTGCCCACTCCCCTGGACTGTTTTATTGCGTCCTGGTCCCCGTTCCAGGAATCCCAGCCGTCTCCTCCCTCCCGCTCTGGCCAGCAGCACCCACAGACTAATGACACCTGCGGCCCGCCCAGGAGACGGTGTGCTCTGGGAGGGGTGCGGGAGTGGGACCCCAGGGCCAGGGCAGGGTGGACGGGCGCGGGGCTCGGGGGCAGGTGCTGGGAGCGGCCGAGGTGGGGCCGGCTGGGCCAGGAGAGGCCGCGGGGAGGAGGGAGAGGCCGGGAGCCTGCGCGGTGACGCCTGCGGTGGAGCACGGGGGGAGGCCTGTGGGGCGCTGGGTAGGCCGAAGGGTGGGAAAGGCCAGGCGGGCAGGGCCGGCCCGGCGAGGTGGGGTGACGAGCGGAGAGAAGCCGGGAACAGGCAAGAAGGGAGCAGAAGAGGAAGAGCAAAGAGGGTGTGCCCCTCCCGTGCCCGCGTGATGGGGGCGAGGGGCCTGAGAGGAAGGAGACATGGGCAAGAGGGAGGGCGGGCAGGATGAGGCAGGAGAAAGGGGGGAGACAGGGGTGCTGGGGACCTGGACAGGGGGACAGGGAGGCAGAGGCCAAAGGCCAGAGCGAGGGGCAGGGCGTGGACGCCGGCGGGTGGCTCCACTCCCGAGTTCTGGGGTCTGGTGGTCATCGCAGGCTGGGGTCGGGGGGCAGCCCCTCCCAGGAGGCAGGGAGAGGCTCCCCGGATGTCCCCCAGTTTGGTGTGCAGGGACAGAGGCTGCGGAGGGCAGGGGTGTGGGAACGGTGAGAGCCGGAGGCCGGGCATGGGGGGGCGAGGGCCAGGGCGAGGGGCCAGGCACAGAGTGGTGAGGCGGGAAAGCGTTCTAGGCAGCTGAGGGGGGGCCCTGAGTTTGGGGGACCTGTTCTCACTCAGGGCAGGGCTCACAGCCCTCAGCCCCTCCCCCAGCCTCTTAAACTCCCTAATGACTGCAATTTGCCTCTGGCCCGGCTGCCCAGCCCGGACCACCACGCGGTGACTCAGGGGGCCCCTGCGCACCCTCCCTCGACCCCAGGCTGCCTCCCAACCGCTTTCCTCGCTGGCGCGGGCCGCTGGCCCTGGGTCCATCTGCAGCCTCCGCTCCCCCGGGCTGGCCTGCAGAGGGGCCCCTGCAGGAGGTCCTGAGCCGAGAGACACAAACAGCAGGACCCCCCACCACCCCCGTAAAGAGGATGACCCTTCTGGGAACACAGAGGTGCCCCCGCCTCAAGCAGCGGCTCCGGGCGGGGTCGGTGCTTCGTTCCTGGCCCACACTTGTGCCAATAAAATGCAGCTCCTTGTTCTCAACCCCAGGCCTCCAAAACTTGAATAACCCTTTTTTGTTTTTAAAGATTTATTTATTTTTTATACAAGAACCGGGGGACAGGCCAGATGCGCGGGAAGGTGAGAGGACTCACCAGAGACAGAGCAGGGAGCAGAACAGGCAGACTGACGAAATGCACTGCTGAGGGGAGCAGCGGGGAGACAGGAGAGGGCTGCTGCGCCATGTGGGTCTCTCCCGGCCGGCCAGGAATGGAACGCGCGCTGCGGAGGCTGCGGACAGCTTCACAGTGCGACGCTCAACCGCCTGCTCCACCGGGGAGGCCTGAATAACCCTTTCTTAACAGGGGAGGCAGGCTGTGAGTTTGCTTCCTGCCCTTCTGCCAGGGGACTTGCAGTAAATCTCCTCTCAGAACTGAGGGCCACGGGCTGCCCTCATGCCCACCGGGCGTGAGTCCGTTGCTCGTGATAGTGAGGGGCTCGGTGGGCGTAGCTTCACCTGAGGAGACTGTTCAGAGCGAGAAGACCAGGGTTATCTGCCGGGGACCCTAAAATGGTCCCTGTAGGGGCGGGAAGAGGATACCCTGGGGGTGGGGGGGTGGTCTGAGATTGAAGATTGAGGAGGAAGAGCAGAGCGAGGAGATGTTGAGGAAGTTGAGGCGACTTGAAGTGGGGTGGGGTGGGATAGAGCAGGAGCAGGGCTGGATAAACTGCAGGGGTCTCGGGCATGTCGGGGAGGAGGCGGGGGGCGCACGGTGAAGGCAGCGAAGGCTGGAGTGAGACCAGAGCATCTTCGCACGGCCAGGCCCGGCACTGGGCTCTGTGTGGTTTTCAGTCTCCTGAGCAGCTTCTCACCTCGGTTCTCACCTGCCCAACCGCACACGAGCAGCTGCCCCTGGAGATGAGCTGGCCTCAGCCGCCCCAGAAGAACAGAAAAATGTTTTAAAAACATTTTATTGTGGTAAAATATACAGAACAAAAAGTGTTTATTTTAGCCATTTTAAAAAATAAATTTTGGGCCTCCCCGGTGGCGCAGCGGTTGAGCGCTGGGTTGCGAAGCTGCCCGCAGCCTCTGCAGCGCCGGTTCCATCCCCGGCTGCTCCCCGGCCACCGGAGGAGGGTCCCGCATGGCGCGCAGACCTCTCCTGCCGCCCGCTGCTCCCCTCAGCAGTGTACTTCGGTCCTTCTGCCTGCTCTGCTCCCTGCTCTGGCTCTGGTGAATTCTCTCTCCCTCCCGCGCTTCTGACTGTACCCAGTGCATGTATGGATAAATAAATAAATCTTAAAAATAAATAAATAAATAAATAAATTAAAATAAAATAAAAATAAATAAAAAATAAATTTTATTTATTTTTGCATAGAACTGGAGTGCAGGTCAGAAGTGTTGGGGTGGAGTGAGAGGATCCACCGGAGACAGAGTGGGGAGCAGAACAAGCAGACTGAAACACACTGCTGAGGGGAGCAGCGGGGAGACAGGAGAGGTCTGCTGCTCCATGTGGGTCAGCTCCCTGGCGGGGGATGGAACTTGTGCCACAGTGGCTGCGGACAGCCCCATAGCGCTGAGACTAACCCCTGCGCCACCAGGGAGGCCCGTCCAACACCGCTTGAAGGCATTTTTCTTAAGTTAACTTGCCGACCCCTCCCCGTGGCCCCCCGAGAAGGGCGCTCTGCTGTCCTAGTGTACAGAACACAAGGTCAAGTTGCCGGCCCAGGGTTACTCAACACTGAGGGACGGCACCACGGTTGGAGTCAGGCAGACGGCACTCAGCCCCCACAGGGAGCACGCTGCCCAGAACAAAGGGCCGATGGTGCAACGCCACCCCTGGGATTAGCCCAGACAAAAGGAAAGATGCCTCTTCCATTGCTCCAGGAAGGAAGAAGGAAGGGCAGGTGAGGTTGCTGGTGGGTGTGGGCAGGGTGGCAGGAAGTGGAGGGAGGGCCTGGCTGGGTGGCTTCTGTTGCTTCTGGGGAGACTGAGGCCAGCTCATCTCCAGGGGCAGCTGCGTGTGGGGTTGGGCGGGTGAGAACAGAGATGAGAAGCTGCTCGGGAAAAGGTCGCCTCTGGAATGTAAAGAGGCAGCATCTGAGAAGCTGGAAGAGCTCTGGCTTTGCTTTTCTCCAGCAAAGAGCAGACTGGGTGATGGCAGGAGACAGCGGCGCTGAGCATGAGAACAAAGGGGTGGACTGTGGTGTGAAGGAAGTGGGAGCAGAGGGGCTCAGGAGGGAGGCTGATGTGGAGGAACAGGTAGGGCAGACCCACCCACAGCCCTGGAAGCCTGGGAGGCCGTGGTCAGGGAGTGGGATTTTGTGGTTTCAGAGGTGGGGCCCTTCCAGATGGCGAGAGGAACCAGGGCGTGAATGTGGGAATGGGTGACAGGGAGTCCTCTTCCCAGGGCTCCCGACCTCCTTGGTCCACACATGCCCATCTGTCTCCACTTACACCACAAACCAGGCACCTCGCCCAGGGCTGCTTGACAGCCGTGATCACATCTAATCCTCACAACAGCTTTATGAGGTTCCACACTGATTAGGGCCACATGACCAGCGAGGGCCCTGGGAGAAGTCACCAGTGGCACATCCGAGGTTAGGACTGGGGTCACCTGTCAGACTCCATGACACTCTGGCTCCCGGTCTGCTTCCACACCATCGAGGGCAGGGAGTTCTGCCTGCCTTGCTCCTCAGTGCATCTCTACCCCCAGGAACAGCACTGGGGGTGCTGCAGTGAGTGTCAGTGTGGTGAGCACACAGCCCTCCCCTCTCTCTGGCTGGTCCCCAACCAGGTCTGTTCGGCAACTTTCCTGGCACCTCCCTCGTGCCATAATCCCCCCATTGGCTCTCCGGGGTGCACACAGTTACTCCCATTCTACAGATGAGGGAACTGAGAGAACTAGGTCAGTTGCCCAACATGCCATGGTGAAGAAGTGGTGGAACTAGGATTTGAACCCCAGCCAGCTGACTCCATGCCCCTCTGTTGATAAGCTGGTGTGTCCCTTTGACGGTGCAGGCTGGGTCTGGGTCCTCTCTCCAATGTCTCGGAGTCAGCAGCTGTACCTGTGTCTGCCACACCACCTCTGGCGGCGCACATGGGCACCTGGGTGCTGGGCTCCCAGCACCAGCATCCCTGCCGTGCCCCCTGTTTCTGCCATCTTCCTCTCATTCCTGCCCCCGCCCTCGGAGGCTTCTGGCTTGTAAACAGCTCTGTCCTTGTCCGCAGCTGCTCCCTGGCCGTGGTCCTTGATCCCTACCACGCTCCCACCTCCCACTTTGGCAATTCCTGTCACCATAGCTACAGAATAGATGGGCAGATTCACCCACTTGCCTCCTCTCACCCACCTTCATCCAAGTCACCCTTATCTCTTACCTGGCAGGTGTAATAGCATCTGGACTGATCTCACTGCTTCCATATTTGATCCTTTTCCGCCTCCCCCCCCCCCCCAGTCCATTCTCCGGCAGCCAGTGTGCTCTCAAAACATGAAACAGTATCATGTTAAAACCTGCCTAAAACCCATCCATGATTTCCAGCTACAATTATAATAAAAGTCTAAATGTCTGCAAGGCACTCTATGTCTGGCTAAACATGTCCCTCTCTCCAGCCTCATAGCTCCATCATGCCCTGGGCTTCACCCCCTTGGACTTCGGTTTTATTGACCTGATGGGTGTGTTCCCACCTCAGGGCCTTTATTTTTGCAGTTCCCCCAGCTTGGAATATGCTTCTACCTCTCTGTCCACGACCATCCGTCAAATCTGAGCTTGAGAATCACCTTCACTGGAGTAGACATTTCCTTCTGGTAGAAACGCAGCCCTTGGTTGGTTTCCTTTCTGTGTCCTACTTCAATCTATAACTTCTTTATGCGTTTACTTCCTTGTTTAGTGTTGCCATTGTTTTTTTTTTAAGAGTTATTTATTTATACAAGAACTGGGGTACAGGTGAGAGGTGTGGGAGGGTGAGAGAATTCACCAGAGAGAGGGGGGGAGCAGAACAGGCAGACAGACCAAAGACACTGCTGAGGGGAGCAGTGGGCGAGACAGGAGAGGTCTGCCACACCATGTGGGTATCTCCCTGGCCGGCCGGGAATCGAACCCGCGCTGCAGAGGCTGTGGACAGCTTCACAGCGCTATGCTCAATCTGCTGCACCACCAGGGAGGCCCATGCCATTGTTTTTATTCTCTCATGGTACTGTCACTCTTGGATGCCCTTCATGTTTTATTTTCTTGCTTTTAGGAGTCATCTGTTAAACTTGAGTGTCAATTTCTGATGGGGCAGGAATTACACCCATTTTATCTGCTAGCTTCTGTGACATGACACATAGTAGGTGTTCAATAAACGCTTATGGGATGAAGAAACATCTCTCTTACTAGAACTGAGGCTTCACAAAGGTAGGACTCTTGTCTGCAGAAATCCCCCAAGCCCATCCCAGTACTTGGCATGCAGCCAGATTTCTGTGACAGTCTGAATGAGTGACATTATCAGTCTTCTCTCTAAAAGGAGAGAACACCCCTACCTCTACCTCTTCAGGCTTGGCAGTTTTCTCATTACCCAGCCTCAGGAGAGTACAGAGGGAAAAGTGGGGAAGCCCATGTTTTCTGAGAGTGGGCTCCAAATTCCTGCAGGGAGAATGCTCTGACCCCAGGGTGTGGGACCCCAGGGCACCCTGGGGCTTACTAAGGGGGAGCTTCCTCAGCTCCTTTCGCACACCCACCACCACACTCACCAAGGACGAAGCGTCCCTTGTGTTTACACAGGAGCTGCGTGAAGCAAGCACACACGTGCCAGCAGAGCCCCCTCCACCCTTATGCCTCTGGTGCCTCCCTCATCACACACCCCATGTTGCGGTGGCCTCTGCCTGAGTGGCACTATCTCTGTTTCTGTTCCATTTAGGCGAGATGCCTCTCGTGTCCACAGCCATTTGCTCCTGGCACGCTTATGCTTACAAGACACACAAGCCTTGGTGAAAGTTTCTGGAACAGTCTTCACCTGCCTCCACCATCACCTCCCCCTTGCTACCTCAGTTTTGCCTTCTCCTTGATCTTCTGGTCTGTAAGTCCTCCTCTCCCTACAATTTTCTTGGTCACAGCTCCAGAATATTCTTTCTGACACCCTGAGTTAGCCCTGTCTGCTCTAAACCCTCCTGGATGCCCTATCACCTCAGTCGAAAGTCCACCTGGGGCTTCCCCCTTAGTAAGCCCCAGGGTGCCACGTGTCCTGGGTTTTGACTTGCCACTGTCAGTGTCTGGCCTCCTTCACCAGACAGGCAGCCTGCTGAGGGCAGGATAGGCCAGGGCTGACTCAGCTGTTCCCCCCCCCCACCCCCGCCCCAAGCAGTGCCTGGCTCCAGGGAACTGCTGGTAAATGTTTGCTGTGTGAATAAAGGACAATCCTGATCACTTCTGCGCAAACTCCTCTGCGGCTCTGTCTCAAAACCTAAGTCGTGCCTGTGCCATCTCTCCCCACTCACCCTTCCCCTGCTTTTGAGTGGGCACTGGCTGTTCCTCTGCCAGGAGCACTCCCCCCAAATCTGAAGAGCTCCCTGCCTCCTCCCACAGGGTACCTTGTCTCCCCCATCCACTCCACTTACCCATATGGTGTGCATGCTTATAAGTACATGCCTCCCCCAGTTTATCCCTGTGGACACATTGTTCTTGTTTGTGGCATAAATGAAAATATGGGCCCAGTGTTTATATGGGGACCTTAAGGTCAGACTGTGTCACCCTGGGGGCCTTGTTGCAACGACCCCCCTGGGGAGATGGCAGGAGTGAGCAGAGCTTCCTGGTGGGCCGGGGAAAAGGGAGACTGCGAGACAGGCAGTGCCCGTATGCAAGGCGTAGGCATAGTGACCTCTAGTGCCAGCGATGCGAACAGCGCCTTCCCGAGCTTGGGAAATGTGGTTGAGTCTGAATGGACATGTGTTAATGGACTTTTGGAAAAATTATACAGAGACTAAAATGTCTCATTAAGTCTTTTAAAAATAGAAGAGAATCAGCAGCTCAAGCAGGGCCCTGAAGGATTTGAGCAGGAAGGCGGGAAGGGATGATCTTTTGACCAGGGAGCAGCCCAGCGAAGGCTGAGGGTGGGGCTGGGAACACCAGTGTGCCCCCGCCAGCCTGGAGGTCACACCCTCACGTGGACAGTCAGATCGCACACACTAATGCGCACGCTGTGGAACTTTCCAGAAGTGCTTAGATTCCTCCTTTAGATGTGGAGACAGATGCCCGGGGAGGCTGGGTCACTGACCCGGGCACCGAGCTCTGAGTTCTCAGCCCGAGGTCTCGCAGTCCACTGGGCCGGCCCTGGCCCGTCACAGAGACACGGGGGTGGGTGGCAAATCCAGTTTTGGGGTCCTGGGCTCACTAGAAGGTGGGCACGGCCTGGGAGGAGGCCGGGGCCGGGCCCCCCTCGGGCTCCCGGGCCCGCGGCGCCTCCTCGTCCAGCCCCCGGCGGCCCTTGCCGATGGCCAGGCGGGGCCGGCCGCGGTTCAGGCCGTCCAGGAGCGCGCAGGCCTGGCAGAGCGCGCGGCTGGCCAGCGCCCCGCAGCGGGAGCAGGCGCCGGGGGGCGGGGGCCGCGCGGCGGGGGCCAGCGCCAGGCGCTCGGCCGAGTGCACCAGGTCCAGCACGGCCGACGGGCGCGCCGCCTCCAGCCGCTTGAGCAGGTCGCGCGCGTGGCCGCGGAAGGCCTCGGGCGCGTACGCGCACTCCTCGGAGAAGTAGTCGAGGCGGCGGAAGTGCGCGTACAGCACCACCTCCTTCTGCGAGGCCAGCTGCAGCGGGCGGCAGCGCGGCAGGGCGCCCCCCTCGCCCGGCGAGCCCAGGCCCCCGCCGCGCGCCAGCCGGCCCGCGTCGCCGCGCAGGAAGTTCATGAGCACCGTCTCCGCCATGTCGTCCGCGTTGTGGCCTGCGGGGGGGGGGGGGGGGGGGGGGGGGGGGGGGCCGGTGAGCCGCGGGCGCCGCACCCCGCGCCGCCGGGGCCGCGCCGGGAGTCAGGGGCTCCGGGCCGAGGCCGTCGCCCTCGCTGAGCGCGCGCCTGCCCCTGGCACGAGCCAGAGGCCTTTCGAGGAGACGGTCAAGGGAGTTGGGGGTGCAGAGGCTCTGGGGGCGCTTAGGGGGAGTAGGGAGGCGGGTGTCGCCACCTCCACCTACTCTGCGTCCCATCCTTGGCGCTTCTCCGGGCGCTCCCGGCGTCCCCAGGGCCTTTGCACGAGCCCTTCCCTCTGCTCAGACACCCAGCGCCCTCTTTGTCCTCCCCCCAGGGACCCGCTGCACTCAGGAGGCTTCTCGTCCCCACCCACCGGCCCCCACCCCCAGGCCGGGCTTCTGCCGAGCCTCCCCGAACGGCAAACGCTGCCCACGCTGTTCTGCCAGGCTCCGGCCTGAGCGCCCCACTCCCAGCTCATCGGGACTCTGGGACCCGGGGTCGTTTCTCTCCAGGCTGCCGGAGCTGGTGTTTGTGGCGGTGAGGAATGGGGAGCCGGCGAGGAGGCGCCTCGGAGAAAGGCGTCAACAGTCGCCTATAGGGCCCTGGTGGGGGACCCCCTCCCCTCGGCAAGGGAACCCAGGAATGTCATTTCTTTAAAGGCCGAGAGCGCTGTCCTGGCCCCTGGAGGGCACCCCCGCCCCCCTCTACCCGCCAGTGCGTGCGCGGAGCCGGCGCCGCAGGCAGGACTCAAGGCTGGCCAGCCCCGTGGGGGCACAAGCACCGCGCCCGGGTGTGGGGGGGGGGTTGGCAGGCCCATCCCTCCAGCAGGCCCGGGGTCTCCGAGGCCACACCCCGGGCCGGCCCGGCCCCTCTCAGCGCCCGCGCTCACCCGTCACGATGTGCGTGGCTCCCACGAGGCGCGCCCCTTCCTCCAGCGCCCGGCGCCGCAGCACCCCGCAGAAGGTGCAGCAGGCGCGGCTGCGGCCCGAGCCGGCGGTGCTGCGGGCCACGGCGTCCATCGTCCAGCCCCCGAAGAGGTCGGCGTAGGCCACCACGGTGAGCGGGAGCCCCCAGCGCGCCGCCTGGCGCCGCACGGCCGCGAGCGCCGCGTCGCGGTAGCCGCCGATGCCCTCGTCCACCGCCACCAGGCGCAGCGCGACGCCCAGGCGCGGGGCCAGCTCGCGCAGCACGTGCGCCAGCACCGTGGAGTCCTTGCCGCCCGACGCGCCCACGGCCACCACGGCGCCGCGCGGCAGCAGGCGGCCCGCCTCCACCGTGTGCAGCACCTCGGCCTCGAAGGCGGCGCAGAAGCAGGCGCCGCACAGCGCGCGGCCCGAGCGCGGGCGGCGGAGCGCGGCGCGGGCCTTCTGGCAGGAGGCGCAGGGCGGGGCCGGCATCGCGGTCTGGACGGGGTGGAGGGTGGGCTTCTCCTGGGGAGGCAAATGGAGGCGGGTTACAAGTGCATTCTGAATTGGGGGGTCGATGCGTCCAGGGAGGCTGCCAGGATAGCATACCAGTCCAGAATAGACCCAGACCGGGTTGGCCAGTTGGAAGTGTATGTATAACCCAGCCGCTTCACCTTAACCTGCAGCTGTGGAGGCTATACATACTTTCTGGTTTAAGGAGGCTGTTGCCTCCGGGAAGGCTTCTTGGACTGCACCCTTATGCACCAAGAAGAGAAGGACCCTAAGAGCTGGCCTCTGGGGAGAGTGGCCTAGACAAGCAGGTAATACTCAGAATTAGGTTGGATCCTGTTTGGAGGGATGGGGGTGCCTCCTAAGAACCAGGGACACCATGCCGTCACAGCCCTGCTCAGATGGCCAGGGTGGGTATCACTGACCCTGGCTTCCCTGGAGGGCTTGGCAGCAGTCAGGGAGCTGGGGACAGAGGGAGGCCTGGGGCCTGCAGCTCTTTCAAGGGGGGTAGATGAATGGGAAGGACCTGGATGTCCCTTTGGGGACTGCAACACTGTCTCCAGGAAGGGGTTCGACTGCCTCTCTGCGAGGCTGTCCACCTGCTTCAGGAGAAACACCGGCAGGGAGACCAGGGAGGGGGGGGTTGCCTGTATTCCAGGCCAGTCAGTGAGGGTGACCTGGAGGCGGTGGAAGTGGGGAGAAGCTGTGCCATTTTGGGTCTGTGGAAGGTAGAGTCCCCAGGATTTGGATGCAGTGGCGGGTGGGGTGATGAGAAACACGGAATGAAGGAGGACCTGGGTCATGGACATGAGGGCTGAAGAGCCTGTACGGTCCGGGAAAGGCTTTATGGACCCGGGCTGGGTCGGGCGCCTCGCGCTGGGGCAGCCGCCGGCTGCCTCCCTCCCAGTCTCACGGCAGCCACCTGCCCGGGAGAGGCCCGTCCCCCAGCTGCCCTGGGGGCTCGCTAAAGGCAGGGGCTGCCGGGCCTGGCCGCCACCGGGACCCGCGCTGCACCAGGACTGGGCTAGGGCGGGCGCTCAGGATCTGCAGGACGAGGGAACAAACACGCCCGGGGAGGAGCCGCGGACGCCGGGCAGAGGGTCGGTGCCACAGCGTTCTGTCGGAACAGACGAGGCGGGGCGGGATCGGGGCAGTTGGCGGCGGGGAGATGGTCGAGTCCCGACCTGCGGGAGCGGGAGGCGGGCGAGGGTCAGGTCGGACGGCGGCGTCCAACGTGCGATCCCGGCCAGAGGCCTCGGGGACGCGGGCGTGGAGCACTGAGGCGCCTGGCGCCACCCCGGGCAGATCCTGCCCCCGCACGGCACCGCGGCCCAGAGCGGGCGCCCCGGGGCCGCGCCGCCGGGGACACTCACCTGCGCAGGTCGCGGGCTGGGCCGGCCCAGCTCCCGGCACGCGGGCACGGCGCGGAAGTGGCGCGGGAGGCGGCGGCAGCTCCGGGCGGGCCGGGCCGGGGCGGTCTCGCCTACGACTCCCAGAACCCCACGCGATAGCCCCGCCGAAACGCCGGGCGCGGCTGGACCCGCTGGGCCTACGACTCCCAGCAAGCCTTGCGGCCACTTCCGCGCACGGAGGCAGGGCCGTGTTTCTGCGCCTGCGCGCGCGCGCGCGCCGCCGCCGAGTGGCTGTATTCAGATTTGCACCGTTTGCGGGATTATTATAGGCTCTTGAAGGGTCTTGGCGCACGCTATCTCTGCCCTGCGCTGTGGGGTTGCAGGCGGGGCTTCGGAAGGCGGTGGCCGAGTGGCAAAGAGGGGGACAGCGCATGCGCAGACTAGCGCTCGCGAGGTGGGGGTTCGGAGTGCGCGTGCACGGGCGCCCTGCGCGCGAGGTTGGGGGGGGAGGGGTCTGTGCGTCAGCTGTTGGTGACTTTCGGGGAATCTCAGCACCTGCGCCTGGGTCTGGAGAGTGGATGACATTGCCAGTGACCAGTGGGCCGGTCACGCACACGCTTGCACGGGAGGGGGAGCAGGTCTTGCAGGGGCCAGGAGACCCGGAGATCCTGGCTTCTGAGACAGAGGTCCAAAGACTCGGACCTCTGAAGCCAGTGTCCCCTGGTCCCTTGGCTATAGAGTTGGTTCCAGTAATCCCAGGGTTGGAGACCCAGACCTTCCAGACGCCCCCAGCCCACAAACCAGCACGTGGACCCAGGCCCCCGACACCCAAGCAGCCGGAGAGAACCAGGGCTCGAGAGACACCTCCCACCATCACCCTGCCCCAGACACCCCAGCCCCCAAAGACCTGGTGCTTTGGAGACCCGAAACTCAAATCGCAGACTTAAGGAGTTCAAATACACATCTCTGAGACCCAGGGATCAGTCACCCTGGTAAGAAACCGAGATTCAGGGTCCCCAAGTCCAGATCCCCACAACACCACCGCTCAGAGGCCATCACGACCAAGGGACGGGAGCCTGAGCGCGCCCACACAGACTGAGGTGCAGCGTCTGGGAGTGGGGAGTGTGGCCTGTGGCCTGTGGTGAGTGCCGCGTGAGGGGCTTGGCAGTCACTGCGTGAGGGGTTTGGTGGTTACGGTGCAGCCTGTGTGTCCCCGAAGTGGAACCCAGGTGCCTTACTCTCAGGTCAGGTGACCTCCCCGAGGTCCTTGTTAAGGGTCACGGCAGGTCAGGCCTGGTGATCAGCGCTTACTAGTTCCATTACTGAATGATCATTTGTTTCCTAAATTCGGGTCCTGGATGTGACATAGGTGCTTTCTTCTTTCGCACCACACCCCTGTCAGTGTGGTTTTGCAACCAGTCGGTTTTGCAACCCTTCCTTCCAGAAAACGGCCTCGGTCCACTTCCCTTTGCAACATTCATGTGGCCTCTGCTCCACATCACGTTTCAGCTCTTCATTGTCCTCTGAGACCAACATCCTCGCCCCTTCCTGTTCCCCGAAGTCTCCCTCTCACCACCACACATGGGTGTGTTCTCACACCAGGATCTGGCCCTGCCCCCCTGCTCTACACCTTCCATGGCTCCCCAGTGCCCGCAGGAGAAAGTCCTAACTCTTCAGTGTGGCGTCTGAGCTCTGCAAGGGCTGGCTCCCACCTCCCCTTTCCTCGCGGACCAAGACCTCCGAGGTCGTTGGCTCTCTCTATCCTGGATGACCGGCTCTCAACATTGCCCACGGCGGCCCGGCCCCGGAGAAGCAGGCTTCCTGGTCTCCCTGCTTCCTCGGTCTGTGCCCAGGAAGAGCCCAGGCCATGTGTTCTGGCTGCTGTTCCCAGGGGCACACCCTTGCCTGCCCTGCACACAGGGCGAAGCTCTGCCTGCTCTCTTCACCGAGAGCAATACTTGGTGCCCCAGCGGCTCCCAAAAAATGTCTCTGAAATTTGAAAAAAAAATTTTTTTTGCAAAGTTTTTTGTCTCCCATGCTGGCTCTGACTCCTGCCCTCTCCTTGCTGAGCTGATACTCTCTGCAGCGGGTGGTCGAGGGCCCCTTGCTGCTGCTAATGGCGAACCCAAGAGGCCAGGCAGGATCTGCCCGGAGAAGCTGAGAAAATGTTGAGAGGATCAGCCTCAAAGAAACCTCTGAGAAGGTCAGCAATCAAAAGAGAGAAACTCACTAGCAGCAACATGGATGGATCTAGAAGGGATGATCTCAGTGAAATAAGCCAAAGGACAAAGAAAAATACCGGATGGTTTCACTTAGGGGAGGAAAATAGGGGAACCAAATATGGGATTGTGGGGCGGAAACAATTATAAATAAATCAAAGTTAGCAGGCAGCTGTAACATCAGAGACATTCTGCAGGGGAGGGGGCGGGAGAGAGACCAGGACAGGGGCTGTGGTGACCGTGCCCGGGTGGGAGTTTTCAGGGGTGACACCTGAGAGGAGAAAGCATGCTTTGCACAAAAATGAAGAATGATATAAAATACATATTAAAAGAAAGACACCTCTGAGTCCGACGTGATTCCCAGGAGACAAAGACAGGCAACTTAGAGTCGGCCCCTTATAGCCCGGTGAACCTTTGTCCTGCGGGGCCCATCCCTCAATGTTGCTCCCTGCAAACACAGCCTGAGGGCTCCCCCAGGGTGGGGTTGGGGGCAGTGAGCAGTGGGTTGGGAGGACGCCTAGAGATGCAGGGATGTCTGTGACTGCGCTCCTGGCGGGGAGGGCCTGAACTCGTCCCTTTGCTGGGCAGCCTCTGGACTCGCCCCCTGGCTCAGCCCCTGCCCTGGAAGCAGGAGCCCGAGGCGGTCGCTGAGCAGGAACCCAGAGGCCGCGAACAAAGAACTGCATCCTGACTTGGGCTCCAGCCTGCTCCCTTTTGGCCTTGGTTTGGGGAAGGTGAGAAGGAGGCGCTGGAATCTGTGGGCATGCTGACGGTGTAAAACCACTCTTGCCACCTTGGTCTCCTCTGCACCCTCAAAGGGCGCGGCCCCCAGCGGACGGGGCTGTCGAGAGCTCTGTCAGGTCCAGGCATCTGTGAGAGGCCGGGGTGGCTGCCTAAGGTGCTTGCAGGTGGCCAGACCTTTGTTCTGGAAAGTTTGATCCAGTGAGCAAATTAAGAAGAACCAGAGGGGGCCTCCCTGGTGGCACAAGAGGTTAAGTCTCAACACTCTGAAGCTGTTGGCAGCCACTGCAGCACAAGTTCGATCCGTGGCCAGGGAGGTGAAACACAGGGCGCAGCAGACCTCTCCTATCTCCCCGCTGCTCCCCTCAGCGGTGGATTTCAGTGGATCCGCCTGTTCTGCTCCCCACTCTGTCTCTGGTGAATCCTCTCACCCCCCCTCACCTCTGGCCTGCACCCCAGTTCTTGTATACATAAATACATAAATCTTAAAAAAGAAAAGAAGGGCCTCCCTGGTGGCACAGGTGGTTGAGGGCAGTGCTGTGAAGCTGTCCGCAGCCTCTGCAGCGCCAGTTTGATCCCGCCTGGCTGGGGAGGGTCCCACATGGCACAGCAGACCTCTCCTGTCTCGCCCGCTGCTCCCCTCAGCAGTGTGTTTCAGTCAGCCTGCCTGTTCTGTTCCCCACTCTGTCTCTGGTGAATCTTCTCACCCTACCGCGCATCTGGTCTGTACCCCAGCTCTTGTATAAATAAATCTTAAAAAAAAAAAAAAAAGAACCAGAGAAATGGATTCCCCGCACAGGTGGTGAAGCTGCAACACTTCACTCAAGGAAACAGAAAACCCTCAGCCTCGTCCTCAGCCTCGTAGGAGTTGATACAAACGCCTCGCGGGGTGTGGGTGAGCAACAGCCGCTCCCCAGCAAGGCCAATGCGGAAGCCAAGCCCCGTCTGCACCTGCCTCATAGCAAGAATGGAGAACCTAGCGCCAGGAGCCGCCGCGCACTGCAGGCTTTGGGGAGCAGGGCTGGGGGGCGTCCTAGGGTGGGGCGGGGGCCCATGCCCAGCGCATGGGCATCCGCGCACTTCATGGAGGAGGCGCAGGTCATGCCCCGGCCCCGTCGTGCAGCCCATCACAGCAGTGGGGTGAGGGCCTGCTGGCCGGGCGTCCCCCCACATACTCAGGCGTCAACACGGGAGGCTTCGCTCGGCCCCCCCAGCGTCCCTGCTGCCTGAGACTCCTCTCCACCCGGCCCTCCACCTGTGCGTCCTCCAGCAGCCCCAGGCGGGACAGAGTGTCCCCCTACGGACAGAGAACTGGGGGCAAGTGTGGGCTTCGGCACAGAGAGGCCCCCCATGTTGTACCTACTTCCTCGAACATCCACAGCCTGTCTCGGGGTCTGGCCAGGAGGGGCCCATTTTCATTTTGCAGAGTGACCCCCCGGGAAGGACACTGACCAGGCTGGGCCTGCTGGGCTGGGGTGGCATGAGGCCCAGAGCCCCTGGGGAGGACCCAGTTCCCCTTCTGACTTCACCCTCCTCTTCCTGCGGAGCCGCCCCCGAACCCTGCAACTTCTAGTTCCTGAGGAGAACAAGCCCCGAGCAGCGCTTGCCTGCAGCGGCCGCCCCGCCCGACATGCCGCTGTGGCTGCTGCTGCTGCTGTGGCCCAGGGAGGGGGCCCGGGCTGGGGGGTGCTACTGGCTGAAGGTGGAGGGGCCGGGGACGGTGCAGGAGGGCCTGTGCCTGCAGGTGCGCTGCTCCTTCCACTGCGACCCGGACTACCCTTCTGCCCCAGCTCTCGGCTCCTGGTTCCGGGAAGGGGTCAGTGTAGAGCGAGGTGTTCCCGTGGCCACGAGCAGACCGGACGGTGACGTGGAGGTGGAGACCCAGGGCCGATTCCACCTCCTCGGGGACCCCAAGGCCTACAGCTGCTCCCTGGACATCAGAGACGCCAGGAGGGGGGACGCGGGGAAATACTTCTTCAGGGTGGAGCGAGGACGTGCTACAAAACACTCCTTCACACGGGACAGCCTCTCTGTGCGCGTGGCGGGTGAGCAGCGGCTCCTGCGGAGGCCACGGAGGGCCTGGGCCTGGGCCGGTGCTAGCTGGGCTGCGGCCTGGGGTCGCACGGCTTGGGGCTCAGGGGGTGGGGCTGGACAAACCTGAGGTTCTCTCAGAGCCCCCCCCAATCCCGGCTCTCCCCGCTGCCCCCCAGCGCTGACCCACAGGCCCCACATCCGCATCGCCGGGACCCTGGAGTCCGGCCGCCCCGGGAACCTGACCTGCTCTGTGCCCTGGGCCTGTGAGCGGGGCACGCCCCCCATCTTCTCCTGGACGTCAGCCGCCCTCGCCTCCCTGGGCCCCAGGACCCTCCTCTCCTCGGCGCTCAGCCTCACCCCCCGGCCCCAGGACCATGGCACCCCCCTCACCTGCCAGGTGACCTTCCCCGGAGCGGGCGTCACTGTGGAGACGACCGTGCGGCTCAACGTGACCTGTGAGTGTGGGGCCTGGACGCCCGGCCCGGTGGGACCCCAGGGAGGTGGGGTGGGGGTCAGGGGTCAGGTGCTGGGACCCAGAATCTGCGCTGATAGGGTCAGGAGGACACCCCCTTCATAGCCCCTGGGACAGAGGCCCTGTCCCCCCTAAGTGTCCACACTAACCCCCATGTCTCTGTGCAGACGCCCCCCAGAACTTGACCATCACCGTCGTGCGAGGAGACAGCACAGGTAGGGGGATCCCCCCGGGCTGTGGGGAGCAGGGTCTCCCAGCTCAGGGCAGGGCCGGGACCCTCACCCTGGATGCCCCCGGGACCTCAGAACACTGTGGGAGACCCCAGAGGTCCCCCATCCCCAGCCTGCTGTGAGCAGCTGTCCCTGTGGGCCCCTCCCTCTGAGGCCTCTGCTGCCCCCTCGCCCCACACGGGGAGCAGGGTGCCACCCTCAGGCAGGGCCGCCCCTCGGCCCAGTGCCCCTCCCGCTGGCCTGCGCGTCTTCCCCGCACTTTCAGATTCAGCACTTTGACAAATCCCACGGTCACGTGGCCCAGCATTTCGCAGGCCCCTCCCGGAGGGGACCGTGTCCACTCGCTGCTCCTAGCCCAGGCCTGGCCCCGAGGGACCCTGGTTTCGGGGCTCAGGCAGCCCGTTCCCTCCCGACTGTGGGGCACCCGCGTGTGGGTGGGTCTGAGCTGTGTGCAGCTCCTTCCTGGGAGCCGAGCGCCCGCCTTCTGCCAGCAGCACTGTGGGGGTGACCCTGCCTCCTCTCCCGTGTGTGAGTGTGCAGGCATGAGTGTGTGGGTTGTGTGTCAGTGCGGGGGTGTGTGGTGTGTGTGTGCGGGTGTGTGCAGGTGAGTGTGTGGCTAGGGGTGTGTGCATGCAGGGGTGTGCACGCGAGTGTGCGCAGGTGTGTGAGTGTGCGTGCGCGGGTGGAATCAGCCCCTGACAGCGCGGCGCAGCTGGCGCACAGGCCCCTTCTCTAACCCTGCGGGGCGGCGGCTGCGCACAGTGCACCTGGGGGCCGGGGTGACCTTTCTGCTCCTCAGAGTCGCGAGTCCGCCCCACCTCGGTCTCGGCTCGCCCCCCCTCCCCGCAGCCCACCTGTCGCCCTGACCCCGCCTCCCCGCAGCGCCCGCCGTCCTCAGGAACAGCTCGGTGCTCTCTGTCCGGGAGGGCGAGTCCCTGCGCCTGGTGTGTGCGGCCGACGGCAACCCGCCCCCCGGGGTGACCTGGTCCTGGGGCCACCCGACCCTGAGCCCCTCGTCGGCCCCGAGCCCGGAGGTCCTGGCGTTTCCCCGGGTGCAGGCCTCGCACGAGGGCAAATTCACCTGCCGAGTGCAGCACCCCGCAGGCTCCCTGCAGGCATCCCTGTACCTGTCCGTGCACAGTGAGTGTCGGGGCTGGAGGAGGAGGCCCGCGAGGCCGGGCGAGCTCCAGGGCGAGCTCCAGGGTGAGCTCCAGGGCGGTCAGCTCTGCTCCACCCTGGGCGTGGGGCGGGTTTCCCTGGGCCCCAGCGCTTCTCTGCTCTCACTGCCAGACCCAGCTGTGGGGTGGGGAGGGCTGTGGGGTGGGGGAGGGCTCTGGGGTGGGGAGGGCTGTGGGGTGGGGGAGGGCTGTGGGGTGGGGGAGGGCTGTGGGGTGGGGGAGGGCAGGGGAGGGCTGGGACAGGAGGTGGGTGTTGGAGGAGGGGCTCTGAGTTGCCTTGGCGTGTCTGGGGCACAAGCTCCTGGCTGGGGCTGGGACGTGGTGAGGCAGTGAGACACTCACAGGGGCACATTTAAGGAGTAACCAGAAAACCTCAACATTCCTTTAAAATATTGCAATGCCTTTTATTTTTTTTTTTTATAGAGGCATGTTTTATTTATTTATTTATTTATTTATTTATTTGTTTGTTTGTTTGCTTGTTCGTTTATACATGCACTGGGTACAGTCAGAAGCGCGGGAGGGGGAGAATTCACCAGAGCCAGAGCGGGGAGCAGAGCAGGCAGAAGGACCGAAGGACACTGCTGAGGGGAGCAGCGGGCGGCAGGAGAGGTCTGCGCGCCATGTGGGACCCTCCTCTGGTGGCCGGGGAGCAGCCGGGGATCGAACTGGCGCCGCAGAGGCTGCGGGTAGCTTCGCAACCCAGCGCTCAACCGCTGCGCCACCGGGGAGGCCCTGCAATGCCTTTTAAATTAAAAATGAATGCAAAATAAACTGCAGGATGAAAAAATGTCTACATTTTAGACCCAGGTGGACTGCAGATCAGGCCCGTGTGTCTCCCTGGACTCTCCCTTGTCCCGGCCCCTCTCCCTGCTGGAGAGAGTGTCCTGTCCGTGTGGGGGCGGGTAGGGGTCAGAAAACAGAAGCTTGGGGTCCCGCAGGGAGAGGGGGTGGAGACACGGAGTTCTACAGCATGTCCGCAGCTGCCCCGCCCTTCTGCAGGGGAAGTGTCCTGTCTGCCGGGAGTGGCGCTGGGGGCCGTCGGGGGAGCTGGCGCTGTGTCCCTGCTCTTCCTGTCCTTCTGCATCGTCTGGGTCCTGTGAGTACCGCCCGAGGGTCGCGGACCAGGAGGGTCAAGGGCCTGAGGTGTCACAGGGACCGCTAGGGGGCGCTGCGGGTCCATTGCAAACTATTGGTCTCCGCTGTCCAGGCGGGTGCGCCCGCATTCCCAACACTGGGGCCTGGGTGGGACCACCCCTCTCCCACCTCAGTTGGCCCCTGAAGAGAGAACAGAAGAGGGGCCAGGCTGTCCACGCACACGAGCTGGTTAGTCTGCAAGGCTGTCTGGTCCTGTCCCTCAGAATGAGGTCGTGCAGGAAGAAAGCCGCCCGGCCAGCGGAGGGTGCCCAGGACGCAGGCTTGGAGGGTGCAAATGCTGTTGCCAGTCTAGTCTCTCAGGTGAGTGACCTGCATTTCGCCTGGACACCTCCCCCAGGATGGCACCCTGGACTGCTCTGCTGAGGATGTCCGCCCCCTTCCCAACTTCCCAGGCTGGATTCCCACCTTCTGACAGCAGCCCAGCCCCTCATTCACAGCAGGGGCGAGGAGTCACTGCTCTGTCTACTCTTCATCTCCTGCAGTTAAAATCCCACCCCAGCGAGTCCATTTCCCTCTGGGTCGCAGCGGCCCCTCCTTCCATCATTGCCCAGGCCCAGGGCCTCTCTCTTGTCCCTGCCCCCGCCTGCCCCCCCTGACCAGGGCAGGTCTGGTCACTGTCCATTTCCCCTGCTTTGAGCAAGCGTTGCCCCACGGTCTGGGGCAGAGGATGCCACCCAGAAACGGCACATGGTAGACCATACAGCGTCTACTGCACTCGGGGGCTCTCAGGCCACCGGCAAACAAGGAGCAGGGACATTTCCGGACACTCTTCACAAACACCGGTGTGGGCGGGACTCCCCCTACGGCCTGTGGTTTCTCAGCCCCCACCCAGAATAAACCCACTGCTCCGCGCTGCCCATACCCTGGCCTCCTAGAGCTTACCTCACAGGGCCAGGATGGGGGAGTGACTTGCTCTCTGTCACTCACCCCAGACATCAGATTTAAGGGGGCACCCAAAATCCAAGCAATGAAGGGTGCTTTGATGCACTGTTCAGAAAATCAAAACGAAAAAGCTACGATGAGATAAATAGCAAAAACCTAAACCCCGACACAGCAGGCTGGAGCTGGCTCCAGGAACAGGCTGCGCTAAGTGGGGAGGTTGTCCAGGCAGGTGGCTTTCTCAGCAGAAAGCGAGAGAAGCAGAGAAGTCATTTTGAAAACATTCTTTCTGTCTTTGCTTCCAGATAAACCAGGAAAGCAAAATGATGATAAATTCTGGTTTGGCTACACATAAAATCTTTAAGCTCCAAAGAATGTTTCAACACACACCACTTTTCAAGTTTGCAATAGCGCTCCAATCGTCTAACTTTTCTGGAAAATACTGACCATTGAAATACATAAAACATGTCTCTGGATACCAAAAAAATAACATTTTCCTTCTGCCTTGGTTTCTGGTTAGTTATAAATGGGCCGCTCACCCATCTGGGATTATTACATTGTTGAGATTTTGTGCTCTGTGTCTTGTGTTGTGTTGATGTGGGTATTAACTTCTTTATTTATTTTCTTATGTCTTTGCTAATTTGAGGATAGAATTTGATTTGTCCCCTCAGGTGTAGACACATGGATTTTCAAAACCTTGCATGACAATATTGTTTTTTTTTTTTTTTTTACTGTTAAATACATACTTTATTGTACCCACAGGCGATAAAATCCCAGAGCTACTGTTAGGCACGTAAATACAGACCCTGCTAAGTATTTAATATTGCATGACAATATTGTTGATCTCAATCAGCGGGGTTTGGGGCACACTGTTACCTTTTGAATTCTCACCCGAGCGCCACTCTCAGTTTCCGCTCCCTGCACCCAGCTGTTTTTAGTCATCAACCTCGACATGTTTATTTGTGCCTCTGCATCTTCGCATGGGCTGTTCCTGCCTCCTAAAATGCAGTTCCATTTTGTCTTCACATATTCACTCTGCTCAGCCCTCAGGCTATGGGATAGAAGCCACACTCTGTCTGCTTTTCTATTTAGATTGTGGCGTCCAGTGCTTGGTTTTCAGCAGCAGAGTAACCTGCATCACTCACTCACTTATTCATTCATTCATTCATTCATTCATTCATTCATTCATTCATCCCTTCTGGAGGTGTCACCGAGCCCCTGCCCAGTGCTGGGGAGCCATGACAATTTTTTAATCATGGGCTCCTTGGAGTTTATTCTATGCAGAGGGATAAAAGCAAAGCCAGCAGACAAACAGCACACAAGTGAGCAATATGGAAAATAGCATAGAAAGTACAGCACTCAGCGAAGTTAGCAATAACATAAGGTTTAGAAAACCAAAAAAATGTACAGATGAAAGACACGTGCTTTGGGGGAAACTCGGGGCACAGGGAGTAGACAGCTACAAGGTGATTGGGGAATTTCGGTTACTTGCTGTCTGTCGTGGTGAAGTCCACCCTCGTCACCATTTTTAATGATGATGGTCACCTCCTGGTGAGGTGGTTGTGGGGTGATATATCAGCAAGGGCCCGTGGGGCGCTCACTTTGGTGGGGAGGCTCACTCTCGGGGCACAGCCTATTGCAGGGAGGTGGGGCTGGGGAGATCCGTGGACACGTGGGGTGGTGGGTGGGGCGTCTCTGCCTTACCAGCCCCCACTGCCCCTCCATGATTCCTCCTTGGTCCCTCCCACAGGGTGTCCCGATGAGGTCCAGGCTGGACGCCCTTGCTGAAAATCCTCCCCCGGTGGCCGCCCCCTCCTCAAGGCAGGAACTTGAGGTTCACTACGAGACCATCAGCTTCTCTGGAGTGAAGCCTCGGGACCCCCAGGTCCAGAAGACCAGCGACTGTGAGTACTCAGAGATCAGAGTGCGCAAGTGAAGCTGCAGAGACCCGGCCCAGCCCAGAGGGACCCCATCCCTGTGGGGCAGAGAAGCCCAAGCGCCGTCAGGTTCTTGTGGAGCCCCCAGTGCCCGGATGCTGAGCTGCGAGGACGCGGGACACGGCTTCGCGACCGCCCAGGGTGGAGTCAGCCCACACTCTGGGCCTTTGCTGAGTAACAGCCAGCCCCTGACACCCCAGGCCCTGCCTGGCTGCGCCTCAGTTTCCCAGCGCAGAGAGAGGTGGCGCTCAGCCTCGCAGAGGGGCCACTACCCAGGCAGGGTGAAGGCTTGGATGATGAGGCATTTTAGGGAGCCCAGGCCCCAGGTCTGGGTGGGGTGGGGAGGGCAGGACGTGAATGCCCAGTGGCCCCAACTCATTCGCATCATGTCTTACTTCATAGAGTCAGCCAGAGAGGACTCTTCTCCCGCCCTCCTTTTTTCTATGATAAATTTCACAATGACCAACAAATTTGCTTAGATGTTGGGACACTTCCATAAAGACAGAAAGTTCCAGAAACAGGAACTCCGCACTGCTTCAGCCTCACTGTGGTCAGAGCAGAAGACCCTCTGCGGGCTGGTGACTCGCAACCACTTCAGCAGCCGGTGGGAACAGGGGGAGGGAAATGAGCGAGAGGCTGTTAGCAGCTCATGTTTTCCCACAAGTTCTGGGGTTCCCGAGTGCACAGACACCCTCAAGCGGGGCGGACCCGCCCGTGCAGGCCTCTGGGCTGGGGAGCACGCACCGGCCGTGCTCCACGTGGTGTGGCCGCCTGGCTGTCCGGGCAGGCAGGGGCGCACCGGCGCGCGACACCCAGGCGTCCCTGCCGCTGCGCAGGGGTCGGGGTCCGGGCCTGGCGACGCTGAGGTGGGGCAGCGCTGATGACCCCGCGCCCGCCGCGTGCAGGACCCGGGCCTTGTAGCTCAGGCCTTGGGGGGGATGGGAGCGCGGTTCAACTAGGGCTCTGCTCTGCGGACGCGCCCCGCCTGCAGCCCTGGCCACCTATGCGCTGGGGTCCTGGTGTCTGTCCGCGGGGCCCCGGCGGGGTCTGCAGGAGCCCCAGGGCCGCCCCAGGGCCGCTGCGCCCTCGCCCTCGCCGCCTGGCCCTCCAGCTAGACCCGGGCGCCCAGCCCCGCCCTGGGGCCGCCTCCTCCCGGCGCCCCTCACCTCCTCGCGTGCCCGGCTGTGGCCTGCGGATCCCGGGTGGACGCTCCTGTGGCTCCGATCGCTCCGAGGGACACAGCGGCCAGGACGCCGTTGCGGGCTGTGGGACCGGGCGCGCGAGCGCTGGAGGGATGGGGGTCAGCGCCTCGCCCCACGCCGCGAGGGGGCGCCCGGGAGCGGGGGGTGGGGGGGTCGCCTCCACACCGTTCCCCGCGCTCTTTAATGTGCGTCCAGCGTTAGGGCCACGGTGAAGCGCCCAGCGGCAGGGGCCGGAGGCTCCCGAGGACGCCGCCGCCTTCCCCTGGCCACAGGGGCCGCGTGCCGCCGGGCTGCCCCGCCGGCGCCGGCCCCGCCCCGCTCCCCCAGGAGAGCGCAGCCTCCCCGCAGCCTCCCCGCTGCACCCCGGCGCGGGTCGGGGGGAGGGGCGCCGCCGACGGGAGCCCTAAGGTCCGCGGGGCGCCGCCTTCCCGCCCGCCCTGCTGGCGCTGCAGACCCTGTGCCGAGGAGCCCGGCCCTCCCGCTCGGCGGCCCCGCTCCGTGGCCCTGCGGGGCCCGCCCGGGGTGGGGGGGACAGCGGGGCGCCAGAGTGCGCACGAGCGCCCACGGAGAGCCGCCCAGGACCCCCTGGACCCCGCGGGTATCGGGGCGGGGCCTTCCTGCCGCGCGGACCCCGGCTTCCCCGCCGCCGGCGTCTGCCTGCCGCGGCCGGTTCCCATGTGCGCGCCCTGGGGTCCAGCCTGCGCGCCGGGCTCCCCGCCGCTCTGTCCCCCGCACTCCAGCCCCTGTCACTCCACGTTCACGATCACGACGCTTTTCTACTCATCCTCCCGCGGAGCGAGGCTGTAGTCTCGGCATAGATTGTTTGCGGGGTGACAGGGCCCGAGCCAGGGGTCCCTGAAACTTGCTGGTGAAAGAGCGTGCATGAGAGGGGCCCCCTGAGGCGGGCGCCGCCTCCCGCAACTCTCGGAGGGGGCGGCCGGGGGCGCCCTAAGCCGCGGGGAAACCCGGCCTGGCGGGGGCGGGGCTCAGCGGGGGGTGGGGGGGGAGCACAGAGTGCAGGGGTTTTGGGGGGAGGGGGTGTGCGACGTGCCTCTCTTTCTGGTCTTACCCTGCACAGATGCCCGCAGGGAGCCGCCCCAGCCCCGGCTCACTGTGACTACGGAGGGATTGGAAGAGGGTGTGTGCGCGTGCGCGTGCATTTTCCCCAAAAATGCAACGCTTTACGCGGGCCTCTGCTACGCCAGCGCTGTTCCCCCAGGCCAGGGGGCGCTGGGTGTGCTCGCGCGTCCCGCCCGCGGGCCCTGCCCTCGCCAAGGCACTCCACCCTCATGTTGGACTCTCCCCAGCCAGGGGAGAACTGGGATCCTCTATGTGACAGCCGAGGCCACTGAGGCCTGCAGGGACAAGGGCCAGGCCCTCCTGACCCCAGAGCCGCGTCCCCGTTATCATGCTGTGATGATGATGATGATGGTGATGATGATGATGAGTACTGAGTCTCAGACCTGGACGGCCAGTCACACCAGGGTCCTGGGGCAGAGCACCCAGGTCAGGAGGCCCCAGGACCACCATGTCCCCGTAGAATCCAGGCCCTGTCCTCTCCGGCCCGCCACTCTGGGCACCACCTTGGAGCTCACAGAGCAGTCGGGTCCTACGGGCGCTGCCTGGACAACCTCTTCCCATCTGAAGCCACAGCAGCTGCAAAGGCCTCAGCCCCTCCGGCGGGCATCAGGGACCTTCTCACACACAGAGGTGAGCCGCCCCCTCTCCTGAAAGTGACACAGTTATAAAAAAACCCGTCTGTTAAACAGGCGTGAACAATTTGTCTTTTCCCCATTGCTTGCAATTTCCCCTTGTCTGGCAGGGCTGTCTGCAGGTAAGAAGCCTCCTGCATCTCAAGGAAGAGGGTGTGAAGCAAGCTGGTCCCTCCTGCAGACCCCGTCCCCCTTCCTGAGAGAAGAAAAAACGAGCTGGGGCTCCCCTGTCTCTGCTGACCCCGTCCCCCTCGCTTTGCACACCCTCGCCCATCCCCCCTTTTCCCTTTGTATAAAAACCCTGCGTCCTGCCCAGGAGCAGGACGGCTGTCTCTCAGACATGAGGCTGCTGCCTCCTCCTCTGTCCACAAATTTAACCACTTCCCTTTCCTCAAACTCCGTTTCCTTTTACTGGCTGAGGGAAATGGAGGCCGGAGTTCGCTCACAGAAGGAGCAGATGCCCCCCAAGGCCGGGTCATTTATCACCACCTCCTCCCTCCTCCGCACCCCACCATCTCTAACGCCTGCAGGTGCCCCCCTTCTGCCCACACCAGGGGGTGGCCCCTGGGGACCCCTACAGGGCCTGTGTCCCGCTGTGCAGGGAGCTGAGAGCTGCAGGCGGGTCCTCCTGCCCCACCAGCCCTCCGTGACATGGGAGGAGAAGTGTCTACGCAGGCCTGGCCTGGCGCACAGTGTGGGAAGCTCCTCCCTGTGGTCAGCTCATTTTGACCGCCCCATCTTGTGTCCATCGGGGCTTCCTCAGCCTGTGCCCCCAGATCCGCCACTCCCCGCGATGCTGCCACCGCTGCTGCTGCCCCTGCTGTGGGCAGGTGAGTGGAGGAGGGGAGGGCCCCGGGTGGGGGCTGCACTGACCCTCATCTCCCCACAGGGGCCCTGGCTCAGGATCAGAGATTCTGGTTGCGCCTGCAGGAGCGGGTGACGGTGCAGGAGGGCCAGTGCGTCCTCGTGCCCTGCGAAGTCTCCTACCCCAAGGAAGGTTACACTGAGCACAGCCCAGCCTATGGCTACTGATTCAGGGCCAAAGGAGGGCCTCAGGGTACACAGCATGTTCCAGTGGCCACAAACAACCCAAGTCATGAGGTGCAGAAGGAGACCCGGGGTCGCTTCCACCTGCTGGGGGACCCCCGGAACTACAGCTGTTCCCTGGACATCAGAGATGCACGGAGAGAGGACACGGGGACCTACTACTTCAGGGTGGAGAGAGGGGGTTCTGTGAAAATGAGTTACATGAATCAGCAGCTTTCTGTAACTGTGACAGGTAAGGGCCGGGTGCAGGAGGAACACACGGGACGGACATGAGCGTCCCGGGCGAGGCTGGGAGGGGACCCATGCCTTCATCTTGTGAGGGACCAAAGATCTGCAGGGAAAGGACCCTGGTGGGCGGAGGCGGGTGGCCTGTCACAGGCTGCCCCTGGGGACACTCAGGTCCTGCTCCAGCCTGTGTCTGTCCCCCCAGCACTGACTCACAGGCCGGACATCCACCTCCAGGGGCCTCTCCAGCCTGGCCGGCCCAGGAACATCACCTGTGCAGCGCCCTGGGCCTGTGGCAGGAGGACACCCCCTGCCTTTTCCTGGAGGGGGGTCGTCCTCAGTGCCACGAGCACCGACTCCCCGGTGCTCACCCTCAGCCCGGGGCCCGAGCACCACGGCTCCAGCCTCACCTGCCGGGTGACCTTCCCCGCAGTGAACGTGAGCACAGAGACCACCGTCCGGCTCAGCGTGGGCTGTGAGTGTGGGGCCCGGACGCCCGGCCTGACGGGTCCCCAGGGCAGCAGATGTAGGAAGGGAAGACACGGGGTCTGGGGTCTGGGCCCCGCAGATCCTGCCGGGAGGAGGGAAAGAGGCCCCTGGCTGTATCCTCCATGTCTCATGCTCCTGGGGGAAGGCCAGCTGACGGAGAACAATTCTGTCTGTCCAGGTGCGCCCCAGAACCTGACCATCCAGGTGATCAGGGAAGAAGGTTCAGGTACGGAGTGAGGTTCCATTTCTGGGATGTGGGGAAGTGGGGTCTGTCCCACCCTCAAATCAGAGCTGGGGTCTGACAACACACATGGGAGACAGGTCTTTGTCAGGAGGGGGTAGCAGAGGTGGGAACCCCCATGGGCTCTTCAGCTCACACATGGGCTCCCCTGTGCTGACCCTGCTCCCTGGGGTGTCCTATGCTCTGTCCCTTGTCGGA